TTGTGGTATAATTTATCTCGGACAGTCACGACTATTTAATGACTTGTATAATTTATCTCGGACAGTCACGACTATTTAATGACTTGTATAATTTATCTCGGACAGTCACGACTATTTAATGACTTGTGGTATAATTTATCTCGGACAGTCACGACTATTTAATGACTTGTGGTATAATTTATCTCGGACAGTCACGACTATTTAATGACTTGTGGTATAATTTATCTCGGACAGTCACGACTATTTAATGACTTGTGGTATAATTTATCTCGGACAGTCACGACTATTTAATGACTTGTGGTATAATTTATCTCGGACAGTCACGACTATGTAATGACTTGTGGTATAATTTATCTCGGACAGTCACGACTATTTAATGACTTGTATAATTTATCTCGGACAGTCACGACTATTTAATGACTTGTGGTATAATTTATCTCGGACAGTCACGACTATTTAATGAATTGTATAATTTATCTCGGATGACTTAAACTGCTTCATGTCAATAATGCTAAGGGTATAAATTTTGAAGACTAAGAGATCATTTAGGAAATTTTAAAGTGATCGATAGATGAGGTGTTGCACTAGCCCCATCATTCAATAAATTTCGTTATTTCCATATAACTCGATAATTCAGAACTTTATTTACATGTGGATTGTCTGAACGGAGACTACATTACTGATACATTACTGATACGTCCTACATTACTGATACATTACTGATACGTCCTACATTACTCATACGTCCTACGTTACTGACACTTTCTAGAACTTTACTGGATCGAAAATTTTGTTGTATCTATGGATAAGTACACGCCAGGCGACTGTTTTGGATCTTCAATACCAGCTGCCTCCAAAACTCTGGGATCGTCAGCACTTAGGTTTCCATACCTACTATGGACCTCCATTTCATCAGCATGATCTGTACTTCTTTTGCTCCGATGTTCGTCTTACTTATTGTCATATGTACTAGAAATTTGGATACATTATGGGTTTTGAAACATACCAACATACCCTTACCTCTGTAGCTGTTTAAATCAAAGAAGATCTGTTTATTTTATGCTCGTAGAGCGCTCGTCTGAGTGTATGTACTGCATTTTGCAATAGTGGTCCTTCATTAGGAATTCAGTGTACAAGGTCACTTGGACGTTTTCATTCCAAGTTTTACATTCCTTTTGACAAAAATGTTATTCCCAAAATATGAACCAATTTTTCAACCAAATACTGGGTGTGAATTTCAAACACATCAAAATCAAATGTTGAAATGCATGTTTATACAGCAACATGCCAAATGATGTGATTCTCTCGTATCACCACACTTGTGAAAGCTTAATGCTCTCGATATCACCACACTTGTGAGATCTTTATACTCTCGATATCACCACACTTGTCAGATCTTTATACTCTCGATATCACACACTTGTGAGATCTTTATACTCTCGATATCACCACACTTGTGAGATCTTTATACTCTCGATATCACCACACTTGTCAGATCTTTATACTCTCGATATCACACACTTGTCAGATCTTTATACTCTCGATATCACCACACTTGTCAGATCTTTATACTCTCGATATCACCACACGTGTCAGATCTTTATACTCTCGATATCACCACACGTGTCAGATCTTTATACTCTCGATATCACACACGTGTCAGATCTTTATACTCTCGATATCACACACTTGTTAGATCTTTATACTCTCGATATCACCACACTTGTGAGATCTTTATACTCTCGATATCACCACACGTGTCAGATCTTTATACTCTCGATATCACCACACGTGTCAGATCTTTATACTCTCGATATCACACACGTGTCAGATCTTTATACTCTCGATATCACCACACTTGTCAGATCTTTATACTCTCGATATCACCACACGTGTCAGATCTTTATACTCTCGATATCACCACACGTGTCAGATCTTTATACTCTCGATATCACACACGTGTCAGATCTTTATACTCTCGATATCACACACTTGTGAGATCTTTATACTCTCGATATCACACACTTGTCAGATCTTTATACTCTCGATATCACACACGTGTCAGATCTTTATACTCTCAATATCACACACTTGTGAGATCTTTATACTCTCGATATCACCACACTTGTCAGATCTTTATACTCTCGATATCACACACTTGTCAGATCTTTATACTCTCGATATCACACACTTGTCAGATCTTTGTACTCTCGATATCACCATACTTGTCAGATCTTTATACTTTGGATATCACCACACTTGTGAGATCTTTATACTCTCGATATCACCACACTTGTGATATCTTTATACTTGTGAAGACAAAATAAACTGCTTATTTTCTAGAATTTTTTTTAATGATGCCAAATGACATAACTGCCTTAAAACTATCACAGAGATGTTTTGTACATAATTAACATGTTAAATCTGCTTGGCAATATTATACCATTGTAATGAAAATGGTTACCTACAGAAACTCACTGCAAATACTGTAAGGACCAAGTCTTTGTTTGTGAGAAAACCCTTTTCCAACTTTGAATAAGTTGTTGTAACTGTGACATGTTTTTCCTTTCCTTCATCTCTGTCTCAAAATGATGCCTCTCTTTTTATCAGTGAATAAAATTGAGTAACTGTTAAATGGACATCTGAGTATTGTAATAATTACTCCCTTGCACAGGTTACTCTCACCGTCATGAATTAACTACCCTTGCACCCAAGGTACCAAATAACTGTACAGATTATTCTGAGGTGAAGGGTACTATCACTCTCATGAGTTAACTACTCCTGTCCCGAACAGAAAACTAACTTGTATTTGGAACACTCACTCGGCAACAGCCCTAGTTATCCAGAAATGTAATAATAACTCTCTATGTTGGTCACCCTCAATTTCTAAACTGTAAAAAAAGAATTTATAACTATGAGCAATCCTTTCCTTAGAAAATAAGAAAATACATCATCAAAGCTCAAAAATTTGTTTCCCCTTTCTATAAAAATCTCTGTGTTCTTGAAAAGAAAATTCGTTAAGTGCCCCGAAAACATGTACCTGGTATATAACTTGTTGAAAATGGTATTATGTGTCAAGTTTATAGAATTTGCTAGCAGCTGACAATAAAATGAATATCATGTTGATGGACGGAAAACTTCTTTGGATGGAATGTATACAACATAACCCTGTACAATAAAGAAATCAGTGTGACATTAAACATATCATAAATACATTTATGGCATAACAATCACTGAGCTCAACAAGAAGCCCACTTAACCAACCTTGATCACCTGTTCTCCAATCTGATCTGTGATGAGTTTATTGGATCAAGGTAAAACTTCTCCAGAAACAACAAGCTAAATATCACTATTTCTATCACAACTTTTCTTGCTTTGTTGGTTTTTAATTTCTTTTTGTTACGCCTATGACCTTCAAAACTGACAAAGCTAATTTGATAGAACTTGTCAATGAGCTATTCAAGCCACCCACTTACCAAATATAAGCAGCAATTCTCTGTTTCAGAGATTCATAAACGCTTCAGAAAGGATCTTCTTCCTTTCCGATCTTTTCTTACCAAAACACATGTACAGACACCTAGTAACAACATGATCTTTGGGTTGAATGACTTGTTGTGTTTCAGTAAAATCCATCTTTGAAAGAAGTACACACCCCAAGACAAGGATAAATGAGATCAGAGGCAACATCTAGGGGCAACATAACTCACCATAAAGGGACAAACTTTTAATACAATATTTATAAAACAGATGATCTGGGGATTAACTTTTTCTGATGCAGATAAATGTGAGGATGGCATTATTATAGACCAAGTGGATAGTTATGAAATATTTCCAAATGATCAAATCAGTCTTTTCTGAAAAACTGTGGTAAATGTAAATTCATAATCAACACATTATACCATCCAAATAGTAAATGCACAGTCCAGCACACCTACAGTATGATACTAGCAAAGAAACATTTTTGAGAAAAAAAAAAACAAAACAAAAATGGAATCTAATTTTTAACTGCCATAATTTCAAACTAAGAGGTGTTGTCAATCAGGAATAAATTTACAAAATGTGAAATGAATTGTTGGATTTTCAAACTTCAGTAATCTTAATCCACAGTTCACAAATATGTTTACTTGAAATTTTATAATGAACACATAAACAACTCTATGCAGACATCAAATATTACTACTTTTGTTCTTTATAAGATATGAGTACTTAATCTGAGATGAGTAAACTAAATAAGAAAGAAAAGATGTTTTTGCACAAAGGAAAACAATAAAGAGGAAGGGCAACAACTCTTGTAGGTTGACTGTCTCAGCCTTGACTGACAGTCACACCACACCCTTTACGCCAGGGGGTTTACATCTCAATGTACACATGTATACCTTTATCAGTATTTCATATGAAACACTTAATACAAAAACAATCATCTAAAAAATATTCCTTTTTACAAAAAAATAATCTACAATGGTGATACTTGTTCAGTCAACAGGCCAACATTGTTATACTATAATACACAATTATCTAGCAGCTTATACAAAATGTGTTGAGTGGGGGCTGCCTAGAAATATAACAAAAATAGGTTAAAAAAGGAACCAATAGAAAACTTTTATAGCAATGTGGAAATATAGAAGTTCACACTATGATTTGTACAATAAGTATGTTTTTTTGACATCAGTTTTCATTTCATCTTTCAACAAATCAAAGAAAAATCAAAAATGAAAGAAATAATCCTCTCTTAATTTGAACGAAAACATCATTGATACAAATAACAGACATAATCATTTAAACAATAAATAAATATGTTAACTAGATAACTCTTTAATCTGCCAATGTATTCATGAGAAACTATAAGAAAAAGTATTTCTCAGAATCTCAGCATGGACAAAAGCATTAAAATATTTACTATCCAATCAATCACAGCAGTAATTGAGAACTTGGTAATAAAAATTTACAGTCAAATTTCATACGAAAAGTTGTCACTCATGACAGACAAAATCTGCCCCTAGAATGTTGTGTAGGATTGAGTTCTATGAACTATTTGCCCCTCGTGGGACCTGGAATGCTATGTAGGATTGTAGGTGTTCCTGCAGTAATTGCATGGCAGACATCTTCTGACTCAAAATGTTGCTGATTCGATCAACATATGCATCAAAAGTCTGTAAAAAATACAACATTCAACCAATTATCAAGAAAGCAGATCTACCCTTCATATTTCCTAAAAGGGGATGGTTGACAATGAATGATAGTGTTTTCAGCTAGGGGGATACCTGACAGTGCATAATAGTGTATTATCTAAGGGGATACGTGACATTGTATAATACTGTATTACCTAAAGAGATACCTGACAATGTGCAATAGAGTATTACCTAGAGAGATTCCTGACAATGTGTAATAGAGTATTACCTAGAGAGATACCTGACAATGTGTAATAGAGTATTACCTAGAGAGATACCTGACAATGTTTAATAGACATTACCTAGAGAGATACCTGACAATGTTTAATAGACATTACCTAGAGAGATACCTGACAATGTTTAATAGACATTACCTAGAGAGATACCTGACAAGGTGTGATAGAGTATTACCTAGAGAGATACCTGACAATGTGCAATAGAGTATTACCTAGAGAGATACCTGACAATGTGTAATAGAGTATTACCTAGAGAAATACCTGACAATGTGCAATAGAGTATTATCTAGAGAGATACATGACAATGTGTAATAGAGTATTACCTAGAGAGATACCTGACGATGTGTAATAGAGTATTACCTAGAGAGATACCTGACAATGTGTAATAGAGTATTACCTAGAGAGATACCTGACAATGTTTAATAGACATTACCTAGAGAGATACCTGACGATGTGTAATAGAGTATTACTTAGAGAGATACCTGACAATGTGTAATATTGTATTATCCTCAGTTGCTGTAATATATTGGATGTTTTTTAAGTCCATCTATTTACTATCTTTGTCATACCTTAGTTCCAGCTTTAGCTCCCAACAATAGTTTCATCTCCAATTTACAAAGGGAGGTAACTATGGCTAGCTGATCTTCATGGGCTGATATCAGTCGTTGTCTGGTAGAAATATGAATGCAATATTATAGAGACTTATATATACCTAAAACATGCTTTAACATTGATTGGATATTCAGTTACTGTTTTTCTTTAAAAACATGATTTTCATATTTATTTTGAATTACAACTGTATCAAATGATAGTGAGAGATAGTGAAGTTACTCTACAACATGAGTGAGAAGAAACTCTAAATAAATCCAAAATTTGGTGCTGTGACCATTTATTTCCCCTGATGAATATGATCATTATCTTTTCCTATTACAATGACATGTTCTTTACTTACATGTACATATAACCATTAAATCATATCATTACCTTGGATCTGAGGAAATAGACTCATCACTTATGGTTCTTGTGCGTCCATTTCCAGCATTGTCTGTGGACATTGCCAAAGCCTTTGGTTGAAGAATATCTTTACTGACCATTCCCACAGCAACACTCTTCGTCAGACGGTTAGAAGTGACAGGCTGAGGGTGAATTGGTGAAAATGCTGATCCTACAGCTAACTTCTCTGTTTTAATAGCACTGCTGGTATTAGTGGAGCGTCCTCCCGATCCGACACTATGATCTGATCGACTGTCGTGTGATGAGGAAGAACAAAACGACACTGTACCATCCTGATGGTAATTTGTCGCCAGGATGTTTTCTTTGTTGTTTGGATCAAGTAATGCTGGAATTCGATCGTTTTCAGGAAGATAGCGTGAATTTTGTTGTAGGAGAGTAGGAACATTAGCACTTTGTAAAGATGGAAGCTTATTCTGTACAAGATTGGAATTACTATCCCAACAAGTACGCACTGCTTGAGGACTGTCGGTGACTGACACAGTCAGTCCACTATCACTTGTCATGGATTTTGTTTCACTCGGTTTTGATGCAGTTGGTTCAAGTTCTGAATTTTCTGATTGTGGTTTTAAAAACACTGAGCGAAGACGACTTGCAACATTCTGACGTGATACAGGATCTGTTTTACGGTTATCTGAGGTGGTTTGTCGTCTTTGAACTGTCAGGAACTCTGACATGTCACCATCTACTCCTTTGATTTCTGTTTCTTCTTCATTGTGGTAATCCTCATATGGTTTCTCTGGTGTTATGTTGTTGGTAAATTCTTTGTATTTACTAAAGAAAGCACCTGGTTCTAGTTTAGAAGACTGATAAACAGAATTACTAGATTTTTGCATTGAAGCCCCTATATGAGCTTCAAAGTTTGCAGGTGTAGCATACCACTCTCCTGTGGATGGAAGCTCAACTTCTTGATTCATACTATCCTGATTATTTTCTCTCAAATTAGTTTGTGTTGCTGCATTATATGGAGACAATCTATCCATATCAGTTCTATTATCGTTTAAGTTTCCACCTGGTCTATATGATACAGAGGCTGGGTCAGTTAATCTAGGTCTTCCCCGCTGTTCTGGAGATTCCATCATAGACTCCGACACCACTGGAGGGGGAGTCCTCAGAAGTCGGGGACGTGATGCCATGGGGTTATCCTTCACTTTTTCTAAAGTAAATGGAGGACGAGTGCCTGAGGCTTGTGGAGGCTCTGGTTTGTGGAATCTGTTATTACCTATTCTCCCAGGAGATCTTTGAGAAAATGTAGCAAGGTCACTACTGATAGCAGTCAGTACAGCTGGTATGGCTGGCGTGGTCAAAGTATCCTGGGGCATCTTAAATGGAGCATCCCGTCCCCGACTGAGTCCAAGATTAGGAGAATTATTATCTCCTCCAGAGTTTGTCTCCCCTGTCGACGGTTTACGCGGATAGCCCCTAGCACTATTTGGTATTCTATCAGTCCCATCGAACAAAAGGTCATCCTCAAAACTTTCATTAAACTCTGATGAAGGACGAGAATGACGTTGAGGTAGAGTGTCAGATACTTGAGGTCCTTTAGTAATAGCACCAGATGATCCAGCTCCCATATGTTGAATATTTCTAGGGGGAGGCACAGGTGCATTGTTCAGTCTAGGGGACTCAATATATTTTTTATTTCTTAACACAGGGGTAGCATGGTTATTTACACCAACAGAAGCTCCCTGAGATGTCCTGTCTACTTCAATCATAGGAAGAGGGTGCCCAGCTGTTGACAGATGAACTCCGCCCATCACAGCAGAGGGCGCGGTTGTGTTTGACGTTTCTCCCATTGGTATCGTTTGACCAGTCGTTGCTTGCTTACCACCTGTTTTATTGAGATCATTGAGCATTTCTTCATTATTGAAGTCAGTAGTTGGAAAATCATTGTCTGTATCTTGTGAGTGTGTGATTGGGACATTACTTGCTCTCACTCCAATTCCTTGTCGGTTTGGCACTGTGATATTGTTAGAGTCTGAAACTGTATGTTCAGGAGTGTCATCTTCTGTTGATGAATTACTCCCAGGAGCTGCTTCTGCAGTGAGATTTCGACGTGACGTCACAGGTGAAGAAGACTTACTAGGTCCTGTGTGACGTACAACTGACAGACGACTTGCTACGGAACGGCTTGGTTTTGTTGTTTCAGATTTTGCTATATTTTTCGGAACAATTTTTCTCCTCATTCCATGACCTTTGATAGGGGTTTCATTTGGGTCAAGTGCTATATCTGATACTGTGCGACTATTGTTCTGACGTGATGCACGATGTCGCATTGGTGTGGAAGAACACAAGACATTGGAGGGCTGGAAGGCAGATGGTGCCTGTAAAGGGATATTCATTAGGATGTTACTGGCTAGACTTGCTCGAGTCACCCCTGATCCAGGATCTCTTCGCAATTCCTTCACCCTGAAAAATACAGCAGGGCTAGTAAAATTGTTGACAAGAAAAACATTTACAGTTGATTGATCAACTGAAAAGAGAGTCTTACAAAGGTTATTATACTAGAGAGAAATACTAACTTTGAGAAACAAACATTTTGAAAATATTAAAGTTACTACCAAAACCAAACATGGTCTTAATATACAAAATTGGTAAATTGTTTGAACTTGTTTTCACATGAAAATTTTACATCTGTCTTCCATTTCTCTCCTTGCAGATTTAATTTCCAGCATAGCTAACATCTATATTTAAACACTTGTTTTATCTATCAGCCCTTTCTATGTTATTAGGATTTTTTCCAAAATTTGCAATCAGAATTGTTACTTATAGATGAAGTTGAATTTGCACCACACACAGAAAAGTCAGATAGGAAACATTGCATTACTATTTCCTTAAATGTTTATAAGACAATATTATTTTTGCAGTAAGCCACACTTTATCTCCAATTTCAAATATGAAAAGTTCACTGATTGTCCAATTGTTACATATTTGTTTTTTGTTTAATTTTTTTTTTAAGATTTTAAACCTTATATCTTGTTATTCCTGTGATTTCAAACTGTTTGCTGTGACCTACTATGAAAAAGTTTTTGTTTCATTTTTTTTACCACAAAAGTGTGTATTTACTTCATGTGTATCCTGTGAGATTTCTACCAACTCACCTGTCTGCATATCGGAGTGTGTTGAGAGTGTGTTCACATGATATGTTTGTGGGAGAAAAGTTGGCTATCATACAGGTGCGAGAGTTTCCAGTGAAGGAGTCCTTCAGGATATGAGTCAGTTTGCTCTGTCTGAATGGTGTATGTTTGCTGTCCTGGTCTATGGAACGAATGCATTCCTTCAGCTGGAACATGAATTAAACAAATTTCTCAACTCTCCACTCTGTACTTGAAGGAAGAGCAGAAAGATTAGAACAATGGAAGAGAGATTTCCCAGTATTATAAGTTTAATTGTTTACATAGGGTTAGGGTTTTGTTTCTTTGTAATAGAAAAGGTCAGAAATAAATATCACCTTTTCTTATGTGGGTGGTGGTTTGGGGGTGGGAGGGGGGAGGTCACAATTTGGAATAGCCTTTCAGGTTACAAAAGGTTAACTAGTTTCAGTTACATAATCCATTATTGAAAATGAGAAATAAATCCAATAACAATTGCAATCAATTGTAAAGTTTTACCTGCAAAATAGTTTAATAATTATTAAATACATTGATAATTTACATGTAACTGTGCAGATCCCATGAATTCTGAATTTGGGTATTACAGCTGTTTAACAGCAAATGGTGATATCTTCAGGCTTTTCATAACTAAAATAGAAGGTCACCTGAAAGTCACAGTGGCTTGATTATACCTTTCTTTGTTGAGAGTCCTGGCACTGAATACTTTTTATTAGTTTGCTGTTTTTTTCTTTCATTGAATTATTCACATAAGGTCTAATCCAACCAAAACATTTGTCAAGGCATCCAAACTAGAAGCATGAGATCTTAGGGTAAGTTTATCAGTTTTCCACAAATTTGAGATTACCTTACCTAAATTCCTTCTTGTTTGTGCCTACACATCTATTTACAATCTCAAGTACAGTAGTCCACTCAATTAACTAGTAAAGCTTAATATCTAAGTGAACATAAAAAAGGAAAATGTCCAGTTTGGTACTTAAACGTTAAACTTAAAACTGTCACATTTACTGAAATATAAAAAAGTGAGCGTGGGCTCCAATAGATATGATCTATACTCACCTGTTATTCTTTTTCTTAATTGAATCTGTCGAGGGGTGAGGTATCTTATACACAAGTGAACTGGAGTCTAATATGGTAAGATTCCTTTGTTTACAGTGTAATTTATTCAGAGAGGTAACTGTGATTACAGAAAAAAATGATAATGCCACACATCCTATTACTGGTCAGCACTGGTCAGTACTGGTCAGTCTGTACTTACCGCAAGAAGGCTCTGGTTGATTTCTGCTCCCTCCATTCGCGTCTGTCTGTCTGTCTCTGTCATGTCCGATGCCCTCTCACTCCCTGCTAAGTCTATGAATGACATCCTGAAGAGAAAAGTTACAAAATAAGATAAACTCACCTTCAAATCAAAGAAAACATTAAAAAAATCAGATAATCTCACTCAATAGAAATGTGTAAAAAGTAAGACAATCTCACTGTTAACTGACACATAAATTTAAAAACTAAGACAATCTCACTCTTAACTGACACAAAAATTAAGATAATCTTACTGTTAGCTGACACAAAAACTTTTTTATTCCAACTTCTGTTAAATTATGGAATAATATACCCACAAATGTCAGAGAGCAGGCCATCCATTAACTGTTTTGATTTTAAAATTCAATATAGTCCTCATTAATTACTTATTTATTTTTGTTGGAAACAGAAAATGGAACATTTTATATACAAAGTTGTCCCATCCTTGTAGAAGCTTGAAATACAATTTGTTCCTAGTAGATGTTATTAACGATCCTGTGTATAAATGTAGTAAGGAATATAAAACATTATGCATTGCCATTTTGATTGTATACTATAGATAAGGCAGTGTGAGATTTCACTTGATAACATCTCATGTTATTGTAATGTCCCAACAAATGATCTGCTCTGTGGCTCTCGAAACCTGTCTGATGAACAAAATGGGAATATTTTTCAATCTGTTCTGACTTAAAAACAGTAATCCATGTTAAGGTCATCTGTGAGTGTCTTACCTCAGTACATGTCACTATTTTCTTCTCTTTCTAACTTTTTTCAAGTCTTTACTCAATTTCTATTCTGTTTCCATCTCTCCCCTTTTTAAATATATACATGTAGCAAACCTTACCTAATGCCTAATGTCACATATCAAATAGAACAAAACTCAGGAATTGCCTGTCATGTATATTGAGCCTTCCAATGAACAGCCAAAGCATGAAACCCCTTCCAAAACCCTGTAGGTTTGGTGAAATGTTTCATTCCGTACGATAGTGCAGGGATACATATCGGACCCCAAAGGATACATCTGGTATATACGACGATCATGGCTATTGTGCGTTGGGCATGGTGTGTAAAAGGGTTTTTATTATTTTTCTTTCATACTTCACTCACCCTTGCATGATTTTCCACAACTCCTTACACACTGATTTACATATAAGACGAAAACAACACCAAATATGGACGCTGACACCATCCCCCTGACATGACATGTGTAAGACTCACCACTGAACTAAATATAGAAACAGAGACTTCCCAACACAGTTGACAAACACATACTGACACAGACAAAGACAGACACTTTACTACTTTAATTCAAATAGTAATTCAACTACCTGTCACACTAATCCCATTTGTTAGATTAAAATTAACAATCAAATTAAAATCATCAAATACCTTACCTTCCCACACATCTCTGTTCTCTATCTGATGGAGAACACAGGACCAAGCAGTGCCTGACTAAACCCCCATCTAAAACCTTACCTTCCCACACATCTCTGTTCTCTATCTGATGGAGAACACAGGACCAAGCAGTGCCTGACTAAACCTCCATCTAAAACCCTATACAACCCATACCTTACCTTCCCACACATCTCTGTTCTCTATCTGATGGAGAGCACAGGACCAAGCAGTGCCTGACCAAACCCCCATCTAAAACCTTACCTTCCCACACATCTCTGTTCTCTATCTGATGGAGAACACAGGACCAAGCAGTGCCTGACTAAACCCCCATCTAAAACCCTATACAACCCATACCTTACCTTCCCACACATCTCTGTTCTCTATCTGATGGAGAGCACAGGACCAAGCAGTGCCTGACTAAACCCCCATCTAAAACCTTACCTTCTCACACATCTCTGTTCTCTATCTGATGGAGAGCACAGGACTAAGCAGTGCCTGACCAAACCCCCATCTAAAACCTTACCTTCTCACACATCTCTGTTCTCTATCTGATGGAGAGCACAGGACCAAGCAGTGCCTGACTAAACCCCCATCTAAAACCTTACCTTCCCACACATCTCTGTTCTCTATCTGATGGAGAGCACAGGACCAAGCAGTGCCTGACCAAACCCCCATCTAAAACTCTATACAACCCATACCTTACCTTCCCACACATCTCTGTTCTCTATCTGATGGAGAGCACAGGACCAAGCAGTGCCTGACTAAACCCCCATCTAAAACCTTACCTTCCCACACATCTCTGTTCTCTATCTGATGGAGAACACAGGACCAAGCAGTGCCTGACTAAACCCCCATCTAAAACCCTATACAACCCATACCTTACCTTCCCACACATCTCTGTTCTCTATCTGATGGAGAGCACAGGACCAAGCAGTGCCTGACTAAACCCCCATCTAAAACCTTACCTTCTCACACATCTCTGTTCTCTATCTGATGGAGAGCACAGGACCAAGCAGTGCCTGACTAAACCCCCATCTAAAACCTTACCTTCCTTCACACATCTCTGTTCTCTATCTGATGGAGAGCACAGGACCAAGCAGTGCCTGACTAAACCCCCATCTAAAACCTTACCTTCCCACACATCTCTGTTCTCTATCTGATGGAGAGCACAGGACCAAGCAGTGCCTGACTAAACCCCCATCTAAAACCCTATACAACCCATACCTTACCTTCCCACACATCTCTGTTCTCTATCTGATGGAGAGCACAGGACCAAGCAGTGCCTGACTAAACCCCCATCTAAAACCTTACCTTCCCACACATCTCTGTTCTCTATCTGATGGAGAGCACAGGACCAAGCAGTGCCTGACCAAACCCCCATCTAAAACCCTATACAACCCATACCTTACCTTCCTACACATCTCTGTTCTCTATCTGATGGAGAACACAGGACCAAGCAGTGCCTGACTAAACCCCCATCTAAAACCTTACCTTCCCACACATCTCTGTTCTCTATCTGATGGAGAGCACAGGACCAAGCAGTGCCTGACTAAACCCCCATCTAAAACTCTATACAACCCATACCATACCTTCCCACACATCTCTGTTCTCTATCTGATGGAGAGCACAGGACCAAGCAGTGCCTGACTAAACCCCCATCTAAAACTCTATACAACCCATACCTTACCTTCCCACACATCTCTGTTCTCTATCTGATGGAGAGCACAGGACCAAGCAGTGCCTGACTAAACCCCCATCTAAAACCTTACCTTCTCACACATCTCTGTTCTCTATCTGATGGAGAGCACAGGACCAAGCAGTGCCTGACTAAACCCCCATCTAAAACCTTACCTTCCCACACATCTCTGTTCTCTATCTGATGGAGAGCACAGGACCAAGCAGTGCCTGACTAAACCCCCATCTAAAACCTTACCTTCCCACACATCTCTGTTCTCTATCTGATGGAGAGCACAGGACCAAGCAGTGCCTGACTAAACCCCCATCTAAAACCTACCCCATTCCTTACACACATCTCTGTTCTCTATCTGATGGAGAGCACAGGACCAAGCAGTGCCTGACTAAACCCCCATCTAAAACCTTACCTTCCCACACATCTCTGTTCTCTATCTGATGGAGAGCACAGGACCAAGCAGTGCCTGACTAAACCCCCATCTAAAACCTTACCTTCCCACACATCTCTGTTCTCTATCTGATGGAGAGCACAGGACCAAGCAGTGCCTGACTAAACCCCCATCTAAAACCTTACCTTCCCACACATCTCTGTTCTCTATCTGATGGAGAGCACAGGACCAAGCAGTGCCTGACTAAACCCCCATCTAAAACCTATACAACCCACCTTACCTTCCCACACATCTCTGTTCTCTATCTGATGGAGAGCACAGGACCAAGCAGTGCCTGACTAAACCCCCATCTAAAACCCTATACAACCAATACCTTACCTTCCCACACATCTCTGTTCTCTATCTGATGGAGAGCACAGGACCAAGCAGTGCCTGACTAAACCCCCATCTAAAACCTTACCTTCCCACACATCTCTGTTCTCTATCTGATGGAGAGCACAGGACATCTCTGTGCCTGACCCTATACAACCCAAACCCCCATCTAAAACCTTACCTTCCCACACATCTCTGTTCTCTATCTGATGGAGAGCACAGGACCAAGCAGTGCCTGACTAAACCCCCATCTAAAACCTTACCTTTACCTTCACACATCTCTGTTCTCTATCTGATGGAGAGCACAGGACCAAGCAGTGCCTGACTAAACCCCCATCTAAAACCTTACCTTCCCACACATCTCTGTTCTCTATCTGATGGAGAGCACAGGACCAAGCAGTGCCTGACTAAACCCCCATCTAAAACCTTACCTTCCTACACATCTCTGTTCTCTATCTGATGGAGAGCACAGGACCAAGCAGTGCCTGACTAAACCCCCATCTAAAACCTTACCTTCACACACATCTCTGTTCTCTATCTGATGGAGAGCACAGGACCAAGCAGTGCCTGACTAAACCCCCATCTAAAACCCTATACAACCAATACCTTACCTTCCCACACATCTCTGTTCTCTATCTGATGGAGAGCACAGGACCAAGCAGTGCCTGACTAAACCCCCATCTAAAACCTTACCTTCCCACACATCTCTGTTCTCTATCTGATGGAGAGCACAGGACCAAGCAGTGCCTGACTAAACCCCCATCTAAAACCCCCATACCTGACCTTCCCACACATCTCAGTTCTCTATCTGATGGAGAGCCCACACATCTCTGTTCTCTATCTGATGGAGAACACAGGACCAAGCAGTGCCTGACTAAACCCCCATCTAAAACCTTACCTTCCCACACATCTCTGTTCTCTATCTGATGGAGAGCACAGGACCAAGCAGTGCCTGACTAAACCCCCATCTAAAACTCTATACAACCCATACCTTACCTTCCCACACATCTCTGTTCTCTATCTGATGGAGAGCACAGGACCAAGCAGTGCCTGACTAAACCCCCATCTAAAACCTTACCTTCCCACACATCTCTGTTCTCTATCTGATGGAGAACACAGGACCAAGCAGTGCCTGACTAAACCCCCATCTAAAACCCTATACAACCCATACCTTACCTTCCCACACATCTCTGTTCTCTATCTGATGGAGAGCACAGGACCAAGCAGTGCCTGACTAAACCCCCATCTAAAACCCTATACAGCCCATACCTTACCTTCCTACACATCTCTGTTCTCTATCTGATGGAGAGCACAGGACCAAGCAGTGCCTGACTAAACCCCCATCTAAAACCTTACCTTCCCACACATCTCTGTTCTCTATCTGATGGAGAGCACAGGACCAAGCAGTGCCTGACTAAACCCCCATCTAAAACCTTACCTTCCCACACATCTCTGTTCTCTATCTGATGGAGAACACAGGACCAAGCAGTGCCTGACTAAACCCCCATCTAAAACCCTATACAACCCATACCTTACCTTCCCACACATCTCTGTTCTCTATCTGATGGAGAGCACAGGACCAAGCAGTGCCTGACTAAACCCCCATCTAAAACCTTACCTTCCCACACATCTCTGTTCTCTATCTGAAACCCCCCATTACCTTCCCTCACACATCTCTGTTCTCTATCTGATGGAGAGCACAGGACCAAGCAGTGCCTGACTAAACCCCCATCTAAAACCCTATACAACCAATACCTTACCTTCCCACACATCTCTGTTCTCTATCTGATGGAGAACACAGGACCAAGCAGTGCCTGACTAAACCCCCATCTAAAACCTTACCTTCTCACACATCTCTGTTCTCTACCTGATGGAGAGCACAGGACCAAGCAGTGCCTGACTAAACCCCCATCTAAAACCCTATTCAACCAATACCTTACCTTCCCACACATCTCTGTTCTCTATCTGATGGAGAGCACAGGACCAAGCAGTGCCTGACTAAACCCCCATCTAAAACCCTATACAACCAATACGTTACCTTCCCACTCGTTTATCCTGGCTGTTTCGGATCTCTATCTGGAGTACAGCATGGGACCGAGAAGAGTCTGGGTTTACCCCTGTCACACCCTTACTTCGCACAGAATTACCATACTCCAGAACCTATAAAAACATGCTTATAGAGTCAAACATACAAACAGTGTCTAACTAGTGTCAAGCATATAAATAGTGTCTAACTAGTGTTAAACATATAAATAGTGTCTAACTAGTGTTAAACATATAAATAGTGTCTAACTAGTGTTAAACATACAAATAATGTTAAACATATAAATAGTGTCTAACTAGTGTTTAACATACAAATAGTGTCTAACTAGTGTCAAACATATAAATAGTGTCTAACTAGTGTTTAACATACAAATAGTGTCTAACTAGTGTCAAACATATAAATAGTGTCTAACTGGTGTCAAACATACAACTAGTGTTAAACATATAAATAGTGTCTAACTAGTGTTAAACATATAAATAGTGTCTAACTAGTGTCAAACATATAAATAGTGTCTAACTAGTGTCAAACATATAAATAGTGTCTAACTAGTGTCAAACATATAAATAGTGTCTAACTGGTGTCAAACATATAAATAGTGTCTAAATAGTGTTAAAAATATAAATAGTGTCTAACTAGTTTAAAACATACAAAAAGTGTCTAACTAGTGTCAAACATATAAATAGTGTCTAACTAGTGTTAAACATACAAACAGTGTCTAACTAGTATCAAACATATAAATAGTGTCTAACTGGTGTCAAACATACAAACAGTGTCTAACTAGTATCAAACATATAAACAGTGTCTAACTAGTGTCAAACATATAAATAGTGTCTAACTAGTGTCAAACATATAAATAGTGTCAAACTAGTGTCAAACATATAAATAGTGTCTAACTAGTGTCAAACATATAAATAGTGTCTACCTAGTGTTAAACATACAAATAGTGTCTAACTAGTGTTAAACATACAAATAGTGTTAAACATATAAATAGTGTCTAACTAGTTTAAAACATACAAAAAGTGTCTAACTATTGTCAAACATATAAATAATGTCTAACTAGTGTTAAACATACAAACAGTGTCTAACTAGTATCAAACATATAAATAGTGTCTAACTGGTGTCAAACATACAAACAGTGTCTAACTAGTATCAAACATATAAACAGTGTCTAACTAGTGTCAAACATATAAATAGTGTCTAACTGGTGTTAAACATATAAATAGTGTCTAACTAGTGTTAAACATACAAATAGTGTCTAACTAGTATCACATATAAATAGTGTCTAACTGGTGTCAAACATATCAATAGTGTCTAACTAGTGTTAAACATATAAATAGTGTCTAACTAGTGTTAAACATATAAATAGTGTCTAACTAGTGTCAAACATATAAATAGTGTCTAACTAGTGTTAAACATACAAATAATGTCTAACTAGTGTCAAACATATAAATAGTGTCTAACTAGTGTTAAACATATAAATAGTGTCTAACTAGTGTCAAACATACAAATAGTGTCTAACTAGTGTTAAACATATAAATAGTGTCTAACTAGTGTTAAACATACAAATAGTGTCTAACTAGTGTCAAACATACAAATAGTGTCTAACTAGTGTCAAACATATAAATAGTGTCTAACTAGTGTAAAACATATAAATAGTGTCTAACTAGTGTCAAACATATAAATAGTGTCTAACTAGTGTTAAACATATAAATAGTGTCTAACTAGTGTTAAACATATAAATAGTGTCTAACTAGTGTCAAACATATAAATAGTGTCTAACTAGTGTTAAACATACAAATAATGTCTAACTAGTGTCAAACATATAAATAGTGTCTAACTAGTGTAAAACATACAAATAGTGTCTAACTAGTGTAAAACATATAAATAGTGTCTAACTAGTGTCAAACATATAAATAGTGTCTAACTAGTGTAAAACATACAAATAGTGTCTAACTAGTGTGAAACATATAAATAGTGTCTAACTAGTGTCAAACATATAAATAGTGTCTAACTAGTGTCAAACATACAAATAGTGTCTAACTAGTGTCAAGCATATAAATAGTGTCTAACTAGTGTTAAACATATAAATAGTGTCTAACTAGTGTTAAACATATAAATAGTGTCTAACTAGTGTAAAACATACAAATAGTGTCTAACTAGTGTGAAACATATAAATAGTGTCTAACTAGTGTCAAACATATAAATAGTGTCTAACTAGTGTCAAACATATAAATAGTGTCTTACTAGTGTAAAACATACAAATAGTGTCTAACTAGTGTAAAACATATAAATAGTGTCTAACTAGTGTCAAACATATAAATAGTGTCTAACTAGTGTAAAACATATAAATAGTGTCTAACTAGTGTCAAAGATACTAACAGTGTCAGACATATAGAGATACTTTTTGTTCAAATATCATAAAAACATGAGAACAATACTTTGTTCAGGGTACACAGCATTGGAGTTTGAGTTTTTATAAATACAGGTTCTCTTACCATTATATCATCACAGATTAAACCTTAATATAAAAAACATACAGTATGTATAAATCACAAAATAAGAAAGGATAAAGTCTTACCTGCATAATGGCAGTTACATTCTGTACCTGTGTCTCTGTTAAACCAGCTATACACACATGGTGAGAACCATCCTCACGAGCATGAAGTCTGCAATAAAGTGTGATCACTAAATATTATGTACCAACAGAAACAGACCAGCAAATGGAAGATTACCTAATCTGTACATATGACTTGTTGACAATGTTATGATTTTTTACCAGTAGGTGTGACAAAATCACAACCTTTTTTTGCTTTCAAATCATAGCTAATTACCCATTGCCTTCCATTCTATGAAAAACTAATTGTGTTTCAATGTATCTCAGGAAGAAACTGTGATCTCATATCTCTAGTCAAACTTATCACACAAAAATAATTATCTATCCCAGATACAGCTGTGTGGCCTTCAGTTTGAGGTACTGTAACTTAACAGCGCTTATGCAACAGGCAAATGTACACCTACCCACCGTCCATATCATTATCTTAACAAGTAGAAAAATGAACTATTTGATCTTAGACCTATTGTCAACAGTTTTCTTTGAAAACAAGTCTGTGCTACAAATATTTTGTTTCTACCTGGACTTACCTGTTACGTTTGTTGAGTAAATCAAACAGCTGTCCACAGTAAATTTCAAAGAAACTGACCCATACTTTAAGATCAGATCCATACTGTTTGGACTCAATTATGGAAAAAATGTCATGCGTAGCTAAAAGATAGAGGCCTGGTACATCATGTGACCCGATCATTGTGTGTGTCTTTCCTGCCCCGGTCTGCCCATAGGCAAAACAGGTTGCACTACCCCTACAATTAAACAGGAAATTTCAATAAAAAATTCACACAGAATTAGAGCTCACTAAGGGGGTGACAAGAGCAAAGTTGCGACAAATGTATTACATACAGGGGCATAACTCTTCCAAAAAAGGTCATAATGCAAAACTGCCTGAGATTGCGCAACAACATAGAATGGGATAATTATTCTAAAGAGGATTATAATGCAATATTTTCTAGGGGTATATCGCCATATGATAGTGGCACCCCAAACAAATTTTTCTTCAGTTTTAACGAAAAGGGGTATAGGTCCCTTGAAAATTGTCCATACGCAAAATCATTTCAGGAGTCACAACTTCATATGATACATGCACTTCACAGGAAATTTGTAAAAAAAAAAAAAATTGAAAACATTAAAAAAAAGGGCGAATGTATGGCTGGACAATTTTGGTCTACAGACAGAGGAACAGGCAGATAAGTTGACACCAGTATACCCCCTCCCTAACTCTGTTGCAGTGGGTATGAAAATGATAAAAGTCTCAGTTACCAGCACAAGTATAGCAGCGTATAGTACATACAACATAGTCGAACTATTTAAAACAACATAATCAATATGGAGTATCATTTTAAATGATAATGTATTCATTCCTATTATAAGTCTATTTATATGACATGGAGAAATAACATTTACAGGTCTATAAATGCAACTTGAGCAGTGCTGTTTAGAGGTGGCTTCACCGCTTACCAAACATATCATAAAACAGTCATAAAAGGTGAACATTCTGATGGACAACTTACCCTGTAAATATGTTACCAACAAGGGGCCTAGCTGCCCTGACATAAACATCTTCATTAGTGCATTTGTCATCAAACACTTCATCAAAAATGAATTCATGCTGAAAGTCAATGTACAAATATCTAATCACCATCGACACAAAAAGAAAATTTAAAGTTAAGGATGTATGAAACTCATGTTCAACCACATGTTGTGAGGGTACTTCTTTTGAGAATAACTCTGAAAGTTTAGGGCAGATTCAACAAAATTTTGCATCAATTTCATATAGATGCCGACTTGGTGGAACACTTTTTCTTGAGTTTTAGGGCCCAGTTATAAACATTTCTGTCCATTTCTTGATTTTTGAAAAAAGAAAAGAAAAGACAATCAGGTGAAAATTACTAAAAATTCAAATATTTTTCAATCAAAGCATAAAGTCTCACAAAAAAGATGAATTTCGAAATCACCAAGAATTCTTGTTTTTCACAGAAGAATGAAGAAAAATAATCAAAAACACATATTTCCTTTAACACATTTTCTGACAGTAAAAGAAGTCAAAAGTTAGATTAAAAACATTTCTGGCGTCTGAGTTTCATACATTATCAAATCATGTTTGTCATTATTCAGGAACTCTTTTTCCATAGAATTGGGGACCAAATATGGTGTTATTCCCAATGGCCCATTTACATTCCAAAAATAATTATAGTTTATGAAATTGATGAACTCCATAGGAGAAAAATTAACCTATGAATTATCATTAAATTCTAACATCTTTATTTTTTTTGTTTTTCCCAGCTTGAGATTTTGCCACATTTTAGCCAGATTCAACACTACAGGCCAAATTTCCAAAGTAGTGAAAAAAGGTTAAGGCCTAGGAATAGCTGTAGTTTGGTACATGCAGGAAACAGATCGTTTTTTATCTAAACTCAACAATGATGTATTTAACTGACAATGCTTTACTATTTACTTTTACCTAAACACTAAACATATTTTCCTTTAATGGAAACATACAATAACTACGCAAAAAAAGCAAAACATTAAAATATAATAGGTGTTTATCTACATTTCCGACTGTACTCACTTCCAGTGTATATGCTGTAAGATCCACAGCTTGCTTTGGTTCATTGACCGTCAATGTTGTTGTACTTTCAGCTTTGCATACATCCACCTCCTTGTTTTTAATTTCCCGTTTATTCATTGGTCGTTTTCGTACACACACTCGTATCCTTTCGTCTCCAAGAAGTCCTCCTTCAGCACCTCTTGCCTTTGATTTACTGACTGACTGAGCAATACTTCCAGCTTTAGGAACCCCATAATTATAGCCACTTTGCCGAACACGACTTATAGCCGTTTTTCGAACTCGAGGTGGAGGTGGTGAGACTGATGCAGCATTTAGGTGTTTCTTTGCTGGTTCATAATCTGAATGTGTTGATCCTTCAGAGCTTGATTCATCTGAACTTGACCCTAAGTCAGATAAATCTGCCCTTGAGAGAAACTGATTGCCAGAGTGAGCTTGAGCTGTGGGAAGGTTTTCCCGAACTCTGACATTACTGGTTGCATTTAGTGCATACCCAGACAATTGTGATTGTGCAGTGTATGCTGGACTTCTATTTCGTTTTCTTGCTGATGATGGTCTGGCTCCTGTTCTAGGTGGAGTAATATTTGGTGAATCAGACTGATGTACAGATTTTATGATATCTATCAGCGCAGTAAGTCTTCTTTTATCCTCGATAGATGTAACACCGATAGCTTCACAGTCTTCTAGGGTGAGTTTTGCCAGTGATTCAGATTTTGTGATCCCATTTACTCGTAGAGTTGGATAGTATTTCTCAAGACGTGCTTCACGAAGACACTCAAATAAAGTCCCCATGTTCTTAAAGATATCACAGCCTGATGTTTGACCTAAAAACAAAACAAACAAAAAAATAGCAATGCAAACAACCATACAGAAATGAGTTACTTGATGAGATTACGAAAATCATTGGCAAACCAGGGACTGTAATGCTATGTCAGCGATGTTGTCATCTTCTGAAAATGTTCAAAAAGATTTTACAAAAAGGAATGTAAACTTCACATAACTCTAAATAATCTATAACAGTGTAGTGAATTTGTTTTGAAAAGATGACAACTATAACAAAATGGTTTGTGTCTGAAGATTTACCATTTGATCTTGTTTAAGACTGTAAGTACTCTATATGTACCTTCTAGGTATTGTAGTCTTACAATACCAGTAAAACAAGTCAAATCAAAGTTAGTTCACATGTGACTTATCATAATTAAAAGAACTAAAGTCAATTACTTTCTGAGAATGGAGTTACAACAGGATTCAGTAGATTGATTTTCTTGCATCAACTTCAATGATATTGTATCTTCAATGTGAAATACATAGAAATATACTAACCCTTTTCAAGTAAATAATAGTCACATATCAAGTGAATGAGTCAAATATCTTGGAACAAAGTTCATCTTGATAACCTGAATAAAAGCACAATGTGTTCGAGACTTCCTGTAGCGTTTCGAGATGTTGCCTGTCTCAACATGTCACAGAAGTTTAAGAATCATTGGACGACAATTTAAAGTTCATGAGTCAAAATGGTGCGTTTTGAATTTGGACAAAACAAAAATGTCACAAAAGTGGTTATTGCAGTTTCATCATCATATCTATAAGATCCTATGATAATGTATTGAATGTTTTGGCGGCCTTAGCAACAAAATTGAAAAAAAAATCTTTAAGAGAATATTGTATATTCACCTTAATTATGCATTCCAAAAATGAAAGTAACTCCGGACGCCACGACAATATCCATCTTTAAGAAGAGGACTTAAAATACCACCTAGGTGAAAGCTTGTGGTGACAGCTGTTTCATGAATATTTTAGTGTCTATACATTCTACACAGGGGAGCTAATGTTTTTCATACGGCCGCCATTTTCCGACGCGACAGGTCGGCAAGGCATTTTCTAATTTGGAAATACCGGATAGAATATTCCGGATAAAAAATCACCGAGGCATTGTCGAATTATTTTTGTTTAAATCTGTAAATAGCGGTTGTATTACTCATTGTTGTTAATGGTCGAGAATTAAATGATATATTAATTTCTAAAGTAGCTTATATTGGATCTAACATGAAAATGAGAACGATCCATCGAGTAATGTGCAACTTGGATAATATAAAAGAATTTCTTTTATAAGAACTGTTTAATGGTTTCACATTATGTTGTGTACTAATTCCTTTTTCCTGTAAAACTGACTTATTACTGTGTGTAATTTGATGTGTATTTGATTAAGGGAAATATTTGAAATTAATTATCCGGAGTTTTTCTATCTCTATTCTGTGTTGGATTCCAAAACTAATATGAGACAGATATCATTCGAGACTCCTCAGAACGTAACCGATAGTCATTTGTGAATTAGAGAAATTCCGTATTTAAGATGGCAGGAAAGGAGGTTGTTGCAGCCGGATTTATTGTTTTTCGGACAATATCATCTGAAATACAGTACTTACTGCTGCAAACATCATATGGTCAACACCACTGGACGCCACCAAAAGGTTGATTAAATGTTGCCTGCATTTGAGAAGATGCATTAATCATGAGACTAATGTAACAGACACTTGTATCTCGATAGTAAACTTTGAACAGGTTGGACACATTTGAAAGATAGTTTTGAGTAATCAATTAGTTACTCAAATGCAGAGTCATTCTGAAATATACCATTGATTAATTAGCTTAGAAGCCATTTTTGCTGCACTCTGATACAATGTTCAAGAATTGAGTCACATGTGTAAAAAAACAAAAAACAAAAAAAATCTGTCCACTTTATACAAATACAATGTTGTATGATTATTATACCAAAGACGTTTATATAGTAGATTGTGAATTTTACTTGGTTTTTATTATAGGTTAATATTTCAGAAAGAGTTGCAAGTGACCTTACTTAGCTTGCCTATTCAGCCGACATTTATATCCTCCATATTTATTCCATGTCATCATTGTTATACCTTTAATTACATCCATCTGTTTTAGCTTGATGATCAGACCAATCTTTAGACAAGCTTAATAAGTTATTAATGATATTAGTTGGCATTCAATACCAATAAAAAAGCAGTATAAATGTCATTTAGACTTCTTATATCAAATGTATGAAAATCCAATGATGTTCATTTGCTGAAAGTTATTCAATACTCAATATTCAAAAAACTAAAAAAGTTGTTACTAATTGCATATAAACATGTAATTTTTAACAAGTCAGAATTTTGAAACTCCCTAATGGCCCCTGCAAGTTTGGCTACCCAAATAATAATGATCACAGAAAAAGACATAGATGTAATTTCCCTACAATTTTCTGTTTTTCTTCACAATGCCTGTGACTATATAAAACATGTCTCATGGAAATGGACAAATTCCAGGTATGGATGGATTTAACTGAAATCATATGGTGAATGCACAAAGAGTTACTATTCCTTGTTTGAATTGTAGGATGTTTGTAGTGATGATGATGGGTTTGTGTTTTTTTTGTATGAAGTGGAAAATTAATTATGACTAGAGATCCATTGGCATGCAAAGTTACTTACATAGCCATATCCCACAAATCACTCTGCTTCTGTGGGTCAAACTGTAGTGCGTCTCTTTATTATTGAATTTCAATTCAGTCACAGCATCCTATCACCATAACTGGTAAACCACTTCTGATTGATTTGTGTCTGTCACAGTAAAAAGAATATATTTGTTTGAAATTTGTTTAATGAAATTTTTTCAGAGTAGTGTCATTCAGTTAATTTTCATACATCTGGTACATCTTATAACAGGTCACGTTGACCCTGGAGAGTCTGAGTTTGACACTGCATTGAGGGAAACAACAGAGGAGGCAGGACTGAACAGATCCCATCTGGAGGTCATAGACAATTTCAAAAAAACATTGAATTATCCCGTGAATGGAAGACCGAAAAGGGTTGTATACTGGCTGGCAAAAATGAAAGATCCTGAGATGGCTGTTACTCTGTCTGATGAACACATTGACTTTAAGTGGTTAAAAGTGCAAGAGGCAAATGAACTCATCACACAATATAAAGACCTGCAGGCAGTTTTAAATGATGCAGATGAATACCTTAAGAGTAAATACAGCAATTTGTGATGTTTGTTTGGTCTTGGTTTCCTGTTTTTCAAGCACTTGTAACAAAATAAGTAAAAAATAGGTTTAATGATAACTTTGGAATGGTGTGTATCGTAGAGAGCAGCGTCTTAGTTTAAAGTACATGAGGTCAAAAGTCAGTCAATGCTGGACCGAGGAAAAAATCCCGTGAGTGACAGGTAGTGATGCACGCCTGATAACAGGCGGGATGTGTACCGCAGTGTTGAAGCACCGTGGCAGAATATCGCCAGTATGATTGATCAGGACAGATAGATGCCCTCTTTTGTATGTCTCGCGCTGGCGAATGTATTTGTATGTTAATTACAGTAGGAACTACAGTTGATAACGGGTACTCCTAGTCGCACATGCCTTCATAATTAGATGGTCCGTGGGTTGGGTTATTGTTGTCCAATAGGGACTAGGCTGAAATTAGGTATTTGGGTATTATTTATTCTAAGACAATAGCCAGAAGTTAATCGAGTCTGGGATCGAGTAGCTAGAGAGAGTTGGTAGTCGGACGTGGAGACGGGCAGAGTCCCGTATGGGACCTGCTCCGCGATGGAGCAGGCCCTGGCCAAGTTGGCCCATGGACATTTGTATGGAACTCTTTGATATGGACGGGCAGGTGTTTAGTTTTTGTCTGCCTTACACAGGTATTTATTTTTGGTGCCACGACATGCTGCTGTATGTTGATTAGGAACTATCTTTTGTAATGGATATTAGCGCGAAGTACTAACTATGGAAAACCACTATACTATGAAATAAACGTTTCGGTCAACCCAAGTAAACACCACGTTCAGTCATTTTGTTACACACTGTTGCTGACCACTGTATAAGGCTACAGCTCAACAATGCTGTTAACTATCCAGATTCCTTTTAACTGCTGAAGATATTTTTCTGTATGATAATGTTTTAACCATAGCAGTATCATTCAAGGAACAGTGCAATGGAACTGGTATAATCATTGTGATAGGGTTCATGTGTACCACACTGATATTTATCTAAGAAATGTTTTCTAATTTTTGTAGTACCGGTATATTGTTTTGAAGACAGTTTGCTATTATATTTCTCAGAAATGTTTTCAATATGTAATTCTTCAAAACAATGTAATTGCATCAATTCCTTGAAGCTTCACCATTATAATCTCAAGGCTACTGTACTGATAACCAATGTGACTACATTCTCAATAATCGAGGTATTACGATAACTTTCGCTCTGTGTGTCCCTGGAATATGTCATGGCAACATTGAAGGTCCTATGTGCGACACCTTGTGGACAAGATGAAAAAACTAGTTGGATCCTTTGATGTACATTAAACAAATCCTGAGGTCTCATAACAGTATATAGTTGAAGTTGGGGGTCGCGTGTCGCTTCTTTGCTACCTTCAAAGGAGCATATCAGCCTCTCACCTTCTCTGTAGACTGATCTTCAATGGGTACATAAGGAAGGGTAAAGCAGAATTCCTCTGTATGCTGATGTCCAATTGGTCCATAGTTACACAAGTGTGGTAAAGTAGAACTTCTCTGTAGACAGATCTACAATGGGTACATAAGGAAGGGTAAAGCAGAATTCCTCTGTATGCTGATGTCCAATTGGTCCATAGTTACACAAGTGTGGTAAAGTAGAACTTCTCTGTAGACTGATCTACAATGGGTACATAAGGAAGGGTAAAGCAGAAATTCCTCTGTATGCTGATGTCCAATTGGTCCATAGTTACACAAGTATGGTAAAGTAGAAGTTATCTGAATGCTTGTGTGAAATTGGTCTGTAGTTACACAAGTATGGTAAAAGAGAACTGCTCTATATCCTTGTATGAAACTGCTCTATAGTTACACAAGTATGGTAAAGCAGAACTGGTCTATATCCTTGTATGAAACTGCTCTATAGTTACACAAGTATGGTAAAGCAGAACTGGTCTATATCCTTGTATGAAACTGCTCTATAGTTACACAAGTATGGTAAAGCAGAACTGCTCTATATCCTTGTATGAAACTGCTCTATAGTTACACAAGTATGGTAAAGCAGAACTGGTCAGTAATGATTGATTAAATCGATATTGTGCTTTTGTATGACTGGTCAAAAAATTGTTATAAAATTTATAATAGAGTGTGAAGTATAGAGGATAGAATGTTAAATATTTGTGGAGGAAGGAAATGAATCTGGTAGAGTGTGGTAAGAGTGATATCTAACTGATTGGCATAAAAACTAAGCAAGAAAGTCATTTTTGGGATCAATGTAGCCCCTGTGATAAGGTAGGTAATCAACACCAACTATTCTCGTCTCTGGAACATTGTGTACATGTGACACAAACTCAAATCCCCATGGTTTAGAACACAGACTTAGCAATACAGCGTATGAAGTATCTAAGTCAGCGCTATGGAACAATAAACACTTTTTCACATTTGTATTTTGCAGAAACTGGGTTCCTTCAACTAATTCTTACAGGTCTCAAAATTAATAAATACAAACACAAATACTATTAATATTTTGAAGTTTGTTTATTGTTTTACAAGATTTTAATGAGGTGAAAAACAAACATCAAGTCATCTTGTCATTTGCTGCCAGAATATTTACATGTAATTTCATAAGTACAGATCCGCAGGGTCAAACATAGTGTACTTAGTACCAAGGTAAACTACACAAGTCTCTCTAATTCTATGGACAGATTAGATCCAAGTCTACCATTGTCTTCAGTGTTATTTCGTATTAAGCATGAGTGTAAAATTCTATGTTTTGTGTTGCTTTGTAACTAAATTTTTTTTATACAATTGATATTTTACACCCAAATTAGAATGACAAAATCACTAGACATCTGCTCTGCTGACCTCAGCTGAAGTTGGAATCACTGATCAGAACAATTTGGGTAGTAAACCAATGTATTGACAAATTTTAGAGTCATAATATGATAAATCTAGATTACCTTGAAACAGATGTTCTCATAGTTTTATTTGGTCAGCATTCTGAACCTTGCTTCTGCTTTTAGAATGGCTTGACCAGATATGAATTTGCAATCTAGTATCTCTATTTAAGAAGCAAGGACTTAATTTCATGTGAAGATTAGCATGGATAGGTTTTCCTACAACAGTCTGTAGAAAATGCAACTATGCCCATATTGATGGAATATACCAGCTACTAAATGCATTGCTAATGGTGAGTTGTATGCATTCTTCAAACTGATGAACTGTTGAGTAGTTGAGGTTTTCTTAAATTAAGTGATAATGGATTGTCATTTACTCCATGATAAAATAATGTAAATAAACTTTCTTTCATTTTAAAATGTCATGACCAAATTATAAGTTTTATGATCATAAAATAAAATCTAATGATTAATTTTAAAAGAAGTACAAAATAAATTTGTGACAGAAAATGTTTGATAAAAGCTTCAATGAAAAAGAAACATCTGTAGATGGAAAAAGGAACAAAAACAACACATGAACGCAAATATGAAAATACAAATTCAAACTTCATACAAATGAATGGTATGGTATACTCCATAACAAGTTAAACATTCAACTGAATCAGACTATCCACATCTTTTTTTTAAAGATTGGATTTGCATGCAAGTCAAACATCAAATAACTAATGTAAATGAGGAATATCACATCGTCTGTCAGTTATATATTTTTTGAATTTACATATCTTCATCAGATTCCATTTGTTGAGCTGTTAATTCATACTTCTTTTCAATTCCGACAACCCCACAATCTTTTATGGAGACCTTCTTTTTAGGAATTGCATTGACACTGCTAGCAGGGACTTCGCCAATTTCTTTAACAATGTCCTGTAAAACCATAATAGCATTTGTATTGAAGCATTTGTTGTAAATAATAAGAAATTCATGAAACCACATAAATTGTGTGGGCTTATCAGCCATAAGATACAGTTATTTAAATTATACAGTGTATTTGATAAATCTACAAATAAAATACTTTATCTCTTAAAATGTAATTGAATGTTTATTACAATATATTATATATACATACATTTATATGTGTGGGTGTGTGTATGTAGTTTATTTTAAGGAGATGCAATAGAAAATAAGTGCTTACCATTCCTCTGATGACTTTTCCAAAAGCCACGTGCTTGCCATCTAGCCACCTGGCCTTGGTCAACAGGATGAAGAACTGGGATCCATTGGTATCAGGACCATGATTTGCCATGGAAACGTAGCCAGCTGCTTTGTGGGATATTTCAAATGTCTCGTCAACAAATTTATCTCCATAAATACTGGCACCTGTGAATTGAATATATAAATGATACAAAACATGCTGATTTTTTGTTTGAAAATACAACATATTTAATATTTCAACGTAATGATGATTTTAAATGTTGACACTAAATCTTTCTTTAATCCATATACTACTATACATTTTAATAGAGACCTTAGAAAATATTTTGCTAGAAATAACTGTAGAAGGTACATGTATTTAGGAAACTGCGATAATATTACGAAAGGCAACACAGTAAAGAATTTGTCCACAGTTTGCAAAACTGTTGGCATCATACCTCCAGTTCCATCTCCTTCTGTGACGTCACCCATCTGTATGATGAAATCGGGTACGATCCTATGTATTGGGGAATTCTTGTAATGAAGATTCTGAAGAAGATTTTAAAAAAAAGTTGAATCATTTCCCATAAAAGTGGAAGATCAATCGGGGGAATTCAATACGAAATTTATAGTTAAACAATATATCTTTCCGAGAAGTTGGTACCTAATTCTGCCAGAAATTTTATACTTCTCGTGCTATGTGTGATTGTGATTTTCTCCAATTCCTGTTATCTGGAAGTGGTTGTATGATAAAGCCAAAACCAATTTCAAAGAAATCAACTTATGACTTCTACATTCGGCAGTGTCCTTCAAAAAATATATATCTTCTCAATCTATAGTGGTCAACAACACGAAATAAATAATGAAAAATTTGTTCTGTCTCCTGTGGGATTCGAACAAGGGACCTTCCGGTCTCAAGCCAGGCAGACATTAAAGGGAGACTTGCAACTAGCCAATGCACAGTCCCAAAGTCTAATCCACGCACAAGAACGGATTTAAGCCAGGCGTAAAACACATACATCCCCGGCCATCCCCGTTTTGAAAAATTATCTTCATAAACTTGTTTTAAACACTGCAAGTTGCAAGATAACTTTTGAGGAAATCACCAACGATACTATTTCAATAGATGAATATTCATCTGAAAATGTATATTTAAAAAAAAGCTGTGTTGATATGGAAACTATTTCCTAATTGACAAGATAGTCGTGTACGACACATCCTGGTGTCAACTATTTCAATCGGCAGAAAATGCTTCAAGTTCAATCAGATTAAAACGAGATGCTACATACAACAAAAATAGTCGACATTCGAAAATTTCCGCATTCATTCCTGGTGCATATTTATAATTAATGAACACTGTTTTGTTTACATTAATGTGGTTATGTTGGAATACTCAATTGGGATATGATATACAATATCACTCCACTTTAAAATCAAAACGTGTGTGCTGAAAAGCATCTTCAGAGATTCATGTTTCACTCCAATGGAATGCTTAAATAAATCAAAACTACAAAGCTCAACTGCAGGAAGACAAATACACACATACACAAAAGAAAATAGCTGTCTATTAGTTTTTAGTCAATTGATTCTACGTGGCGCAACAGATGTTGCCACCGAGTGGCATCCGACTCGATAACAATGTATTGACCGTTGCTTTATAGTGAACTGAATTAACCACGAGGTCTGAACTGCCACGTGTAATCAGCATCTCCACGTTTGAGAAAAAGTCCCGGTATCATATAGCCTATTTAGTAATATTAATTTAATTTACCTTGTAAACTTTCATTTTACATTACCCTAAGTCTTCACTTAGACGAGACAGAAATTTCTGAGTCGCGACGCAGGCTATCTGACTGAAATGTTTTTAGTGAGTTAACTTTGTGTCGGAGAATGTTGACAACCTCGTTTAAAATTAAGAGTGATGATAACGAAAAAAAATTAGGAAATCATATGCTTACCTTCTTACCTCGCTTGTACCCCCGAACAATGCTCTGAAAGTTCATTACTGTCATAGGTGCAATGTCACCGAAAAGAGCGACGACGAATCGTCCTTGAAACGTAACTTCGTCGCCGTCTTCTACCGCCACATCAAACCATACCTCTTCTGTGACTGTGTTCTTTATCTATCGGGGAAAAAATATTAGGTAAATGCTGCATATATACCACTAAATTCCACTCAGAAATCCCTTTTTCCACAAGTATACCATTTCAACATTATAATTCAAAAGTTCAAGCAAATTACAGCATTTGTCAATTTTCACAGTTGCATTTACATATTAACACTTTTACATACAACTGCTTATAAAATAACCACTTGTACTTTACAGTATAATGAACGGAAGCTAGTCTCCATCCTACACAATATTAGGACCTTACCTTCTTCTTGTTGTCATCATTGTCAGCAGATATCGTTTTACTTATAGCGAGGACCGCTAACAGAAGTAACGCTAAAGTGTTCATACTTCTCATAGTCGCGCTACAATGTCGAAACGAAAAAAAAGTATTACGGTATTATATTTACTCAAAAGTTAGAATTTCGAAAATATATTTATTTTGTCGACTAAGGTTTCTTTTAAATATGTCTAGTAAGGCTTTCCCTTTTTTTTTTTAATATGTTCACATTTAATCTAGCTTGATTTTCTAAATTTAATTATAATTGTCTATGGACACTACACAGTTATTGTCTTTGCAATTGACACGTAAAATCAGTAAAGTTAATTAGCTGTATATATGTAACGTTCATTGAATATAACCATGCATTGCAATTTCATTTCCGTGATAAAAAAAAATCTCCATATACAAATACATTAAAGATTAATATCAAACTATTTCTGTGAAAGTACAAAAGTACATATACTTCAATCGTTTTACCTTGCTGTCGTTTAATCCAACGCGGGTAAGTTGTCCGGGGTTTTAGTGGACAAAAGAGACGCAAACAAGCTTTATATATCATTTATCGTCCACGAAGACAGGGACGTGGCCACCATAGTTTGAGGATCGGAGGGAAATTTTGAGTAACACAAACTCCATTAATATTCGGATCAAAACTTCAAAAGTATTCTTTAAAATTCTATCTATTAAGTACATAAAGCGTAAGTATTTATTTTTCTTTTTTTTTTGGAAATGAAAGGTAGAATTAAAACGGGAAAAGAGAAAAAGTAATTATTAGGATCATTTGTTGGGCCCCAAGGGGCACGTTTGTCTCAGTATCTGTACCTAGTACACGTCGGCAAGATATCAGCTGGTAGTCATTGATTGACGGCATCATCAACGTGTCCTGAGATCAGTCTGTCTCAGCCCAGCTGCTGTACCTCAGAACACAAACGTCTTAAATGAAGTGACGATTTTTATTGACAGACGGTCAAAGCAACAGCTGTATACAATTTTAGTGTTTGTATTGAGTTCTGTTAAGTTATATTTTGATCGTTGACACTTCAATCTCATTAATATTTCATTTATAGTTTGACTAAAACATTTCTTTTAATCGTAAGTATTTAATTGGGAAAACGCATGTGTCATTTTTACTTCATTATTATTTTCTTTAAACAATTTACTGCACCGACACAAACGTGTATACGTGTCACTCATTAATATTCTTACTATAGTCACACCCAGTCCTTCTATACAGGATCGAGTGTCTATTTCGTTGGTGATCCAGGAAATAAATCTTTAAAATAAAATGTGACAAGTTTCCTAAATTACAAATAAAATCGAAACGAATCTAAGACCGAAAGTACTACTTTTACTATTAGTATCAATATGTTGAACATGCCATAAAACAATCGTGGCATGATTGCCATAGAATTGGTCTTTTTCAGACCTGTCTCCCATGAGGACAATGGGAAAGTGCAAAACATATGGATCCTGCTGCACTTGCCGTTCCGTCAGGAATCGAATTTGGGTTCTGAGTGACCGTCAGATTTCACAATGTTAAAGCCAACTTTATCTCTCCAACGGTTGATAACTCTTATAATACAGAAAAAAAGGAATCGTATCATTTGGATCAACGTTGTTTACACTATGTCATAAAAATAAAAGAATTCATCCACAAACACAGAGAGAGAGAGAGAAAGAGAGAGAGAGAGAGAGAGAGAGGGGGATGGAGGGAGGTGAAAAGAATCATTTGTATAAAAGAATAAAGTTGTCATTATCCAGATATGTGAAAGTTCTTCTAATGAGTCCCATAACATTGTTAGCTTTATTAATTTTTATTTTTATTTTTTTTTTATTTGTTTATTCAGTCAAAGGCATAATAAAATTGCACATTACAAATATTACATAAGCAATTCCATAACAATTAAAATCAGTAATAAATTATTGTGGATTTCTTAAAATTATTAATTATAAAATATAAGATATCACAGAAGTATTTCACATACCTTACAATATCACAATTTAAACTAGTATCGCAGAAATTAAATTTCACTCTGCTTGCAAATCTTTTAAGTAAAATAGTTGAAAATTTAGAAATATAAATAAAAAAGAGAGAAATTTGATAAAACCAGATGAAAATGCCTTTGGCCTTGGATTACCCATAAAGCCTATAAAATAGGCTTATTTCCAATGGGGTCCATTTAAGGTGTAATCCTTCCGGTTGAGATGTAAAGCCATGGAAATGAGATTGAATTAATTTTCTTTATCTAATTTTCATTAACTATAAATGAAACAGAGCACTACATTTGAAAGAAAATTACATTTACATAGAAGATATGAAAACAAATACTGAAAGTGAATAAAATGTTTTGGCACATTTCAGGGCATTTATGAAAAAGGATGGGATTTGAAGAGGTATTACATAATAATATAACATGAACAATAATATAACATAATATGAACAATAATATAACATCACTACCCGTTCAACCAGACGCAAAGAAGTGGAGGTTGAGCTCAACAGTAGACGAAGGGGTTGTCAAATTCGCCTTTTGATTGTAGCATCAGAAATTGTTTTACTTTGTTTTTAAAATGATATTTATTTTTAGAATTTTTAATATTTTCTGGAAGGGAATTCCAATCTTTTGCGGCCGAAGTAGAAAAGGAAGAACTTTCTATGCTTTTAACGTTTTTTATTGAGAAGTTCATCGTTCCAGATCTAGTACCACAACAGTTTTTGTTTAGAGAGAAAAGTTCATATAAATATTGTGGACATTTACCATTATAGATGTTAAAAGTATGGTTGAGGCGAAGTTGACGGACCCTCCTTTCTACATTTAGCATGCCTAGTTTTTCTAATTCAGTGAGAGTGATCCTTGTTCTGTTATCAAGGTTAAGAATAAAGCGGACCATTTTGTTTTGGGTAGTCTGGAGTATACCTTTGAGTTTCTGAGTAATTCCTTCATACCAGGAGGTGCACGCATAATCAAAGTGGCACTGAATCAGAGCAGAACATAAAGTTTTTCGAGATTTTAGAGATAGACATTTACTATTTCTGTACAAAAATTTAAGTCTTTGGTTGATTTTGTGGATAATGTTGGAGACAATTTCCTCTCCAGATAGAAATTCATCTATCGTAACACCGAGGTATTTTACTGAAGATTGCGAAAAAATGTTTTGACCGTTACATGAAATTTTGAAATCACCCTCGGGTACTTGTCCTAATTTTCTCTTTGGTCCAAATAAAATACTTTCTGTTTTACCTAAATGTAATGATAGTTTGTTGTCAACAAGCCAATCATGACATGATTCCAAAACTAAGGATAATTTTGAAGAGATTGTTTTGGGACAGTGATGTGAAAAAATATTTGCACTGTCATCAGCATACAGAAGTAGTTTACAGGAAATGTCTATACTTATCCGCATGTCATTTACATAAATCAGAAATAAAAGAGGGCCCAGTAAGCTACCCTGGGGGACCCCACAATGGATGTTGTCCATTGCGGAGGTCACACGATGCTTAAAATGCTGACAGGACGGTAATTTTCCGCCTGCAGTCTATCTTTTCTTTTTTCTCCTGTATGTGATGTTCAAACGATAAGTTGGAGTCAATGGTTACTCCTAAGTCTGTTTCTCTATCAACTTGGCGTAGATAATGCGTCTCATCACCAGAACTCAGGAAATACACAGGTGTACCGTTAATTGTGTCTTTACCAACTGTTAACACAACACATTTATCTAGGTGGTATCGCAATAGCCATTTGTCCGACCAGTTTTGAAGTGATGTTAAGTCATGTTGTAGCTGGACTCTATCCTGATCACAAGTTATCTTCTTGAAAATATCATCCATGTTGGTTCGTCATCAGAAAAGTGGCATATGTAGACGAGTCTGGTCGTGTCCTTGATTTTCAATTCTGATAAGTGTATACGATGAATATATTCAACTAATTTCTTGTTGTTTAAAATCGATCAAGAACACTGGCATACTACGTCAATAAATCCAGAGACGTATTATGACTTCACGACTCGGTAAACAAACATAAGTCGCCTCTGCGCCTAGTGTTTTATTCATAAAAATCTTAAAGCGAAAGATTCAAAAATATATATTGCCAGTCAGAAATTCGATCACTTTCACGATTTCATTCAATATAAAATGTCATTCGACGTTGTCTTTACACACGCAGCAATTATTTTGAAATGGACTATATTGCTTTTTTGGGCGGAAAGTGAAATAGGCTATAGTCTTTCAGAACACTGACGTCACACATGCTTCAATATGACAAGATGGCTACCACCGAGGGGTACGCTGATCATTGTTGTTCATTTAATTTCGTTGACATATATTCTGTGAATTTTACTATGAAATCGTTTAATTGGAGATTGTCTTGCATAATTTGTGAACAGAAGCAACCAGCTTTGGAGCAAAATGCCGCATTCTAGCATGGACAAGTTTTCCTCGTGATCGCACATGACTTTGTTTTGGATTTACGCTGCAATAACCTTGCCCTTATTGCTTTCCACACAACGACGGAGCTGATGGTTTTTGGTCACATAACATGTCAGTTTAAAGTTATATGTGCTATTATTGTCTCTCCTTAAAAGGGAGCAGTCTCCTAATATCATATTCAAAGACGGCAAACTCCCAAATTAATTAATTAACGTCCCATAATCCTCCTAATTATAGCTTGTTCAGCTTGGTACTACTGCAATGGGGTTCGTTACAAATTAAATGCCTACTGCACAGTACTGCTTGAGCACAGTGGCTTGTTTAGATATATGTCCAGTACATACAGGTACCGGAACACCGGCAAATCTTGCTGTATAGTCAAATTTGGCTTTACTGTATAGTAAAATATAACTAAACATCTGTACGACAAATAAGGGCAAATAAGACATAACTGTTGATTAAATATTGTCAGTGCAAAGTTTGGTACTTGCACCCTTTATCTCGATGTTTCAACGGTAAGGCAAGAAATTTTCCTATTCCATTATCAAAATACCATGTAGCTTGTCGCATCCACTGCACAGTTCGCATTCCTTGCATGAAAACTGCTGAAAGATTCTTATCTTATTTAATTGACCTGCTGTATAGTTTGCCTTTAAATATGGAGTATATATACAGGGCTCTCGATCTGTCAGATTTGGGGCTGAATTCCCAATGCAAAATAGTATCTTTTTTTCCCAATTTAGACCCCAAGTTTTCCCAATTCTAAGGAAAACACCATTATTTTCCCCAATTCAAAGGGCCCCGGGCCCCAGTCCCAAAATGGGGTGTGAGAGCCCTGATATATGAATACTGAAAAATCGTGTTGGTAAAATTCCAATAAAATTCGCTGAAATTTAGCAAATGTGCCAAAAATATTCATGTCATTGACTTGCTTAATCAGTTATCAGTTTTTTCGATCTGCACGAGAAATGTGTTTTTGCCTCTCTTGTTTATTTATATTTGCTTTATATAGGTGTTGTCAGAGTGGATTATTAAGCTAAATCTGTCTACATAGCCAGTACCTGATAAGTATTCAATGTGTAGTGGCTTTATATCATCAAGGAACCTAAAATGACATTTTTTTTTTAAATACCTCCTCCACTGTCCCCAACTGAAAGTTAATTCTGTGTAAAGAATTTTTTGGGTTTTTTTGTCGTTTTTTTTTTCTTAAATTCACATATTGACACGAATGGTCTGATTTGGTAAAATGACAGATCCAATACTTAATATTGGCCATTATTTGTATTTTAGAGTCATGTTGTCTTTTCATTGATATGGTTGATTATGGTTATTGCACAAAAATAGTTCCCCAGCCTTTGGATTTTCTTTTTAATTAGAAAAGGGCTGTTATATCATATTAGATACATGTACATTAGTCAATGGTTGCCAACAATTGACTTTACCCATCAATGTATAAGATCTGGAACTGCTATTTGAAATGGTATACTTGACTGAAATTACTGTGATGACAGTTATTAGACATTATAAGATGTGACCGTTCAGCTCTGATTGGAATCAAGTATCCGTTTTTTCAAAGTAATTTTTAATGATGTTTGCATATATGGTAATCTTAAACAAATTCATATGTATACTAGTAGGTGTATATGAATCTTTTTTGCATCTTATTTTTCACTATGATATTCATACAAGATTGTGTATTCTATGAAACTTAACTTATTTAAAAAAAAAAAAAAAAAAATTATTTATGGAGTTACAATATACAATACTGTGGACCCTTGATAACCCTGACACCTTCATTCTCATCCAAAATTGTCAGGATTACAAGTTTTCCAAACTGGCGAGTGAGTCAACTGGCCAATATAAACAGAGTTATCTTTCTTGATCACAGTCATTAATAAGCTGTAAGGTTTTTTTAGAATATCTTTATGGTATTTACTATGAATACAGGAATTTATAAATGTCTTTCATAGTCTAAGTAAGTTTCATTTTCATAAATAATTGCATATGAATTTAAATTTCCAAAGTGAAAGGTGTGTTATTCAAGTCCAATAGCATTAACGATTCATCAAATGTCTGCTCAGAATCTTTATAAAAAATACTAAATGACTTATACTTTGTGGATTGTATATGCACTGAATACAGTCTATTTACATGTTGTTTAATTTGACACTATTTGGGCTAACTCACAGATGAATAAGACAATTCGTTGCCATCTGAAACTGTTGATAATTAACTGAGTCTGTTAAGTTGACAGTGTGATGATAAATTAGCATATTTATACTTGAATACACATGGGAGACTCCTTGATTTGAGAACTAAAAAAGATACTGTAATCTGAAAACTAGAAATAAATACCCCGGATAGGTACCTAGTTTTTCTCTCAATTCACTTCCATATGCATCAGTTGATAATGCAGTTGTCAGTGCAGTGTTTTTCTACTTTAAATATGCAGTACATAGTACATAGAGACAACTGACCCATAGTCAAGTGTAATGAAATTGGTATTTTGATAATTTATATCAAGTGTTTGTTACATGTTTTGTTTATTTTAACTCCTGACCAATTTGCATTTAAATAAAGTTATATCCTGTTTTCTACAAATGTTTGAAATCATGCCAAATACCTACGTTTCTCACTGTATAAAACTTGCCATTTACCATGTTGATAAATATTTTGGAGAATTCAGGATTGATTGCCAAATGTTTGAAAACAAGTCCAGTGATATTTTAGTTTCCTTTGGCCTGTATAGAAGCACTATTAACCCTCGCACCAAATCCACAAGTGAATACCTCTGTCGATGATCTGGGAGTGGTCACTATGATCACACACAGTATCCAGTGGTATGATGTACACCTCGGGCATGGATGAACAAATTTGAACACAATTTTTGAAGGTGGTAATAAAAATATCTGAACTATTGCAGGAATATTACTATATGCATCCCCTAAAAGTATTTCTGGAACCAGAATAAGAATTTCCAGACTGGTGAGTTTAATGTATATTAGGGAAATTCATTCTCAAAAATTTCCATCTGAATTGCGAGTTTTCCAGACTATCTACATCCAGATTTATTGCTGGTCCACTGTGTATAGAAAATCTTTCACAAAATTGATTCAGAATTCATATTGACTATTGACTAACAGTTGTCTTTATAGTCACATAGCTTTGGATTATTTTTTATAAGTGATTATTGTTGCTTGTTTTAGGTTGAACAGAGTCAGCAGGTGGAGTGACGACAACAAAAGTAGTCTAGACGCAGCTAGGGAAGCTGCAGCCAAAGTTAATACTATGTTAATTGCTAAAGGCAAACTCAAACCTTCACAATTATCTCAACAGCACAGCAACAAACAAATGAAGGTAAGATAGTAAACTATTAAAAACTTGACAAAGGTCCAAAGCAGGAGGATGTGCACATCAAGTAGCTTTAAGATTTTTCAAGTTTTTTTTTTTGTGAAGATCAAAGGTTCTAAGAGGCCGCTATGGTTGATTTTCGGGATTAAATTGTCACAAGTAGGATTCAACATATTTATAAGCAAAGATAAGAAAATAAAATAATTACTGAATACATAATCATTGTCAACATTCTGTGTTTGCTATATTGATCACGTACAATACAGAGTTGGGACCTTGATTTGAAGGCCTTATGTGAAGACAATTGATTGTTTACACAAGATAAATAGATCGGGGTTAGTTGGAGGTAAATAGCTTTTCTGAAGTCAAAGATGCCTCTGCCATAAAACGGATGGAAGGAGAGATATAGCTTTGCCCTTGTCCGTGCAGTCACAATTCAAATAACAGCAACGTTATTCTTTTTTGGTGAGAAAGATTTTGGTAAAATTTTATATAAGGGTTAACTAAAAGTATACTTTGGACATAATTGTGATGAAGGGGCTCAAGGCCAAAGTCACTGTTTGCTGTATAAAGAAAATCATCAACTGGTTCAATTCAAACATTTTGCAACTTTATTCTTTTATGGAATAAGATAAAATATGAAATATGAGGATACTTTGGAAGTTGTTGTGTTTCAGGGGTCAAGGGTCAAGGCCTTGGTGGTAGAGCATTTATGTCTTATAGACATTTTCTAGTTTTCTTCTTCAATTATATTGTTTCTGTAATTAAAGAGAATGTAATGCAAAGCCAATAATTGAGATGAAAACAAATTTTGAAAAGAATGCTTTCATGTTTTGGATTAAAAATCAGTTTTCTTTGCTCTCAGAGATAGTTTATGATCAAATTTTTGGATGCACAAATTATGTAAGTAGAAGTATATTTTCAACATTTTTAACCCCAAAAAGTACCTGTGCTGACATTACATATTATGCAGGTTTTGGTAGTAGTTTTCTGGCCTCAAGCCGCATCATTATTGCCAGATTCCAAAAATAATGATTTGTTGCCTCTTTAAATTCTGCTGTTTAAAACATGTTCATTGTTGTCTAAATAAAGTGATGACAGAAAAGTGTTTGACTCTTTGGCATTTCAAGAAGGTAGATTTTGCGTGTTCATTGGACTTGGAGAGAATTTTAATGGTTTCTTGTAGACTCTTTAAGATTTTGTATTTTTGAATGGAGAAGTTGTCTCTATAATATGTAAAAGCAGGAAAAAATTGTGGAATCTCCTTCAAAAACAAGAAGATTTAGCATGTTTGACAATTACTTTTTTTGTAGGTACTACAAATAGTCAATCTGCTGTTAGATAAAAAATGCCAATTTGAAAGGGCAAATGGAAGTTGACGTATTATGAAGCTGGAAAAATGATTAACATAGTATAAAGAAAATAGTCATACAATGGATAATATATTCAAGTGTTTATCTTGTGTTTTAGGTCGGCGCTATTAACAACCTTGTGGTGGCAGAGGTGGAAATCAATGATGTGCCTATTGGCTGTAGAAACATGCTCACTCGAGGATCAACACAGGAGGAGGTAACTCTATACAATTAAATCTGCTTACAAGGCATTCAGTTGGATAAAAATCTCAAAAGTTATTAACTCCCAGCTCTGAATTCTGAGAGGCAAATCAAAATCCAGGGAGTCAAAATATCAGAATCTTTTGGTCAAAAATTTTACAATTTAAATTTTATTAATTAATTTTACTGTTGGTTTGTAAATAAAGTCAAATCAATTGAAGACCAAGGAAATCAGTTAATATTTTCCAGTCTTATATCCATCTTCAAGCAATTTATGTCATATACATATACATATTCCATTTGGAAATCTTAATTTTGTAACTAGTGATTTTGTTTTAATGAATTAAAAAGTCCAACTTTAAAAAATATGAAGTATTCAAATAAAAATGAATGACTTCATTTTGATAAATAGGCTACAGGTATGCAATTATTATTTCATTTTGATGAAGTGGTGAATGTTACCTGGTAATTATTTGTTTGAAATTATACATATATCAAGGACTAACTTTCCATAAGAAATGGTTAGAATGCTATCTACAGTTTAGACTGCAAATAAGTAACTTGAATGAAGCATATCTGACCAGTGGTCTCAGATTAATGAATGCCCAGTGCTTAGTTTACCTAAGGCACCGCATTACAATAGCAAACCCAGAGGGACCTGATGAATTGGACTGCAAATTTATATGCCTCAGATTGGTTATTTGAAGGAATGAAGAAATAGGCATTACATGTTTAGAGTACTTGTATCAATGTTTTATAGTTTCTGCCCCCAGGATGTATAAAGCACAATTTTAGCTTTGGGTTCTTGTTGTGAAATAAAGCACTGTTTTGTTTTAATTAGTTGTGCCAATTATTGTTTCCCCTAGATTTCAAAATTTAGTGGCGCAGCAGTGTCCACCAGAGGAAGATATCTTAGTCCCGAGGACAGAGCTAGAAACATGGGGTAAGAATTTGGAATTTAACATGTCTGTATATATACATATTGTGCAAGAGGTAGATATTTCAATCCTGAGGACAGAGTTAGAAATGAGACTGTCATGGAAAAGCTATTAAGATGAAGTCTCAAAAATTTCATTAGTGTAAATGTTTTTCTGACAAAAGTTTCTAGCTTTAAAAGGAATTATTTCAGAATGTGATCATTTTATATTGGCAAGATGAAAGCTTAAAGTATTTGGTAGTGAAAATAAATCCCATCAGGCCAAAGTCATAAATCACAAAGCATATAGAAATCAAACTTGATTATGTTGGTTTTATGACGTAATAATTTATGCATCAATTTCAGGGACCGTCCATTGTATCTCTGTGTCCAGGGTCCTGTCCAAGAGTCTGTAGACAGTAAGTATAGCTACCTGCCTTGTTCAGATACCACTCATAGACTAACCATCCATCCTAGTTACAGTTATGACTTGTTTCTCACAACCACTGACTAGAGTAGAGAGCTCTGTCCTTCCTATAATCTAGTTACAGTATTGGGTGAATCCTTGTTTCCTTGCTTTTTTCCATCTGTTGGTTGTGTGATTTTAGATACTAAAGTCCTTTGGTTAGTAAATATATTTGCTTTGCAAGCAAACAAAAGTATTCATATTGAATAATATTCTCAATCTTATTATGATGAAAACTTTAAAAAGAAAAAAAAATGGAATCTTCATTGCATTTTCTCCAGTGGCTGTTGGTAGAATCAATGAAATAATCACCAATGGGATGAAGACAAAAGGGACACGTTTTTCTCCAGCGATACGACCGCCACCTCCCATGCAGCGTCCGGCTTTTAACCAGCCACCACCTTTGATGTCAATTCCTAGTTTACCAGCAGGGGTCAGTATAGATATAAGAGGAAGTATATTGTACAGAATGTTGGACCTGTATTGTTGACAAGAGATTGTTATTTTACAATATAGTGCTGTCCACAATGCCATAAATACATTGTGTAGCTACCTCTTATCGTGATAAGTATGTGATAATTAAATATTAAGTGCAGGAAATGTGTTGCCTGTTCAACAGCGTTAATAGAAGAAAACCATCTTAATGAGCTTGCATCACTCTTCATGTTTGAAAACGATTCTCACATTATCTAAGAACATTGAATCAGGCTTTTTCATTTAGTGACTGAGGTAGCTTTACAAAGTTAGTGAGAGCAGTTAGAATAGCGATCTACACAGCTTAAATTGCATGATAATTACTTGCAGCAATAAAGATAATTGAGTTTCACATTTTTCTAACTTGAAATTTTATTATTTCAGATGATGTTTCTTCAAGAAAAATTGTTTATTGGACTAGAACATGCACCACCAACTTTTGATGTTAAGGGCAAAACTATGGGACCAGGAGTAAGTACCATTAGAAAAAAGTATTTCTCGTTTGGATTGATTTCTTTCTAAATCCATTTTATGATGGGAAAGGAATAGATAAGTAAGATTATTTTTGAAAATTGGAATGGCAGGTAGTTTTCCTGTATTTTGTAGGGATCCTATCTTCAACACATACAAGCAGAGACAGGAGCACGAGTGACATTGCGGGGCAAAGGATCTGGATTCATAGAACCTCTATCTGGCCGCGAAGCCTTTGAACCAATGCAGATTCATATCCAGTCAGTATCTTGCTTAAGAATATTTTACAGTTGTGTTATACTTACTAATGAATCAGTGAACATGTGCAAAATTTGAGTTAAAGTTGCTTATAAAAATAAAAAGCCAGTTAATGGAAAAAATGTCCTTCTCAATTGTTAGAACTATAAAGATATTGGTCACATGGACGTCTTCTATGTGATACATTAGCCACCTGTTATGATATAAAATGTTGCTTTATACTGAAGGAGTGAAAAAGTGTATGATAAAGTATACATACACTTATAGTACCAAATGTAAGATAAAGTATCAACAAAATCTGGTGATAGGTAATGTTCTTACTGAACAATCACACTGACCTCAAGAGACAGATATGTGATAATGATAGGAAATGATTGATGCCATTATACATATAGTGGGTTTAGATGGTACAGAATTATCGTTCTTGACTAGTATGAAGAAGTTCAATTTACTGGTTTTAATGATTTATTATGATTTTGTATTTTTACTACAGGCACCAAAATGTTGTTGGTCTACAGCAAGCCAAGCAGTTGGCGGAAAATCTCATTCAAACGGTAAGTTTGATATAGTGTGGGAAGTTTTTGTTCTCTATATTGATCTCTGCATTCTGTGATTAATCTTAAGTTTTGTTTCAGAGATTTTCTTGCATCAATTTCTTGCCAATTTACACTTGCATATTTTGAATCCTCTGAAGGAGTGCCATCAGAGAGCAGGATTAATATGTTATATAATTTTAAATACAAAATAGTAAATTGTAAATATAATGTGTTGTACACTTCTTGATACAAATGCAAGTTTGAATTGGCTTTTATAGGTTTTTGACATATGATATATGCTATTTCCTTTTCCTTTGTTGAAAATTAATCAAATGATTCAACTTTCAGTATTGTAGGATAACTAAGAGATTGTGATTTTTTTCTATTCACCTCAAATTCCTTTCAGTTATGTAGATAATAGCATTTCCTTTCCAATTTCCAGTACTAAGATAAACAGATGTTTAGGATGTTTAGAGGTGAATTCACGAGTAATGCAGAGACACCACAGCTAGTGATAAGCAGACGTTGATATTCATAGCTTGATGGCAATTTTATTTCAGAATAAGATTAACTCGATTTCATTATACAGCAATATTATGAATAATAAAATCCTGATTTGTTATGCATATATGATTTATACATAATCTCTAATTAAACATTGACCGTGTTTCTTGTATTATGCATTATGATGTATCCTACTTGACCAGAAGACTTGCTTGATACCTCCATGTAATCATTAAATCATCTTTACAATATAAACTTGTATACCACATGTATTTCAGGTCTACTTCACAACTGTTTTACCAGCTTTACTGTAACCTGGTGTTATTATCCAAATCACAGAGATTTTTGTAGGATTCAGTTTTTTAGTCGACTGTCATATGGTTTGATTGTCAAGTCACTGTTTATCCATCTGATTATCCATCTGATTTTCTCACACCTTGAAACATTTCTCATAATCACTTATTCTCTAAAGCACAAGATAGATCTTTTTGGACACCTTCTCTTGGTTCCATCTTATGTCCAATTTGAATTCAATCATGAATATCAAATATCTTACATACAACCAATCTTTTATCTTAACACTTATAAGGCTACTGTTTTTCAGAAAGTATGATATTGAGACAAACCAAAAAAACAAAATTATAGATAGATGAAAGACTGTTTTGTATTTTGTTCTGTTTCACAGACTATATTATGGATTAATTTTGAAATTATATGTATATATTGGACAAGAGTCTAGTGTTACTTCTTCAGCTGTGACAATGGTATGGGCAATATTTGCTTCAATGTTTTATATCTAGATCCATTGTTCAAAAGGAACGATTTTAACTTTAACCAAATGTGAATTTCTCATAAAATATCTGCTATTCCTATCACACCTGAAATACAGCCAAATTGAGTACATAATCTGTGTGTGTGTATTTTGGGATAAACACTTGAGAAATGAATTTTCCTGTTCTGCCATGGGGAGAGCAATATCTTTCGCTAAGTATGTCCTATTTCAGTGAATTTTGAGAATGCAGGAATTTACATATTTTTTATTATTTCAAACATGATCATAACGTATCTATACTGCTTAAGTACTCTTAAAAATTTAACTTCGATATGTAGAATATTGAGGGAAATAAATGCAAATTTAAGTGTATTTTGCAGTTTGCTTAAAAATTACAATAAGTGGACAGATGAGACATATAATTACGTATAATTCTTGTCTTATGTCATGGTCCTTATTTGGGCATGTTTCACATTGTAGGATTAATATGAAGAACACAATAACTGACTAGAAATCATCTCAGATTTCCCTGGAAATGCTATAGGGAGTTTAAATTTCATATGTTGGTTTCTGTCGGTCATAAGAACAAATGACAACCAAGAGGCAACGTTTTTCAGATTTGACACTAGAAAATTGGGAAACAGATTTTTGAACATGATAGTTTATGATCCGATCACTGTCAACGTCAGATTATTAATAGATAAGAAATAAAAATTCAATAGAACTAAGAATAATAATGGTGGCAGCTAAAATCTCTGAGATTTTGTGTTATTTACAAGTGTCTATCAAACAGTCCAGGACTTTGTTTTACAGAAATCTCTGGCAGAACACGCCGCTATAAACCTAGTTGCTTGTTTTTGGAATAAATTCAGACAGCTTCCTGTAGTTCTGCTGCTTCATTTTTTTATTTGATATGCTAACATTTTTGAGGTGTTGGAATTTGTGTACAAAGATTGTAATGACTGCTGTTTTGTAGGTTTGATCTGTGTAAGGCTGAAAAAATAATACCTTCATGAAAGTCCCAATAGTTTATAATCTGTGTGTACATACATGTTTTATTAGTGTCCGTATGTGCTTGGTAAGATATATTGATTCTTTCAATATTTGTTTCAAACTGTCCAATGTATTTTACTGTATAATGAAACTTCGGCCAGTAGTATCAGGTAATTTTTCATGTAATATTTAGTTTCATGAGTTGTGAATAACTCTCATGAAATTGAGAGAAGTTTCAATTTTGGTGAATATCATAAGTTACCACATGTTAAGTCCTGTTATATATAATGATGTGATATTAACAATATCTTACATAATTAGTTTGAAGATAAAACACCAGTTTCTTCTTTCATGTCTGATTTCGAATTTTTTCAAACTGTCTGATTTCTGTGATAGAATCTGAACAAAACAAAGAGGTGTTTATTCATTAGAAGTTATAACTTGACCAACAGTGATTACAGATCTGATGGTTGTCTAGCCAACAATAGTTTATATTGTACTAATATTGGAGTGAATTAGATACAGATCTGGTGGTAATACGGCCAATGATATAGTTTATATTGTACTAACATTGGAGTGAGTTAGATAAAGATCTGGTGGTAATACGGCCAATGATATAGTTTATATTGTACTAACATGGGAGTGAGTTGGATACAGATCTGATGGTAATACGGCCAATGACATAGTTTATATTGTACTAACATGGGAGTGAGTTAGATACAGATCTGGTGGTAATACGGCCAAAGATTTAGTTTATATTGTACTAATATCAAAGTGAATTAAATACAATCCAAATTTCTCATTACCAGTTATATTGGCATGGTTTGTTTTGTTTATATCAATTTTGATTCAAACAATTCAGATTTCATTAAGATAATTCAGTTATGAAGAGAAATTTGATTAAGAAAAAATTTATTTAAAATACCTTTTAATCTCTTGAATATTGACATTATAACTGTGGCATGCTTTTAGCTAGATCAGCTCTATCACAGTTTGGCAAAATAAAAATAGCTTTCATTGAATTGCCAGTTATTCTTAACTGCAAATGGCTTACTCTCATGCCTCTTTATTTGATGCTGTTTGGAAATTTTGGCTGTTGTGAATTAGCTTTCAATTATTCCTTATGGCTTTCCCTCATTTTCTGCAGTAGCACACAAAGTGTCTGCCTGCTGTTGATTCTACCATAAGAATTATTTGTACCAACATTTGTTGCAGAAAAGTAGAAAAGTATTCAGGAAATTGCTTTGTCAATCTGTCTGCATCCTCAATACTCCAGGGGTTATGATCACATTTGCTCTCTGTACCCCTGGAACCATCCTCAATACTCCAGGGGTTATGATCACATTTGCTCTCTGTACCCCTGGAACCATCCTCAATACTCCAGGGGTTATGATCACATTTGCTCTCTGTACCCCTGGAACCATCCTCAATACTCCAGGGGTTATGATCACATTTGCTCTCTGTACCCCTGGAACATTTCCTTGCAAAATTGAAGGCACAAAGTAATTTGATAAGTCTATACTGGGATTCAGGAGGAAAAAAAGATCAATCACAGATTGACATTCTTCTTTGAAAATTATAAAGGAGTGACAACCAACTTTAAAGCCAGTACAACATTCGTTGATTCATGATGTACATCAAAGGACCAAACTAATCTTCTCATTTTATCCACAAGGTGTTGCACCTTGAACCTGCAATTTTTGTCAAGAAATGTGTAAGGGATGCAGATAGCAATTGTGAGCATAACCCCACGAGTATTGAGGCTTATCTGTCTGTAACACAAACTTCATATAGAAAATATTTCTGTACAGAAGATATTGCATGAACTCTCACCAGATTTTATAAATATCACACCGTCAGGATTGAAGGACCATTTAGACACAAGTCACATTTAACAGCTTTGGAAATAAAAAAGCTTGTGTATAAGCTGTTGCATTAGTACCTACGCAGACTTATACTCACACCATATTGTCACATAATTCAGATCTTAACCTGTTAGATTTTGTAGGTTATTAGCCAAGGCTAAAGGATCATTTGGACACAATTGTAAGCTAACCACATTTGAAATAAAAAGCTTGTGTACAGGATACTTCATGAGCCCTCAACAGATTAAGTTAAAAATCACTTGTACCAGAGGGTTTGAATATATCTTTGTGATCCCCTGCTTTTTTATGCCCTCACATTTATACAGTAATACCCATGTCAGTCTGTCACATTGTCATATCCTTTTGTGTCCCATGAGGACCTCTCAACAGATTTGATTCATATTTACTCCATAGTATCATAACATCAAGTATCGCCTTTCAGGTTTTGATAGGCAAAGGAATGAGGGCATTCATGTTTTAAAGAGTTTTTCCTGTTACACAATACTTATATACAAAATAAACAATACTCAACGATGTTTGGGAAAAAAATGAAGTAGAATTATTACAGAAGCACACTTAATCATTTAACATAGTTACTGTAGCTAGTCATGCTTTATCAGGCAACAAATGGTTTTAAATTAACTGAGTTTTATCCTTACATTAACAGCTGTAATAGTTCATGTTACAATTCTTTCAAGCATGCTTAACTGTTGTTTTTTTTGTGTTTTTCTATTATCACTTGCTTTCACTAGCTCACCCTTTCTGGCTGATGTAAAACAGTTGTGAATCAATTTTATCATACAAGTTCTTTTTCCTCATTTCGAAAGTCCTAAAGTTTCCGAAGGACAAAGAATGTATCTAAGTTTTCCTGCATTGTAAATAATGTTCACAGAAATACTGTACTGTAGAAAGTTCATAAATTAATTTTTGTCAAACTTGTATATTTTCTTAGAAACATGACTTTCATTTAAAAGGGAAGAGATCTGTGTGATGATATAGAACCTTAGGGTTGGAAATTTGGACACCTTTCCGATCACAGTTCAAAATCTTAATTATCTGAAAAATGATCTGATAGAACAGTATTCTGAACTTTAATAGAGAAACAGGAAGTTTTCAGAAAGCCTTTGATACAGGGTTGATGTTTGGAAGGTTGTCCTTGTGAATGTGTTTGTCTGGTGTTATTGATGATATCAATATGTATACCTAAACAGGTTAATGTGACATCCACTGGTGTCAACAAATTATACATAACTTCTGGTTTGTAGTCCAATGGAGCGGTAATCATGCCAGAACACTTATTCTCTTCTAGGTACAACACGATTATGCCCAGTTTCAGCAGGCATTGGTTGCCATGCCGCCAACCATAGCCCCAGGACCGGCCACCATTCTCGCCGGCATTCCACATCAGTGTAAGTGCCTTCCCAGCAGCTCAGGTAGTACGTTTCCATCTGCCACCTGTGGCAAGGTGGTAAGGCAGCAACTGTGTTATGGTATGTTTTATTTGTAGGTGATGGCTGGTCCTGATAATGAGAAGAAAAAGATGTCACTCCTCAGTGCAATGTCCTGGACTTTGGGTTACCCTGTATTTCACTTTATATTTTCTTTCAAAATTTACTGTTCTATATGTTCTTGGAGTACAAGATCAGATTAATAGGGGCAATTCTGGCAGTAGCAGTTTTGATTGCACTACACATAGGCATTTCGAGGTAGAAGCTGAAGAACACAGGTTGAAGTTTTTTGTTTGTTCAGATCCTTTTGATATTTTCTTTTTTTTTCTAAGGCTTGTACTCCTTAACATTAAGGACCCCTCGCATTTACTTTAGTATTACAGTATGAGATATGTTTTCTTCCACCTCATATTCTTTTGGGTCAGTCCTATCAGTTTCTTGAGTTGAAGGAGTCCTTTGATCTTTGATTTGAAATTTGTTTCCTTACAACTAGCTGTCAAATCTACTGATCTCAATCATATTTTTTCTTTAATTTTATTTCATATCAACTGTATTTTAGGAGAAGAAATGAAAGTCATGCATCTGTATATGTGTTACTGAAATCTTATTACCAGGAAATTTTCGACTCGGAAGTTGTTTCTTGTTACAGATTTGGTTATTTGATCTTGATTTCAGGCCTAATCTTTTTGCTTTTGAAATGTTTAGTCCAGGCTGTCAGTATTCAGACTTAGTTATGACGCTGGTGATTTGACTGTATTTATTTATTTGATAGTCAGTACTAGGAAATGGCTGCAGCAGTTTGTTTCTGAATTTCAGAGATGAATTCTTATCCCTTGTTAGAAAACAAAAGAAGACTACTCCAGATGTCAAATCATTGATATGTTTTCACATTTGTAACATATCCACACAAATATTTATACAAGACTTGGGTCTTGGTGTAGCAGGAGAGTAAGAAGGTTGGTGTATAGTAGTGATATCACCATACTTATACGCCTCTCCTATAGAAAATTTGTCTACAGAACAGTCTCCAGGACTTAAGTTGTAACTAGAGGCTACTTGTTGACACACAACTCTGTTTGTATCTCGTCGTAAGTCTGTTATGGTAGGAGATAGATAATACTAGGAGATAGATAGGAGATAGATAATACTAGGAGATAAGATAGGAGATAGATAATGCTAGGAGATAGAGATAGATAATGCTAGGAGATAGAGATAGATAATGCTAGGAGATAGAGATAGATAATGCTAGGAGATAAGATAGGAGATAGATAATACTAGGAGATAGATAGGAGATAGATAATACTAGGAGATAAGATAGGAGATAGATAATGCTAGGAGATAGAAAGGAGATAGATAATACTAGGAGATAAGATAGGAGGTAGATAATACTAGGAGATAGATAGGAGATAGATAATACTAGGAGATAAGATAGGAGATAGATAATAATAGGAGATAGATAATACTAGGAGATAGAGATAGATAATGCTAGGAGATAAGATAGGAGATAGATAATACTAGGAGATAGAGATAGATAATGCTAGGAGATAGAGATAGATAATGCTAGGAGATAGAGATAGATAATGCTAGGAGATAAGATAGGAGATAGATAATACTAGGAGATAGAGATAGATAATGCTAGGAGATAAGATAGGAGATAGATAATGCTAGGAGATAAGATAGGAGATAGATAATGCTAGGAGATAGAGATAGATAATGCTAGGAGATAGAGATAGATAATGCTAGGAGATAGAGATAGATAATGCTAGGAGATAGAGATAGATAATGCTAGGAGATAGAGATCGATAATGCTAGGAGATAGAGATAGATAATGCTAGGAGATAGAGATAGATAATGCTAGGAGATAAGATAAGAGATAGATAATGTTAGGAGATAAAATAAGAGATAGATAAGAATGGACCTAACATCACCATACTTATATTCCTCTCCAATAGAAAAATTGGTCTACAGATCTAGAAAAGCCTTGAGAACAAAAACAAGAACTTTGACTTAAGGAAAAGAGTCAAATATATGATGTTTCCTCCTCTAATTTTATAACCAAAGATATTTGGTTGATGGAGTGTTCTGGAAGTGTGATAAACACGAAACGACATATTTAACCTTCCAGCTTCTTTGAAATCAAGATATCGAGACATCCAAAAACAGGTCCATTTATGGAATTTATCAATCAATATTTGAATATGTTTATAAACTGGACCCAAAGTTGGAGGTTATAGATAAATACCAAAACCTTAACATAGGTAATCCTGTCAGCTAGCTGATCATGATGTACTGGAATGCTAAAATTATTGTGCTAATGGTGTTATTTACACTGACTGTGTCTGGTCAGTATGTAATCGTATCAGTTGATTTTTGTTGATCCATTTGTCTATAAGAACACAGATATGCTTGTGTGCAAAATGATTAATGATACTTTTACAAAATGTAAAAATAACAAAACATTCCTTAGTATTGTATTTATATATGTTGTATATCTCCATAAGGAGTGTATATTGTACTATTGTGATGGATATATCATAGAACTTACATTATGAATTGGTTTTCAATAATATTTTTGTGTGCTTAACATATTTCTCTGATTATTTCTTATATGTTACCAGGTAATTAAGATTTTTCTTGCCACCAAATATTCTGAGGAACATTTTTGCTTCTGGTTCTTATATTTTCCCATGTTTCAGAGTTTGTTTTGATATTCCAGATGTTGCAGAATTCAGCCAGTTTGTGTGTTTCATTTGTGTTCAATAGAAAGACACATGTTTCTGTAGGAAAAATTGTAATTGCTATATAAGAGACTAAGAATTTTTACTATATAAATATTCTTGTGTGTTTAATGTGTATCTTTTCTATCTTTATTTTGTTCTTTTCTATCCAGGTTTTCTTCAATAATTTTTCAAATAATTTCTCAACAGGTGATCTAATTCTTCTTGCAGGAAAAATCAGAAGAATCATACTTTGCTATTAATATCATTCTCCAGCATTGGTTTGTTCTGATGTTAATTTTTTTTGTTGTTGTTTTTTTTGTGATGTTACCTCATGAATGTTCTATTGTTAATTGCATGTGTTTCTATGCTAACAACAGCACCTCCAGGTATGATGGGTCAACAGCCAGGAATAGCCACTCTAACATCTGTTGCACAGCCACCAATTCAGAGCCATCCAGGTATGTGTAAGGGTTGCTGCCACTAATATGTCCTTTAAAAGGATTCCATAGAATGCCAGCTGACTGTGACAATATGGTAGAGAGCCACCCAGGTTTGTTCTATACTAAAGGATGGCTGCCACTCACTGGTTCTTAAAAAATAGGATGCTGAGACAAAACGTTGTATGCAGTAGGTGTTTCATGAGTTTTGAATTAGTTATTCAAGTAATATTGCAGAGGATGATTATCAAGCATTAACAAAATACAGGTGTAGGTTCTACAAGTGGTTTATACATTTTAAATTGTACACCAAGTATGGGTTTTAAGTAGATCAAACAAGGACCTCAATTTAATAGGATGTTTCCAACATAATGGTAGAAACTTTCTAACATGATAGCACATAATTTATTTACTGCAATGCCTGTCTTTACGAGTGATGATTTAGAAAGAATAGAAAAGATCAAACTTCAGTATATAGCCAGTTGGGTTTGAGGTAAATGCTGGTGTAGTCAAGATTACAGTAATAAAAACAGATTTGCTCATTTTGTAGGTCTCCAACCAGTCACTTCCTTCCCTGGACTAGTCAACCAAGTAGCATCATCAGTGGTGATGCCCTCTAGCTCTGCCCTAGCTGCATCCACTACTGTGTTCACTGCTGCACCAGGTAGGTTTGTCAATGAAGGCATTTCATGCAATTCATAGGAGTTATTAAAAGAACGAAGAAATTAAAAGAAAAAATAAAAAGCATCAACAAAGTTCTAGAGCTTTGTGCTTAATAGTATATAGACATACAGACTCATCGTTTTAACATATTACATATTGTGGATAAAATCTATTTTTCAAGAAAGCCAAGTGTCATGAAAGTTAGAAGCTACTTTGTTATATTTAGTGTTACAATATTGCAAGAGGTGGCCACCTACTACAACAAGCAGACCCCACCTCAAAATGTGTCTGGGCAATAAGTTTGCAAAATAAAAGCCTTCAATAATTGTTAGTTGACAGATAATGTAAAAATGATGAGCACTTGAGTAAAAACTATTATTAATGTGTATAGGGCTTTTCATATCTTGTAAGTTTCAGGAAACTTAAGGCCACAATACTTATCATGTGACTACCTGAAATGAAGTTTTATAAAACAACATTGGTCTTACTTTTATGAGAGAGGAGAGAGTTCAGTTTTATTGTCTGCTGGTTTCTGTAAATACATATGTATATAGACCTGGAGTATGTTAAAGTAAAACAAAAAAAAACATATGTGTAACAAAATAGTTGTCATAATCAATTTTGGTTTAGTTATATGCTATTTTATGAAATAGCTTTCCTGAAAGCTTTATTATCAATAAACAATTGTGGCATATTTAAAGGAGTTTCACTGTTTACTGTTATAATAATTACTGGAATTGTTTGTATGAACAGGGACATCTGTTACAGGGGCACACCCACCTCCTCAGGTTCTGGTCCAGACAACAGGCCCTCCACCTCCCCATCAGTTGACCACTCTGGCCCCCATGGGTCCTCCTCAGATAGAGGCACCTGTACCTACAACAGCCTTGGTTACAACCATGCAGCCAGAATTACAGTTGGTATCACATTCTCAGCCAGTGCCTATATGGGGTGCCCCTCCTCAGCCTCTCCCACCAAGCTCCATATATGCCCAGGTGAGACAAAAATGCTGCATTATTTAATCATCATTGCATAATTGGAAAAAAGCAATTCTAACCAAAAACAGTTCAGTTTTATGGGCTGAGGTTCAGTTTTCATTAAACCTTTAAAATTAGCTTGTGAGATTAGCTTTTTTACCTTTGTTTTATTGGATTGAAATAAATTTTTCATATTTGTTTATCTCTTTTGTTTACCTATTTCAAATAGGTGAATGGCCAGTCAAGTCCTGCTATGACTTTTGCAACCTCTGCACCAATGATAGTTACCACTTCGTCAACATACACATACTCAACTATGCCTCGAGAGGAGCCAAAGAGGAGATTTACTGAGGAAAAACAGGAAGAAAAAGTACCAGAGAATTTATTAGGATATGAAGTATGTCCTGTACTCTAATCATTCTGATGCCAATGAAATCACCATTCATAGTAGAAATCATTATAGACACAACCAATTTTATGTACTTTGGATATAAATGGGAACAGTATTTGGCAGGAAAATAAAATGTTGGATGAATCAAGATGTTTCAATTAAAGATATACCTGTATATATATTGAATATCTGCAGTGATGTAAGAATAGAAAGTAAAATAGTTCTAATGTTTAGCAATGAACATTGATTACAAAGAAAACCAGAACAGTGACATATGTCTGCCAGATCCCTACTGTATGTTTGACTGATTTACTGATGTCCTCTATTATCACCAAGCTACAGACACAAGAACCAATTTAGGTAGAACTCAAAGATAACAGTTTTTTTGGGCAAGATTTTTTAGTGACATGTATTTGATTTTCTTTGAGAAACAACGCTTATAAAACAAGTGAAATTTTTCAGCATGGTCCGCCTCATCTGACAAATTTAGTGGTACAGGGGCCCCCACCTCCCAACACCTCTATGCCTCAACAACAACTTCAAATCTCTCCCCCTCAAAGTGGGGATGTGCCACCTCTTGGAATGCATGGTGTTCCCCCTGGGTTGCCAATGGTGTCGGTGGCTCCACCTGGCTTGCCTGTTGAAGAAAATAGGTAAGTCTATTGTCAATTTCACTTAATGAACCATATAACATTTTGTTGGTAAAAGAGATACATGTGAAGATTTTTATTGAGCTGTTATTGAGCAGTTATGATAAATTAGGAAAATTATTGCAATTCATATAGCCAAGGCAAAACTACATAATAATGCTTTTAGCCCTTTTGTAATCTAGTAGATTAGTAATCTTTATTAGATGATTAAGATATGTCATGTTTTTGGTGTTCTGTGATTTTAGGTTACTGCTGAAATGTCCTTATCAGCATAATACACTTTCCAAATTCATTTTCTCTGTATTTGGCAGTGACAGAAAACAGCTCTATTTTAGCATTAAATTGACAAAGTAACTTTCTGATTTACTTAAATATTACATTTGGAAGCACAAATAACTGATTAATCAAGCAGATTGTTGTAAGGAACAAGTTTATGAAAATACATAAAATAGTTGAAATTTAGAGCTATATTTCAAAAGAAAACAATTATTTTGGCATATATCATTTAGCAAATTTTAGCATAAACAAAGATTGAATAAGAACTGTTTTAAATTTCAATAGCCGGAATTATCAGAATTGTTGCAGGATAAACAGAATATGTGGTCATTATGTAAGAATATAAACTGCATTTTGACTCTGGATGGAAAGACAGAAATGGCTACCAGTAGTTACCCTCTCCAAAATACAGCTTATGTTTTAAGACATTGACCATGTATTCTCTATATAATAATCTATAATCTCAGGAATATCATTGGAGGAGTCAGTAGTAATGGTCTTCAACAGTCACCACATGCTCCCAGCTCTCCTCATCCCCCGAATCAGGAGATATCAGACCAGGACAAAAAACTAATGCCTCCTCCCCCACTACCTGGTAAGTCACAGTTCAATGTTTATGATAAGTCACTCCAGATGAAATCAGTTGGACAATGTTATTGTTCCCTTTCTTAATTCTCCTTTTTTAGATGGTGGGTTTTTCAAATCGCCCTGCGTCCGTGGTCTGTCCGTCCGTACGTCCGTACGTTACCGCTATTTCTGGAAAAGTGCTGGATGGATCTTTCTCAAATTTCATATGCAGTTTCCACTTTGTCCCTAGTTGTGCATTGTACCTTTTTTGGACTGATTCGAATTCAAGATGGCCGACAGGTGGCCATCTTGGATTTTGGAAGTAAAAGTTTGTTACCGCTATTTCTGAGAAAGTACTGGATGTATCTTCCTCAAATTTCATATGCAGTTTCCCCTTGGTCCCTAGTTGTGCATTGTACCTTTTTTGGACTGATTCGAATTCAAGATGGCCGACAGGCAGTCATCTTGGATTTTGGAAGTAAAAGTTTGTTACTGCTATTTCTTGGAAAGTACTGGATGGATCTTTCTCAAATTTCATATGCAGTTTCCACTTTGTCCCTAGTTGTGCATTGTACCTTTTTTGGACTGATTCGAATTCAAGATGGCAGACAGGTGGCCATCTTGGATTTTGAATGTAAAAGTTTGTTACTGCTATTTCTTGGAAAGTACGGATGGATCTTTCTTAAATTTCATATGCAGGTTCCCTTTGGTTCCAAGTTGTGCATTATACCTTTTTGGACTGATCCGAAATCAAGATGGCTGACAGGCAGCCATCTTGGATTTTGAGAGTAAAATCTTGTTACTGCTATATCTGAGGAAGTACTGGATGGATCCTTCTGATGTTTCATAGATATTGGTTTCCCTTGGTCCCTAGTTGTGCCTTGTACCTTTTTTAGACTGATTTGAAATCAAGGTGGCCCACAGGCAGCCATCTTGGATGTCAACAGTAATACAGCACAAGTATATTGTCCATTATCCACCTGTAACTGACTGCTATCTAATAATACTTTGGGTTTTTTTTCAAATGATATTTGCAAATAGGTGCTTAATAAAAATGTCTTGTGCCATCATTGAGTACATTCAATGAAGACCAGTTCATGAACATTTACAACACCTGTAACAAACAAAAAAAAATAAACAAATCTTCAAGAACTGAAAACAGATCCTCAAATGGTGGGCGCCAAGATCCCTCTGGGATCTCTTGTCATGATTATTTTTCTTTCCTGACATTTTTTTATTTTTTTTTGTCACATGACATTAAACATGGCTGCAATGACCTCTAATTGGTCGAAGTTTAAACATTGATCCAAATTGATGAAATTTGATACATCATTCCATCACCAATACAACCATGACATCTATTTTCTTATTTTATAGACATGGGAGAGGGGGGAAGTATTTAGCAATGGATGACTTTCACTCACGATTGCTGTTCTGTTTGAATTGGAAGTTATTGTTTTTTATCTTCAGGAGATTAATATTTTCACCAAAGATTTTTCTGTGATAGCATTTTTAATATCTTTGTTACCATGTTGTCCAATTGTGTTAAGCTTTAAAATTTCTCATTATACATGTCATCATCCAGAGAAATCACTCAATTGGAATGTCACACTCGATGATGACAGAATTTTCAATAGAATGCTTAAAGTTAATATCTTTCTCTCCAGGAATGAATTTAAAAAGACAAGGAGGTGATAGGCAAGGTGGAATGGAGAGGAAAAAGTCCAAAGGTGCATTAGGCAGTGTCTCAGGTAAGCATCTCATTGGTGTAGGGATATCAGTGTAGACGGGGAAATATTGGATAAACCTTAATAACAATTTTGACCGAACTTTTTAGACTAAACATAACACATATACAGATTCAGCCTAATGGTTAGACCTGATGGGTTCATATTTTTCACAAATCACCTGTAATCCCTAGTTGTTTTTATTTTTGTATTTAAATATCATATTTCAGACAATTTATTATATTTAAGGAGGGAAAGTGATGTTAGTAAATGACAAAAGTTAAATTGACCAGATAAAAGATGTTGTTTGATCTTTGTTGCAGCCTATGGTTCAGATGAAGATGATGATGAAATCAATTCTTCAATGAAGCAACAGCAGAAGGAGGCTCAGAAATATCAATACAACCAGTATTCCAATGCTCCACAGATCTACCAGCAGGCTGCTCCTGTTATTGTTGGGGAAGCTCACATGTTACCCCCACCTCCTCAACAGCAGGGTCTGCCCCCAGGTATTGAACAGCACATCCTGCCACCCCAACAACAGGGCATGCCTCCCCCACCCCAACAACAGGGCATGCCCCCTCCTCCTCAGCAACAAGGAATGCCTCCTCCACCACCTCCACAGGAACAGTTTCCACAGGGACAGTATCCCCCACTCCCAGAGTCTCCAAATGCTCAGCAACAACAGGAGATAATGCAGATCAACCAACTCCAGCCCCAAGTGCCCTTCCCAAATCAGCCCCCTCCCAATCAGCCTTACCCACAGCCACAGCTGGCTGGCAACCCAGGCCAAGAACAGGCTCACCCATATCCTCAACACTCCTCACCAAGTCCTTCTCCACAGTTTGTCAATGTCTCACAGGCTATTACAGTGGCTGGGCCCCCACCTCCTATACAGAGGATTCCTGGGGAGCAAATCATGCCTTTGCCAGGGCAGCGTCTTCCCACTCCAGAGGAGATGCCACCCCCACATCCAGGAATGGGCCAGAGAATACCACAAGAACAGCTCCAGCCACCACCTCCAAGCTTTGCTAATATACCGCCACCCCCACCAAATCAGTCTCAGTTTGCCCCCCAATATGCCCCTCAAAATCCTCCACAGTTCGCCCCTGGCCCTGGACAGCAGTTTCAACCTCAGCAACCACTGCCACCTCCTCCCCCACCAAATAGTAGCATGCAGCCACAGCCTCCTATACAGTTCTGGATGCCTAATTGATATAGAATGTTTCTGTAGGAGGAAAAGGCTGTCTCCTCTGGTGTAGTAAGGATAATGCATAAAGGACAATTATGCATTCCATTCCTGCAAAATGCCCAGAGAACATTCATTGTCTTGTTTGCTAACCTAGTGAGCGCAGGATTCCATGAATGATGGAAAATGATGAGAAAGGTTTTCCGTGAAGAAAGAAACCATGTGTTTGACGGACTCATATCAGGACTGTGATTCCAAGAGAAAGTTCAATGTCTTGAAGGAAGACCCAGTTAAGACTGGAATCTGTGGATGAGTTAAGCAACAAGAATGTTAAACGAGGAAGAAAAGAACTGATGGCAAGGTGCTGCAAACAATGTTACAGAATGTTCATTGTGGAAGGAGAGAACCAATGGACAGGCATCACTGAACATCAAACAATGTTACAGAATGTTCATTGTTTGTGGAAGGAGAGAACCAATGGACAGGCATCACTGAACATTGAACAGTGTAACAGAATATTTTGTGAGAAAGAAGAGAATCAGTGGACACATGTTACTGATCAATGCAAGAGAATTATGTGATGTACAATGTGGAAGATATAAACGAATGATACAGGCATCAGTGAACAATTTACCAGAATGTAGGGAACCATTGGACAGGTGTTCTGCAACTAAGTAAGATACCCTGTAAGCCAGTGAAGTTAGATATGATGTAACAGTGCTAGAAACAAGTGTTTCAGTCATTGTTCCTGAACTTCTATGTGATATATTATGGATTTCTTGTGATCAAACACAAAATGGTCTTTCATTACAGAATCGAAATTGTGATGATGTCTGCTATGAATCCTATGAATTGAATTGGTGTAGTGGACAAAGTGCCAATGAAGAGTATAGCACCAATTCTATCTACTCTTAAATAAATTATACACTGATGTAGTGGACATCAGATTGTGATGGTTCTTGACCTTATAGCACCAATGTGACCTCTGGATGTGTTTGCCTATAAGCTTCAACAACAGGTGTAACAGGTGATGCTGTTGTCAGCTGTTGTGTGTTTTGCAATGATCCAGGACTAAATGTGACATAGGTACTGTCCACTTTTTCTTGTATTCAATGATGGTGACACAACAGCTGAACTTTTCATAGCATTTCTTTATTACTGTAAGGTGTAATCTTGATCTGCTGAAAATGGAATTCAGCTGCAGGAGAATTGGCTGTGTTTTACAGTACAGATTGATTTTTCTGTTCAACCAAATGTGAACTTATGTATACTTTTTTTAATGTTATGCCACTCTTTGTGAAGCCTTATGGATTCTTCCTTAGATGAGTCTTCTCTTTGTAACCAGAATTAACTATACTGTGGATTCATTTTCTTTCGTGGGGGTCCAATTTTCGTTGTTTTCGTGGATGAGCAAATCCACGAATTTAAAAACACAACGAAATATGAACTACTTACTAAAGTAATTTTGGAATTTGACCAAGTAATCTTTGCCGACACCGGAAACGTCCACCGGTAATGACAGAAGCCCCGTAATTAGTCGGGAGTCGGGTAGCCCAGGAACGTCAGGCTTTCGCAGATTCAATTTCCCGGATTTTAACCACTGTGTTAACGACATGATGGATAAGATACATAATGATATGTTCATCACTGTGATTTCTTTATACTATCGTCAGTGAGTTGTGTTTTTACTTCATAATTGTTTCTGCAGATCTTGTTTACACACCTGTTTACACACATGGTCCAATCGATACGCGTGGTGTTTTCATATGACTGCGGTACACCGACTGATCAGCACACAATGTTTATCCACTGAAAACAATTGTTTCTGGTAATTACCAATTGATTACACGCCTGGATATATACTGATTTGTGGTTTGATATTAATGCGAGACACAGGACGCCATCTTGGAAAAAAACGTTCTTTTATTCTTGTCATCAGTGTTAATTCCTGTGAACATAGCCTTAATACAAACAGAAAAAAATTCGACTGGAAGCAAAAAGAGAAAATTCTAACGTTTTTATTTTTTTCCCACAGAATCAAAAATCCACGAAGTTATGAGTCCACGAAACTGTCTAATTTGTAGAAACAACGAAAATTGAACCCAACGAAAATAAATGAATCCACAGTAGTTTAAGAAGTTTATATGTTAAAAAATTTCTTTGTTCATCCCAGGATTATTAACAAAGTCCCCATGATAGATATTCCAGTGAATTTCAGATATTAACTTAAAAGCATGAGAAATATGGATTTTGGATATTAACTTCAAAATGTGAGATATTCTAGTGAATTTTGGGTGTCATCTTGAAAACATTAAACAAGAAGAATGATTGATTTTCTCAAATCTGCTTAATCTCTCCTCTAGATAGAGGACTTCATATAATTAACGCAGCCAAACTTTGACACTGACACTACAATATTAAAATCTCATCATAAAACTGGGACTGCCTTAATAGGAATTGGTATGTTTTCTACGTACATTTAAGATTTTATAGTTTGACATAAGCTCTGCATTTGAATTATGATAAAAAATGATTAAAATTATTGGTCACAGTATTACTTTCCAGTTTTAAATTTGAATTTCTTATTTTGCTTTAACTGAAGGTTATTTTTATCATACTTGATATGGAAGTTTGTTTTACATCAATTTAGAAATTGTGAATTTTATCTCCTTTTTTTTTTTTTTTTTTATGAAAAATGTACCAGTGATTTTGGTTATATAGTAGCAGACAGATTCTGTTCACTAACAACACCTACAGTGTAGTATTTAAAAGCATTAAACTGCTCTATTTTTCTTACCTAATATTGTTGACAATCTATTAAGTAGAATATGTTATTGAAAATTAATGTTTTTTTTATAGATATTTTATTTTGTTGGGGCTAAATTTCTTTATAATCAGAACTTGGAAGTGTTTATTTGTGCAGTACTTGTCAGATCATGTGATTTGTTACTTTCATGATAATGTTGTACCTTAATTGAGACAGGGTTAATTTCATTTTTATTTGTGAGAAAGAGTGATATACTTCTGGTGTAGGCATACTGTAAGCATACAGTGCATATTTTAGCACTTATCTTACATTAGCACTTTCTAAAGTGGAAAATTATACTGAAATAGGATCGTGCCAATAAATAGTTTTAAATATCAGTTATTGTGGATACACAAATTGAGCCTATTTGTTAAAAAGTCATATTGTGCAAAAATTTGATGAAGTTGTATTTGAATTGCTTGATTGTCAGTGATAACACAATAACCTTATCTAAATTTCCTGGTGATAAGTGTTATCTTACATATAGTCATACATATGTTGCATGTAATTTGAAAAATGTGGTCTATTATGCAGAATTATGAAAGTGCTAATGTGAGTTTGTTTGTATACTTGACTCAGTTACCTGTTGCGTTTTTTATTTAAGATACTTGATGAAATCTAATCACTTTGTCGTTATATTCCCTATATGTAATTGTCTCTCAAAAGAAATGCTATATATAGATACATATTTTTATAATTGTATGCATGTGAAAGAGGTGGAGGAGCTTTGAGTAATTGTTGTGAAACTTTATGTGGTGCTTCTGCATTTGAAAAGTAGATGTTGGACGTGAAATTTGAGTGGTTGGTCTATTAATTGTGGGTATGAAATGCCAGTTATGGATACAAAATGTGAGTTATTGAAATGAAATCAGAATTGTGTATATTAGAATTTGGCATTGAGAGAGATAGTGTTGAACATTTGGTATTAGATAGAAGTCATAAGAATACACAGTATGGATATGACTAAAGAGACTAAACTCTTCACAACTGGTTGGGTAATATAAAAAGCACAGTTAAGTTGCACAATTTAGTGCTAGTCTTAGTTTAGCACTGAAAGATTGTGCTAAAATGTGACTGCACTTATAACATTTGTTTAACACAAAATCATGTAAGTGTGTAGTATATAGAAATCCCCCTTGTTTAGTTGTGTAAGTTATAAAACTATTCAAATTCTGGTTCCCAAAATATTCCTATTAAAATTTTGAGGTACAAATGTAGATCACATCTGATAAAGGCAAATTGCAGAGCAGTACTGTACATATTTAAGTGCTGATGAAAGGCTTTACAAGAGGGAGCCTTCTGACATCATAATTATGATGAAAGTTGAAAGAGAAAGGCTTTTTAAAATATGTTTCATTAAGCGTGTCTGTATTTTGTATTGTCATGGCTACTGAATGCACTAATTTTACTTGTATGTAGGGTACATTTAAATATTATGCAAGGGACATGGATGTTATGACATAATCAGTATGTATGACAAGCGATGTGATGATGCTCCTCCAGATTTGTACACATTAAATGCCTGAACAAACAGTATTTCTCCTCTCATTCTTTACAGTTGACATCTAATTGGATAATCAGTAAACAACATCTATAAATCAGTCCGATACACCGGTCACTTTCTGTTCTGGTTTTTAGTTTTACCAGACTGGGTTATCTCACTAGTTATTAGTGAGCGAGGTAAAATGTATAAAGGCAAATTTGGTTATTAAAATCAATTAGAAGGCAAAGAGAATCTATAAGGTAAAGCACAATACTCGGGCAAACCTTTAAAATAAAGGCTTACAAATTTTACCGAATCATAATTCCATCATGATAGAGATCTTACTGGTGCTGTCCATCCGTCCGGCCGGCGTCCGTCTTAAACTTTTATTTGTCCGGAGATCTCTTACATTTTTCAGCCGATCTTTATGAAACTTGGTAGGCTTAATCACCATGATATGAAGTTGTGTTTTCTTGAACAGGGTTTTGATTTGGTGATTTGAACAAGAGTTATGGCCCTTTGTTTATTTCACTATAGAAATCTTGCCTGGAGATCTCCAACATTTTTCAGCCGATCTTTATGAAACCTGGTAGGCTTAATCACCATGATATGAAATTATGTGTTCCTGATCGGGGTTTTGATTAGACGATTTGTATAAGAGTTATGCCCCTTTGCTGTTTTGGATATTCACGGGCGTATTTGTTCCGCTTTGCGGTACTCTTGTTCTTCATGATACCCTCCCTGGCATACCTCAGTAGATTACTGGTAGTAATAGTTTATTATCAAAGTGTATTAGATTCACTACAAAGCCTCACGGTTTATCTGGTCACTTAGTCTTAATGCAGTCACAAACAAGGAAGAAGGAAAAATTTTACAAATTCGTTAAAATGCTTTTCTCTACTATAGGTCTAGATTTGAACGTTGAAGGGGAATTGAAATTTGTATCAACATGAATCTGACCCCTGGATGGAGAAGGTTGGTCTTAATAGGGGGAATAGATGGAAATCTGTGAAAATTTGTTGTCTTTTGGCACCATGAAGGGATTTTTACCAAATTTTGTCTAAGAGTAATATCCTTGGGTGAAGGGAACTCTTAGGTTTAAATGGAGAATCTTGTCCTGCAGAGGCCCAATAGGAAAAGCAGAAATGAATCTTTTAGGAAATTATAAACATATAACGGGGAACAAAACGTTTAGTTGCATTTGCTGAAATGTCCAGGTAATTTTGTCAATCAAAATTCTCTATTTTTTTTTTTTTTTTTTATTTTTCAAGAGTTTTTAATGTACATAACAATTACATCAACAAAACATCATCAAACATACAACATACAATATGCTCACTCACACATCACCATAATCTTGATTAAGTTGTATCATCATCATCATCATCATCATCATCACCACCATAATCATCATCATCATCATCATCATCATCATCATCATCATCATCATCATCACCATCATCATCATCATCATCATCATCATCATCATCATCATCATCATCATCATCATAAACATTACCATCATCATTATCTTCTTCATTATAAACATTACCTCATCATCATTATCCTCCTCATTATAAACATTACCTCCTCATCATAATCATCAGTCATCATGATCTCAATCAAGTAATCATGTCAATACATTCTTCATCATTGTCATATTCAATATGCCTTTGTCACCACCTTCATGTCAATAGATTCATCCTCAGCATTCATTATCACATATGCACCTCATCATCAACCTAACTATCAACACAATTTGTCATTATAACTTGAAATCCATCCATACATCATCGCCTGGCATTTTCATCAACACCCTTACTAACATCACAACACTACCCTTACACACCCACTCCTACACATACATCAATACTACACATAAAGATAAAGAGGAGAGAAAGAGAGAGAGAGAGAGAGAGAGAGAGAGAGAGAGAGGGGGGGGGGAGAGAGAGGTGATCTGGGTTAGTAAAAATTGCAATAATCAGCGAAACAATAGGGACTCGAGTATAAAGAAAAATACCTGGTAAATAAATAAATAAATAAATAAATACTATAAGGGTAAGCAAGGGGCCTGCTATACTGTAAAGGCAGAGAATACTAAAATACGGTAAAACATACTACATGACAGTAAATGTATTTAAAGTTAAGAATTGGCCAAGTCCAATAATTTTCTCCATTCCTTCCTCATTAAAACTTAACTGTGCCTGTTCACCTTTACTATTGGCAATATATTTCTGAAAGGTATAAAATTCCCTGACTGAATAAATAAGACTATATACACTTAAGGCTTTGTGTTGACATCTTGCCTTATATATGTAATATTTAATGATAATTAAGATTTCATTGTCAAGTTTGCTACTGATTAACTGATTTTTATTAGCAATGAAACCAAACAGAAAACTTATTTTATTGAAGGAAAATGGAATAAAAAGAGCCTCCAGCAAAATTTCTACACTTTCTAAAAATTTTCGAACTTCTGGACATTCCCACATAATATGAATAATTGTCTCCTTTTCTAAGTTACAGAATGTACAGTGTGGGTTATTCAGTAGTTGAATTTTAAACATGTATAAATTTGTTGTTAAGATGTGTTGAACCACTCTGTACTGAAACCATTGAAGTTTTGTATTTTTTGTTGCACGAAAACAATTTTTATAAATATCCCTCCAATTTAGAACATCAAATTCTAATATTTCTTCCCATCTTTTCCTCCCAGTAGAAATTATATCGTTTTTTACTAAAAGATTATATATATATCTTTTGACCCATTTCCTTTTTTTACAAAACACTCAATACTACTTGGAATGGTTGGAAAAACTTGAGAGGTACATGTTCTTACAAAGTCAGATCTAGCTAAATATGACTTAACCACAGAGACTACACCATGGTATTCAAGGAAATTTGAATTTACATTATAAATTTGCTTAAAATCTTGAAAAGTGTAGAAAGTGCCAGTAGAAAAATCTTTGAATAAATCATTAACTATCATCACTCCCTTATCATACCATGTCTTGTAGAATATACTTGTCTTCCCTATCAACAAATCTTTATTATACCATAAAGGAGTTTTCCAAATATTTTTCTTAACATATTCTACCCCCACCCTTTCACTGAACCTCAACAGGGCTTTGAAAACATCACTCCAGAAATTATTTCTACAGATATTACAACATTTCTGAATGTAATCACTTCCACAGGAAGATAGCATATGTAGGTCAATATATGTTTGAAGAATTGCTTGCCATTTAGCAGATTTCTGGTGTAATCTTCTAATCCAGCCTAATTTCAGACTATCTATAAACAACTTTATATCTACCATTTTAAGTCCACCGTTATCAAAATTCTGGGTAACAATATCTCTCTTTACCTTGTCAGTTTTACTGTTCCATAAAAAGCTAAAAAGGATGGAATTGAGCTTATTCAAGAACTGGTTGTCTGGGTTTGGCAAAGACATAAATAAATGGTTAAACTGTGATATCATTAAAGATTTAATAAGATGAATTTTCCCAATTGGAGTCAGTGATCTCCTATTCCACATCTTAATGATAGATTTCAATTTAATTAATTTTTTATCATAGTTTAATTTTGGAATTTCATGAAGATTGACACTGAATTAAATTCCAAGAGGCGTGAATTTGACCTTTCCCCACTGTAATTTCAAGTCAGGTAACAAAGTATCTTCACTATATTTTTTGCTTCCTATCCAGATCACTTGTGTTTTGTCAATATTTAGATTCAAACCAGAGAATTTTGCGAAAGCATTCAATTCTAAAATAGATTCTTTTAATGATATTTCAGAGCCATCTAATATAAGAGAGGTGTTTCAGAAAGTTTAGAAGGGCAAATTACTTTGGAGGAAGCAACAATTACTTTGAAGTGTATGAAAAATAATAAAAGCCCAGGTACGGATGGTTTTACTGTCGAGTTTTTTAAATGTTTTTGGAAATATCTTGGGGGGGGGGGGGGGGGGGTTCATTTTAAGGTCTATTAATTTGGGTTATGAAAAAGGGAGGTTATCGGTAACACAAAGGCAGGGGGTTATAGTATGTATTCCAAAGGGAGATAAGTCTAGACAATTTCTTAAGAATTGGCGACCAATTACATTGTTGAATATAGTATATAAAATTGCATCAGGAACCATAGCTAGAAGAATTAAGAAAGTTTTAGACTCATTAATTAGTGAGGATCAGTCAGGTTTTATCTCAGGTCGTTATATTGGGGAGGACACAAGATTAATATATGACATTATGCAACATGTAGAGGATAAAAATATTCCCGGAATGCTGTTAATGATAGATTTTGAGAAAGCATTTGATTCCGTTTCATGGAAATTTATTGACAAGGTTTTCAAATTCTTTAATTTTGGTCCAGATATTCGTAAATGGATAAAAGTTTTTCATACTAATGTCAGTGCTTTTGTTAATCAAGGTGGTAATGTATCTTCATCCATCAATATAAGAAGGGGCTGTCGACAAGGTGATCCAATCGCGCCATATATCTTTATTCTCTGTGTTGAAATTTTGGCCATTAAACTAAAACATAACAAAAACATTAAGGGTATAAACATCAGTAATATTCCAATTCTTATCTCACAATATGAAAATTCTCTATTTTTGTCACTTTTCGTTTCTGCACATGATATTAAAAAGGTATGGCCTATAACCACCTGATTCAACCTAAACATAACCAACAACGAAATGAAATGCAATTACAATGAGTTATATCAAATAATAATCACCAGAAAAAAATATCTTTTATCTCTGTTGTGTTGTTCTCTACAGATCGAAGAAGTTGTTACCTGAAGCAATATGCATTAAAAAACACTCTAATCTTCTGGAGTTTCTGCCCTTAGTTTTACTCCGACGGTATGGAATAACAAAAGCTTGACAGCCGATGGGGGCCGAGAATGTAAATCATGGATGGATTCAAGTGCATGTTTGATATGCAGTGCACCCATGAACCAACTTCTAGACACCTGAATCTAAACCAGTGTGATCAGATGTAACTTAAATTCTCTCCTCGAAAGTTGGTACAAGTGCTGATACTGAAATATTGAAAAAAAAATGATCAAGTGCTTATGCTCTCATCAATGCTGATTTTACATTTAGAAACGTCAATAAATTCCACATCGGTATCTACAGCACAGAGAGTAAAACGTTACTTCTTACATTTGTTAAATTTTCATTGGGTCGCACATTCTATTTCAGCTTCTGTGATATTTTGTTTTCTTCATAGACATTTTTAGCTTGCCAGATGTAAGGCTATTCAAATCACCCTTCATCCATTGTCTGCTGTCCGTCTGTCTGTAAACAATTTTTGAAGTATTTGATCGACCTTTCTCAAAGTTTACATGTAGGTTTGATTTTTGGCCTGATCAGAAAAAAAAACAATACAGCTGACAGATGGTCATCTTGAAATTTTACAAAGAACTTTGTTATCGCTATTTCTTGAGAAGTGCTTATGGATCTTTCTCAAATTTCATATGTGGGTTCTCCTTGGCCCTTAGTTCTTCCCCAATCTCTACAAGAGTTGACGTTCCTTAACGGTCACAATACACCTCTGTAAACGGCTCACAGACTACCAGTATTTGTCCTCGTAGTCAGTGTTAACGTTTGAAATCTGGCAAAAATGCCTTCGATCAACATAAACAATGACATTGATGCTTGTGTGACGGAAATGTGCCAATATTGTAGCCGAATTACCGTCATTACTTAGTCACATGTATATTGACATGTATCAAGAGAACAGTCGGTGGTTGAAAAGCGAAAGTACAAAATGTAAACAGCACTTGGTGAATGTTTACTATCTATTAATCAAGAATCTTGAAATGGCATGAAACGTGTACAGAGGTGTTACTGGGATACCACAATGCACTCTGGAAGAGATTGGATGTGCCCATTGATTTTTGGACTGATAAGAAAAATAAAATGGCAGCCTGGTGGTCATCTTTGATTTTGTCAAAATAAAGTTTGTTATCGGTAGTTCTTGGGGGAAAATACTGGATAGATTTTCTCAAATTTCATATATAGTGTCCTATATTCCTAGTCCCTAGTTGTGCCCGTTTGATTTTGGGACCGATAAAATAAACGACATGGCTGACAGGTGGCCAACTCTGATTTTGACCATTTTTTTAATGCACTATACGAACTTTAAAATTACCCCTACCTAAACCAAATCTATTTAGGTCCCTAATCCTACTTGTACACGAGGTCATGGAGACTGAAAACCGGTCAAGCATCCAACTTACCATTCAGGAAGAGCAATTTCACTCGTACGTGGTTTAGTGGGGGACATATCTTCAAGATGGCTACTTGTAAACTACCGCTGTGTAGTGGACTTCAATTCATTTATCTGGGGTTTTTATAAGGTATTTTTGACCGAATCCTTACACATACCAGTAAATAAATTAAGGATATGGTAGAAATTATCCCAGACAAGTGGGGATGATAATATATACCTGGCAAAGCCCCAAGTGGAATTACCTGCGATCATATATTCTGATCTCCAATTACCTGCGATCATTCTAGTGTGTGCCGAGACCAGAAAACAAAACCGTGTTTATCTCTGATCGTACAAGTGAGGTAACTATGCGCAATTTCGGAAGAAAGCATATCTGTATCCGTTTCTCATACAAGATGGACAAGTGTGAGTGTAAGCTGGTGGCCACAAATTGTCTCATAACCATAAAGGTTGGCTAGATATAACGATGACCACAGAAAAGAGTAGATTTCTTTGTCTGAATCATTGTAAAAAATGGTTGCAATTGGAGTACCTGTGCGAAGTACATGTTACTTGTTCACTGTAAATTTAGGTCAACGTCACTAGTTTCAGAAACTAAAAGGCCTTTCTTTCGTATACCGGAAAGTATTCTTCACAGACACCGACGAAACTTACGCACGTCTGCATTGTATTGAGCTCTTGATTTTTGGTTGTTTTCCCCGATAACATATAATTTATGGTACCATTACTTGAAACTGATCAATTCCATATTGATCTTTTTATAGGATTTCGAGTTTCCCAATTTTTGGAACTATAGTAGAGAGCCCTGTTGACATCCTTTGCAATTTAGGTTTTAATGTATAATTGTGTTTTCACAACACGTTTGATCTCACGTTCCAGCAAACCCTGAAATAACATTAAGCGGTTTAATTCACATGAGATTTGATGGGAGCGGGTAAAAGAACGTGACGATTTACGGTAGATTGTGACGTAATTTTCAAAATGGCGTACGCTCATCAGAACAACACGTGGCCAGTAAATAAATTCAAATAGGAAGTACCATGTTCAATTGTTTTGCGGATTGGAGAATGACAGATTATTCGATATGAATGTTTCAAAATCATGTAATGAAGATATCAATTTACGAACATCGGAGTCAAACGAAGAATTCACAGAAAGTCATTTACCAACGCAAAAAGTAAGGAGACGGCATCGACTCCCACGTCTGGATTTTAATCGAGACTATTGGCCGAATATACCATTCATGGGAAGAAAAAGTCCAAGTTCTCATCAACGCGCCATTTTGAATGAAAATTCAAGTCCAATAAGCACACTGGAGCGAAATATTAAGTCCGGGAAAACTGTGACAGGCAAACCAAGCTTGGAAAGAGTTCTTGCTTTTGGACGTCGAGCGAAACTTTCGCTGTCTAACTTCGGCCGTTGTCTCCATAAGACCTACAGTACCTCTTCTGATGACGGAGAGGTTTATGGCGAAAAGACGGAACCAAAATTAGAACTTTTGACCTTAACATCGGTGACTAATGAGGTTAGTAACTGCTATGGCTTTATACAACCATGTCTTGTACTTGCATTTAACACTGACTATACCAGTAAGTTACATTTCTTTAATATCTGTTTTATTTACAGAATGCAGCTATACACAGTAAGAGTTTGGATTCGACTGTAGAAGAAGAGGTGACGAGGGGAACGCCTTGCTTGTTTCCAGTAGTTTAAGGTGGTGCGATTTTAGACAAATCCTGAGCATTGTGTATACTTTGATGTCGTAAAGACGAATAAAACAGTGTTGAATGTTTGTATTGTTATTGAAATTTTAGAACCGGGCACTTGGACAATATTAGTTACAGGCATCAACATACACGTGTACAATTCGTGGCAGTCATCAACATACACGTGTACAATTCGTGGCAGTCATCAACATACACGTGTACAATTCGTGGCAGTCATCAACATACACGTGTACAATTCGTGGCAGTCATCAACATACACGTGTACAATTCGTGGCAGTCATCAACATACACGTGTACAATTCGTGGCAGTCATCACTTTACATAACTGATTACAGACATAACTATACCCATGTTCAGTTGCTGACAGACATCAAGTACTCATGTACAACTGGTTACATACATCATCCACGCTATTGCTGGTTAGAGATACATAGATATACATAATTGGCTACAGACAACACCGTACACTTGTACAATTGGTTACAGACTATATCATACACGTGTACAATTGGTTACAGAGAATATCATACACGTGTACAATTGGTTACAGTCAATATCATGCACGTGTACAATTGGTTACAGAGAATATCATACACGTGTACAATTGGTTACAGACAATATACACGTGTACAATTGGTTAGTCAATATCATACACGTGTACAATTGGTTACAGACATCATTATACACGTGTACAATTGGTTACAGACATCATCATACACGTGTACAATTGGTTACAGTCAATATCATACACGTGTACAATTGGTTACAGAGAATATCATACACGTGTACAATTGGTTACAGACAATATCATACACGTGTACAATTGGTTACAGAGAATATCATACACGTGTACAATTGGTTACAGAGAATATCATACCCGTGAACAATTGGTTAGTCAATATCATACACGTGGTCAATTGGTTACAGACATCATCATACACGTGTACAATTGGTTACAGACATCATCATACACGTGTTCAATTGGTTACAGACATCATCATACACGTGTACAAACACAACATACACGTGTACAATTGGTCATCAGTGTACAATTCGTGGCAGTCATCAACATACACGTGTACAATTCGTGGCAGTCATCACATACACGTGTACAATTGGTCATCAACATACACGTGTACAATCATCATACACGTGTACAATTGGTTACAGACATCATCATACACGTGTTCAGTTGCTGACAGACATCAAGTACTCATGTACAACTGGTTACATACATCATCCACGCTATTGCTGGTTACAGACATCATCATACACGTGTACAATTGGTTACAGACAATATCATACACGTGTACAATTGGTTACAGACAATATCATACACGTGTACAATTGGTTACAGTCAATATCATACACGTGTACAATTGGTTACAGAGAATAACATACACGTGTACAATTGGTTACAGACAATATCATACACGTGTACAATTGGTTACAGACAATATCATACACGTGTACAATTGGTTACAGACAATATCATACACGTGTACAATTGGTTACAGACAATATACACGTGTACAATTGGTTACAGACAATATACACGTGTGCAATTGGTTACAGAGAATATCATACACGTGTACAATTGGTTACAGACATCATCATACACGTGTACAATTGGTTACAGACATCATCATACACGTGTACAATTGGTTACAGACATCATCATACACGTGTACAATTGGTTACAGACATCATCATACACGTGTACAATTGGTTACAGTCAATATCATACACGTGTACAATTGGTTACAGAGAATAACATACACGTGTACAATTTGTTACAGTCAATATCATGCACGTGTACAATTGGTTACAGAGAATAACATACACGTGTACAATTTGTTACAGTCAATATCATACACGTGTACAATTGGTTACAGACATTATCATACACGTAATTGTTGTTATTCTGATAAGGTCTCTTACATCGACGGACTGAATTAATTGTGTGGTAAATTTTTGGTGACCGCCATATATTCCGAAATTTCAAGAGTCCGGAGACCCAATATTCCTACAATTTCTCTTACGTCATCACGACTTTGCTAATGCAACAAACATTTTTTTTTATCGATTTTCCTCTCGTTATGCGATAATCCATCTTTATAGTATGTAAGCTTTCTTCCGTAACTATCGTGACCAGTATATACATGTATATTCGAATTGTGTTTACTAAAAAACAAAGCGTTTGCAAAGTTGAAAGTCTTAAAAATCTGACTAGACAAACAGTCATGTCTGTATGAAAACGAGAATCTGAGTATGACACAAAGTAACTTTGGAAATTTACTGAGGAAACAACGAGACAACAATAAAGTCCAAGAACAGCATCAACGGGATGGAAATAGACGAAGACGAGAAGACGGGACAATCTACAACTGTTGAAGTACAATCTAGAGAAAATGAGAAATTCTAAAACGTAATCAGACAATATCAGATAATTAAACTGGCCTATCATGTAGTACCATGACTCATGGAGAACAAAGTAAACAAAAATTTAGGAACATTCGAGGTCCCCTTTGCAAAAGACAATAATTCTCAATATACATCAGAAATAACGGGCATGTGAACAACGATATATAACAGTAAGGCCAATTTGAATATTGACTGTTTTTTTTTCATTTTGGGAAATGTGAGAAAAAAACCAAATATCATATTAAAATCAGAGACGTAAATATGTGTTATATATGTCCCTGTTAAAATCGAGAACAAGTTTTATTTAATGAACTGATGCCATTAATTCCAAGATGAGCTTAAGATGTTATAATCGAATAAAAATAGTAATATCACGGCCTTAGAATTTTAAGCCCGTGGTAATCTTAACTTTCTTGTACACCATTTTTTTAAAAATTCATTTCGGTATCGTCTATTTTATCTAAATTATCTATGCGAGAGTGGTAATTATGACTCCAACGAATTAAATTTCGGTTTCTTGAGACCAGTGTCGTATTAGACTAAACCTATACTACGGGTATACTGACAGACCCTGATCACTGCCCTAAATTTATGATCAGGTACTTTCAAAATTATACATTATTTTGTTAACATCTTGTTTACGATGTTTTTTGTCCGTTTTGATCGACGTATTTTCAGAATATTGGATCCTTTGAGTAATAGACCTTCTAGATAACGGACCTTCGAAGTAACCCGAGGTTCTGCACGCCACGTTCAAAGTCATCCGAACTGGCCTAGTGGCAGGTGTACCATCCTCAACACATGTAAAACAGCTATGAAGCAAATTGCGAAATGTATCGAATTATGATATATGAAAATAACGAAAATTACTGAATGATGAGGTTAGTGTACCTTCCCTCAACTCGATTTTGATTGTACTGTAAAAGTGATCGATCAAAACTTCATTATACTACGAGACTAACCCAAATGGTGATGCCCGATGGCTCTCAGTAGAACAGGAAGTGTAGAGTTGTTCCCCTTACAAATAAATTGATCCAAGATGGCTGAGACCGAGGAGGAGGTTCTGTGTAGCTGGATATTTCCCATGTTTTCTGTCGGCCTAATGGAATAAACAAGCCGACTTCAGTTTTAACAATGAACCGACATCAAGTACTCACGGGTGCTTGCAATTCTGGAGATCAGTGTTATTCGGTTGGAAGCGTCGAAGGAATCCATTTCACGGTAAGCTACGACAATATGTTTCGGTATCGATATTTTATGTTTTTATTGATTGATTGAGAGTCTTCGAAGGGCGTACAATCGATTGTACTATGCAGTTACCTGATGGTATTTATTAATTAGATTTAGAATTGACGTCTTTTTTAATCTTGGTAGTGAAATGAAGATTTCAATCATTCCCTATCCTCATTATGACTGATGACATATTAGCTACCGGTTGGCTGTCAAATTAAAACCGTGGACACTTCCTATGAGCAATGCCTAAGGTTAGCGCATGGCATTTCCTCATATACTACTTCCAGTACGTTTCGATTTTGTATTTGTCATTTTATGTCATCATTCAATAGATTCCACTTGTAATTGGTTTCCTTTTGTGGTTAGAAACTGAATTTATATATATATGTGTCACAGCACATTCACATTCGACAATCGCCGATTGCAGTCAATAGGGAATTCCACATACAAAAAAAAATGAGGACATAGTCAATAACTAAATATCACTGTACAGCTATTCACTTTTTATATAGCTAGTATAAATGTAATTATAAAGCATAACAAATCAGTATATCTGTTAGTGTTCATGTGTTATTAATAGCAGACAAAATTGAAATGTTTATCATTTAGCTGTACATGTGTAGCAGTGAATATATAGGCGTTATTCGTCTGAATATAGCATTGAACATACAATAGTTTTTACAAGTTTAAAGAACAAGTGACTACAAATAATAACCTGTAATGCTTCTATACAAACACAGTGTCTCAAATATTTGATAATTTAGGTATTTTGAATTAAAAGGCAATTAATTATCAACTCAGATAGCTAATAATGATATTGTAAGAATTAGTTTAGATGTCATACAACAGAAGTTTGTCCTAAATACAGGTAAGTCTCTGTAAATCAAATAACTAACACACATCTAATTTGTGACAGGTAGCCATGACTAGTAGTAATGTATAGCTTGAGGCTTGATATAATTTCTTGTTCTCAAATTTGCCTACATATACACCTTTGTTATTCCCATTATAGAATATTTGATTAAGGAACTTGGAGTTATTTACTAATTTTCCTTTGGGACATTTTGTGAAAATTTTCAGGATGCTCTGTATCTCTCGACCTCCCTAATCAATGGCCAACATTACAGCATTGCACCATTTTTTTTTCAATCAATATTTACTAACTTGGTGTGTAAATACATACATGTTCAATGTACATTTGTTTGTTTTTTCTGCCATCTGCAAATGTCAAACTTTGAGATTTGACCTTTGCTGTCTATTTGGAGATTTACCCGGCAAACAAACAAAATCAGCAGTGAGCTATATAGCTAGGTCATCGCTAACAATGTTAACTGAATGATAACAAAACTTAAGTAACAAAAGCTACTTATAACATTGAACATAGTATTGTTGTCTATGTACATTATGATGATGAAAAAATTAAAGAGAGTGAAGTAGGAGAACATATTGATGAGATATAAGACAGTATACACAGGTGTAATGACTGCACACAGGCACCTGTATAAGTGTGATGCTTTCAGTGGGATGATTGATGATGACGATTATTTTTATTTTGGTTTTTTTTTTAGATTGTCCTACTTGATCATCTTAATTAACTGTCTGCCTATTTAATTATGCCGTTCTAAATATTGAATCCATCATTTCATCTTTTCATCCCATTCAGTACACATGCTATAAATATTGAATTTATCATTCTATCTTCATCCTGTAACTACAGGAATGTATTCTATTGATAATATTATTTATTCTTTTTGTCGTGAATTTATCAAAGTTTAAAATTTACAATAACTTTTGTCCATGCGGCCTTCTTATAATATCTCATATTTATTAAACTTTCAATGGCTTTAGTCCATATTTACCTATAGATATACAGGATCTACAATGTAAGCCTGATTTGATTTTGTTGCTGTCAGTCAAGGTTGAAGTGTCAAAGGTAATGCCTGATCACTTTTGAAATAAAAAAAGCTAACAAGCTCAAAGTAAAGTAATGTAAGCTTTTTTCATGTGATGTAGAATTCCTTTGTCATTGATCAAGGTAAGAGTTCAAATGTCAAACATGAAAAAAATCGCTGGATATCACTGACATACCCCACAACATTGGAGGAGGGGGGGGGGGGGGAAATATCAATGTGAATCTGGTTTCAAGCTTTTATTGTTTTAAGTAATATTTGTTTATTTCTAGTTCTAGATTTGATAGATTGTTTGATTTGTAGATAGGGCTACTCTGTACTCGAAAATTATGATCCAATATTGGTATATGATACTTTAATTTCAGCTTGTTTAATGCATAGGCCCATGTGCATGTTTTCAGCTGAAAGAGGTTTTTAAAGGACTCCTCGTGTTAAGTGTTCTCTAAGGGGAGGGATAACATTTCATTTGTATGTCATGTATTCAATGGTTTCTACCTGAACTGGTATGTGTACTGACACAGCCATCAGATTAATTAGACTGGTCTACTGACAGTATCCAACTGACAGTGTTACTGTAATTATTGCAGATGTTGGAACATTTCATTACTCCCAGGGTGAAGTCACCGTAAAACTAATACAGTGTTAGACTTTAGTAGTGGCCCTGCTAGATCCCTGGAGATGACAAGCATATTGTTATCTTCATTATCAAGAAAATATTGGTTACTTGAGGATATGTTGTAATGATGGTATGCTTCCTGCTTCCTGCAGTAAGTCCTACAGAGTAATTTTAAGTTGATTGAAACACATGATATGTGCGCTGATACAAAACAGGTAGGGTTTATTTTTCCTGAATTGTGATAAATAGCTATATAGGTTAACCTTATTCCAGGCCTCAACTTGAATCAATACAATGATGTATTACAGAGACAATATTGTCTTTTTATACCCCTCACTTAGTAAGTAAGGAGTGGGATGTATTATTTAGTAATCACTTAGTCTGTGTATCCAAGCATAAGTCTCCATGATTATCTGTGCATCCATAACACAAAGCTTGATATCTCATGAACCCCTCCACAGATTCAGTACATATAGTCACACAATAGCATAGTATTACAACATAAGGTTGTTTACAGTAATACAAAACACTCTACCCTAGCTTAGGTATGAACTAGTGACTCTTTTGCCTATAGGAAAACACACTACATGAATGAAAAGAAATTCTCACTAGCCAAGACTAGAAAGAAAACGGGTACTTTCAACGTTTATACAACTCATTCCTTCTCAAAGTCTGTGACTCCGAAGATGGTTGTTCAAGCATTAACAACCCAGGTTGAATATCTCCAAGAAAGCATTTCATCTCCTTTAGCTTCTACCCTTGAAGTGGTTAATGGCACCAAATTTGTAATAGCATTAGGAAAGAGTAATGAAAAATATCCTACCCCCATCAGGGTTTGAACAAGAGACTTTAGAATATCTAGCTAGACACTGTACTGCTTGATAAAGGGAAATTCCCACCAGCTGAGGCTAGTAAGGAAACCTGTACTCTCAACTTCAACAGTTTTACACCTGATTGGATTTTGGTAACAGTTTAAGAGTCAAGAGTCACAAAATTATATTTGTTCACTTTTTTTTATTAAAAAGCATGTGCACAAAATATCACATGTATATCATCATGTTATATGGCACAGGCCAATTATGATTACTAGCATGTTAAATACCTCACGAATCTCTCTGAATCATATATGTTTGTCAAATTTAGATTTTATTGTACCAAAATTAAATGTTTTGATATTTCATATTATTATGAAATTTTAGTTTATGGATGCAAAAAATAAATGCTCAGTGCATGCATTGGTTGTTATATAAAGAACACAATTTTCAGTGTCGAGGAGCATGTTCCTTATATGTTGTAGAGGTTAACCATCTTACATGTTGTACCTAGGTAATTGTAATTATTTGTCCACAGCAAGGGTCAGGGAACTTGATGTGATCACTGGTCATATTTAAATAATCTGCAGTGTACCATGCAGTATTATGTACTGTGTATTCATATATGTTTTGAGTTGGGCGAAGAGGATTTTCTAAATCCTGGCCCGGAAGTAAACTTAACTTAAATCTAGGGCCAACAATTCCTTGATTACAGAGTTATTACCCTTTTTTGGATTTTTTGTCTGGAGCATAAATTAGCTTGTGTTTAAACAAGGCTAATGGAACTTGGTATATATATGATATTGATCATACTTGATTAATATAATGAAGCTTGGTGTATACATTGGTCATACTATGGTCATATAAAGAAGATATCCCAAATTCAGGGTCCATAACCCTGTAATCACTGTATTGTCCATTGCTAAAATATCATGTTTTGAGCATGGCTTTGCTCACATTTTAACTAGCATAATGAAACTTGGGTGTATACATTGGTCATAGTAAGACAACATGTACTCATGTACCAAAGTGAGGACCAGAAACTCCTTAACTGCAGAGTTAATTCCCTTTATGACAATTTTATTTCAAATAAAGTTGTTCTCGAGGAGCATTCATCAGTATCACTGACATTCTTGTATTGCATAGAGTTTTATTTCAGTGTTTTTAATTGATTTAAATAAGATACTATTTGATTGTTGACTGTAAATAAATAGAATCATTAAGTTAACTGAAATCTTTAGCACTGAAATTCCTTGATCCAAATTAACAATTTACCAACTCTGATGTTTATCAGGGCCTTTAGCCCTTTGATCCAGTTGGTATATAGATCTCAAATCTTAACCAACAGTGCTTCATTAAATTCATTTTTTATAAGTAGATAGAAATACATTATTTGCTCCTTATAACAGTACGATAGTCTGACATTGTTGAAATGGTTGATACATTCTCTATTTACTTATAACAGTACGATAGTCTGACATTGTTGAAATGGTTGATACATTCTCTATTTACAGTCCTAGCACTTTTCATCAGATTTGAAATGTGGAATGTTTCTGTTGAAATGATTGTAAGATTTGGTTTATGCAACGATTTGTCTTTGTTGCTGATCAGATTTTAAATTAATGGTCTGTTGTTGACTGTGACAGAGCAAGAATATTGATGGAATATCTGTGTTAATGCCACCCACGCACATCCCACACATCACTGTGTGTGCCTTCCAGTTGCAATCAAACTATGAGGCTGAAACACAGATATTTTTATTGATGCTCTGAGGAGAAAAAAGCAGACAGACGATTCTTGAGATTCTCTTTTGTTTTGCCTAAACCATTTATTTTCTAGCTGGAAATTTATACAATAGATTGAACCTTAAGTGGTATACTGTAAGAACAGTGTAAAATCACGGCATCATGTATGTATACATACTTCACATCTCCAAATAATTCTAGTGCTGGCAGAGCTATACATGTTTGACAATATGCTCTGGTGGCAGATGCATGCAAATATTGCAGAGAGATTGAAAAGCTTATACAAGTTTCATAGCATACAAGTTTGTGCAATTAATTCATATAAGTTTGATAATAAGATTTTGTTATTCACATACATGCAAGTTTGTGTAATTATATGTTTGTTTGTCTTGAGACTTCATAGCCTTGAGATTAAAAGCCATTTTGTGGACAGAAGGATGGATCAACTTAACACAAAACTATAGTTCCCATCTTGTCTAGATTCTACTTCCTACACTACCTGTAATTTATACTTGGGGTATGGGTTCACCTTAGTGAGACAATGTGTCACCCATCAAATGTAGGTCAGTCTGACCTATATTTTGACCTTTGATCTACATCAAAGGACATACCTTGTCACTGGAACTTCATACTTGGGATATGGATTCAGTTTGGTAGGGCAGACTGGGCCCTACACCTACAGATGTAGGGTGGTGTGTCAGGTAAAAATAATAGTTCACTTAGGCCTACATTTTGATTCCTGACCAACATCAGAGTTTATCAGGGGTGTGTAAGTCACTGAATCTTCATACTTGGGATATGGTTCCACCTTGGTGAAGTGGTGTATTAATGGGGGAATATAATTTGCCAAATCTTCTTTAATTTGTATATTTGTAAATGTTTTTATAAAAGGAGCAGAAAAAAATGACAGTTAAACTGATTTACATTTTGAAAACTAATTTCACATTGATATGAGTGGACCTTTGTCTAAACTTGATTTGGACACTTAACCATCAAATTTTAATGTGAAATAGCTGGGTAAGGTTAGTTGTATTTTCTGCGTTTCCTGAATAAAACATTGCTTTATGTGACACCATTACAAACCAAGGCCTAAGGATCAATATTATTCCTTTGGCCATTCCTATGATGTATCAGAATTCAGTCTAGACAATATTTTCTATGAGAAAAAATGTATTATATTGCTTATGTGGCTTCAGATGATCAGATTTCCTGAAAGACAAGGGAGCCATTGATTTGACTAAGCTAGCTGCACTGTGCCTGAGAATGTACTAAACAGACGAGGCTCTAGGTGCTGATCACTAGAATAATGGTCTATAGTTTTTTTCTTTTTTTCTGTCCTATCTGACAGTTATTTCCACATCTCTGTAAAGATCCACAATTTCACCTGAAAATATGTTTCTTGGTCCAGTCATGCCAGTGTGTTCTATGCTACAGACCATTGTTATGACTTTTTCTGGCTGACAATATGCTGAGATTGCAGTTCGAGAAGAACGAATTTTACATGTTATTGATTATAGCCAGTCTCTCGCACTAATCTCTCAAATAGCTTGCCATCTCTTTTACTAGCAACTGTAGGTACTTTATGTTACATACATAATGTTAATTTCTGGAGACATATCATATGGTCGTACCATACTGTCACCTGGATGTCTTGTTTGGCAATTCATTTCTTTATCATGTTAAACCACCTCCCCCCAGAAAAACAAAGATTTGAAATTATAAGTGTTGTTGTTAACCTTAGTATTTCTTATTTTAAAAACCATTATGATAATCATTGTAAAGTGCTGATATGGTGACATTTGAAAAATGTATCAAACTCCTGAAATGAGATTCTGTATCAAGGACCATACATTCATTTTCTTTGATATGAGATAAATTTCATGAACATCATATTTAATAAAAAATCAAATAAGACTGATGCAAAATCTGAAATGGTGATTACCTGGTATTTCAGTCTGTAATGCCTACATTTACAATGTCACATTGCAAATGAAACCATGACGTTATTATGATCTCTTAATGGAAACAATGGGAACCTTCAGTCATTCACATTCCAGCATTGTCATGATTACAATTGTTGTATTGAGTTATATTACACTGCTAACAGCAAACTTATGGGATTAGTTGATAATTTTTAATGTATTACATGTAAAATGGACTTCATTAAATCTATAAAAGGAATGTTTTATATATGAGGTAAAACACATCAGTGAAATACTAGGATTAATTTTGTTGCATTTAATTTGACTATTACTGTTGATATTTAGATCAGTGTAAGAAATCTGTACCATTATAGACAGGGCGAGAGTAGACATTTTGCAGATCTATTTACAAGGTTCGAAAGACAGATCACAGTGACAGTTATTTGGGAACACAATTAGTTTCACACTGGGATGTCGTGTTGTATCAGCTATATTTGGAGAAAATAGTGACGGAAAATTTCTATGAATGAGGATTTATTTGATTTTTTTTAGGATTAATTCTAAAGTAAAGCCCCCGCCCATCCCCCACGCCCCCAAAGAAAAAAAAATCCAATTCCAATAGACATCTTTGATCATAAGAAAATGCATTTGTTTCCAAAAGTGAATCAGAAAATAAAATGAGATGCTTGAAGTAAAATGGCTAGATTGACTGACATTTTGGCTTATACAAGTTGTCTTTGAATAATAAAATGGCTTTATAATACCCTACTCTGGTTATTATTTGAACTTACCAAAATTTAAGGCTTCACTTCATGTGTATGTATCATTAACAAAGAGATGGATGTGATGGTTAATCTCAAACCAGGGCCAAACAATATTTTCAGCATGGCATGTAGAATTCTATGAAGAATTGGGACAGCATATGTACACCTGCATCCATTTATTGGTTTATAAAATCCAAACACATGAGGTCTTTTCAGATATATATGTTTAATAAATCTCAAGACTTGGTAGAAATTACATTTCATAATTAACTATCACAAACACTAATTGCTAAATGATTCTTCAGTAAAATATCTGCAGTTGTCCATGTGGTCAGGCAAGTGACCATACCTTTTCATGTTTGCTCAGAGAATTAAACCCTAGTGGCCTTGTAAAGTATAGACAGCAGTATTACCACTGCATTCTGACTCAGATTTGATTAAAATTATGAACTAATTTTGAACAAAAGAAAGATTGTTACAGAAATCCTTAAAAAATACAAGGAGATTAAGACAAGGTGTTCAAGGAGAATTAGTGACTTCAGATTCATTGACAACACTCATTGTAAATCTTGATCAATCAAATTAAGAAATGTCGGGCTAGGAATTCATTGCAAGGCTAGTTGTCTGCTAAAATCCACTAACCCAAAAATGATATTCTGCTAGTCCCAAATATTTCCACAATTACATGAAATATTGCAGTCATATAACATGTTGATATTTTAATCAGTTAATAGATTAATTGGCTAACCTCTGAAGGAAAGAAAGGCAAATTGTGTCTTTATCTTCAGAAATAAGAAAAAAAATTACTCTTCCACTGAAAATCAAAGAAAGATTATAGGATATTATGTTTGAAATCTGGCTCCAGCGGTTAAAATGCCCGTAAACAACCATGGCTGCCTCTGCTTTAGCAAGTCTCTTGCTGACTTTTGGATTGATGAACTTCAGCTCTTCACCAAGATTCTTATATCAAATAAAAATTGTTGATTAAATGACAGATGACTGCTATTTTGATGGTTAGTATTGCCTCCTAAGTTTTTTGTTTGGTATATATAACTCCTACAAGCAGACAGGACATTGTAGTAAGGGTATCAGTAAAATCTCTGGTGAAATTACTCTTGTTCATGATTAAGGAAAGCAATTCTATTCTATATGCTTTTCAGATATTAGAAATGATCATAAATTCTTCAGGATGTTTTTGGGAAAACAAATGTGTACAGAAAGTCACTAGCCCCTTGCTAGTTGACCTGTCCACTAGCTCGATCTGAAGATTTGGTAGCTCAGGGTGTTGGGCTGGTGTATTCCCAAATGAAAACAAGGTTAAAAATAACATAATCACTAGACTTAATCAAACATGTTTAACTTCCTATTGTACATGAAATGAGATCAATAGGGAGACCATATGATTTTCAATCATTTTCATTATAACCTTCATCTTTTAAAACCCTGTGTCTGTTATCTAGGTTAACATCTTATATATTGTGAGAACCTGTTTGGGTTGAATATGTCTTCTACCTAAATCAAGCTTCCTTTTGCATCACAATAAACATGATTGACTGTTTTATCACTGTCTAACACATTTAATTGTGTGGTTGCCTAAGAGGTCATAGTATGTGAATTTTGTTTACATAAATACATTCTTTCAGTTACTATTTTATGTGCAGTTATATTTGTTATTATCACAAGATGTAATGATAGGAAAAAAGCTGTTGCTGCTTTGATTGTAAGTATGCTCTACAATAACAGATCTGAAAAGATAGAAAACATGTTTGTATTTCCACTGTAAAAGGTGTGCTGCCTTTGTTTTCCACTGTAAAAGGTATGCTGCCTTTGTTTTCCACTGTAAAAGGTATGCTGCCTTTGTTTTCCACTGTAAAAGGTATGCTGCCTTTGTTTTCCACTGTAAAAGGTATGCTGCCTTTGTTTTCCACTGTAAAAGGTATGCTGCCTTTGTTTTCCACTGTAAAAGGTATGCTGCCTTTGTTTTCCACTGTAAAAGGTATGCTGCCTTTGTTTTCCACTGTAAAAGGTATGCTGCCTTTGTTTTCCACTGTAAAAGGTATGCTGCCTTTGTTTTCCACTGTAAAAGGTATGACCCTTTGTATTTCCAGGAGTAAAATACATGATCCCTTTGTATTTGTAGGCATATGCTGCAGGATGTGACATTGTGATTTTAGCCAGTGATTTCCAAAGAGTTCAGATCATCCCAGGTGTCACTCATGGAAATGTTAAGGTCAACTGTATCGATTGTTCTACAGACACAGGCAAGGTAAAGTATTTTGAGAGGGGAGATTATCAATGATGAGAATGGGTTCTAGTTTTATAATTGATAATTGACTGCACAATAATCTATCAATGTAAGTTTCATACATTACCTGTAAAATAGTTCAAGTTGTTTGTTTCTTGCATTACAAATATTGTACATATTGAAATAATGTTATTGGTTTATGAGAAGCTCTGAATCTTTTTTAATTCTGTATTTGTTAATTATCCAGACTGATTGATACCACTTAATGAGCAGCTCTATGTAAACACTGTATTTTGGTAAGGGAGAAAATCACAGTTATGAAATATAATTTGGATAGGGAGATAATATCTCAGTTATATACTCTACTTTTGGAAGGTAAAAAATCTCTCAAGTATGCACTATACTTTGGTAAGGGAGATAATCTCAAGTATGCACTATACTTTGGTAAGGGAGATAATCTCAAGTATGCACTCTACTTTGGTAAGGGAGATAATCTCAAGTAAGCACTATACTTTGGTAAGGGAGATAATCTCAAGTATACACTCTACTTTGGTAAGGGAGAAAACCTCAAGTATCAACTCTACTTTGGTAAGGGTGATAATCTCAGTTATATAATTTATTTTGTATGAGAGATAATGTCTGCTATACACTACTTTTGTAAAGGTGATAGTCTAAGCAATACACTTTTTTAATAAGGGAGACAATCTGCTTTGTTAAGGGAGATTAACTTAGTTATGCACTCTGCATACTCTTAAGGTGTTGTCATTTATCTATACTCATTGTCATCTTTTGTTGATGTATTTTCTTTTGTTTTTAAGTGTGAAGATAACATAACCCATGTGTATGGAGATTAATTGTCTCAAAAAATACATTACATGTCATTAAACTTTGTTGTAGATTGCAGCCTCCTACCAAAACAAAGTGTATGTGTTTGAGCCAACGCCTCTCCTCCACCATGAGAGCACCCATGTGAGTGTTTACAGAAACTTGTTCTATCAGTGTTTTTGTTGATGTGTTATCCTATTATAATGCATGGTGTTGGAGAATCCTACCAAAAAAGAAATTCACTTAAAACATTTTTTAGTAAATATTTCCTTTTTGTTTACTTATTTTCGTAGTTGTGTTTGGTGTTGTTGATTATATGTGGTGTTTCATCTATATAGAGCTGTTATATCAATAATGAATACATTTCTGTTGTATACCCATGTCTTGTTTCGCCCTTATTCTATAAAAGTTGTTTTGCTTATTTAATCGTTATGCTATATTGCTATATATAGCTGTATGACTGATTGGACAAAAGACATTTTGATATACAGATGTACTTAGACTATAATGATTTTCTTGACCTGTTCAGTTTTGTAAATCTTATTGATTTTTATAAAGCCATAATTATTCTATTGTTTTTTTTTCCATTAGCTCTTTAGATGATGTATATATGTTAAAAGATGAATGTATTATGAGAGAGACCTTACATGTAATAATGAAACTTAACATGGCTGATTTTCACTTGTGAACTCATTTTGGTCCTTTAGAATATTTGGGAAAATTGAGCTTATTTTGTTGTTAAACTTAGGAAAGACAACATTTTCTTACATTTCAGTTCTCTTTTGGTTTGCTAGTTAAATGTTTGCATTTGTTTTGTAATGTAGATGACTGATTTTGATGTTGATCATCAGGTTTGTAGATGAAATATCCTGGCCTTCATTATACACTCTAGCACCAGTATATGACCTCTGCCTTCACTGACATCTTCTTCATCACCTTTTGTAATACTGATCTGACAAACGTTTGTTATGATACAATTTAGTTGTAATTTTAGATACACTGACTTTCTACATCGTTTGTACCATATCTGACCCATTAACGCCCTTGATCGTTAAATCACCCTTCCCTTATTTATAGGCTCCTAACACATCATTCTGGTTCTTGGTACTCATTATTATGCACTATCAAGAAGATTTTTGGGCAACAGAAGAATACTAATTTATCACTAGTAATTACAATTTCACAACCATGATTTTCTGCTAGCCTAAGTTAAAAAATGTATGATTTTGATCTCGTCAAAAATAGTCCTGTTAAGTCCCCCTCCAATTTAAACTTAATGGGTTAGATATGGTATGTATACTAAATATACAAGACATCATTGTTCTATTCAATTTATTAAAGAAGTTGTATACATGAAAGTTTATTTCTGTAATGAACGAAAGATGTCTTTATTTCTATAATGAATAATAGATGTAGTGACTATAATAGCTTGATTGTTTACTATCGCTTTTATATTCTGCCACAAAAAAAAAGTTTCCTACAGACAGTGTCAGAGATGTCAGGTTAGGCAGATTAAACACCAACCGAATTCACTTTATTTATTGTTATATCGTAAAACGCTAGTTATCTCATCCTGTGTTACTTTAGAAATACAACCCTTTATGTATATTTCTGGGCATTCAGTTTATAAATGTCAAAAAAGATACATTTGGTGTAAAATCTAACAAAAAGAGAATAACTAAATGTGTATATTTACATAAATGGTTCAGGGCTCTCACACCCCATTTACGGACTGGGGCCCGGGGCCCTTAGAATCAGGAAAAATAATGGTGTTTTCCTTAGAATTGGGAAAACCTGGGGTCTAAATTGGGAAAAAAAGATACTAAATCTAGCAGATCGAGAGTGTACGGTAGTATCTCTGCACACATAAATTACTAAGAAATGTTTTACATTATAATTCGCTGAAGTGATGCTAGTCTTTACTTACCACTTGATATCTAGTCTACCTAAACCATTTCTTTATCTGTTCTTAGGATTTTGTTTCAAATTTTCATGTAGTGAATAATAAAAAAGGATAATATCAGCCTTTTAAAACTTGCTTATCTATCAATCTTATTTGTTGTAGTTTTCATGATTTTTACACCTAATTTGTTTTGTTGAAATTTGGAATATTTCATATTTCTAAACCTACATCCAAACTGAAGTAAAAGCATTGCAGTGAACAAACCAAATCAGCAATATTACTCTACTAGTTTTCCTTCATGGCGTTAGATTTAGATTTTGAAGATAACACTATGTCCACATGCCTTCTTTCTCATTCATAATATGGAAAGTTCATATGTTCTTTCTCATAGATGTGACAACCTATCTTTGTTGTTGGTGTGTTAGCATTTTCAGAGAGATCTAGCTCTGATATCAAAGTGACAAATATATTTAATCTGACAAGCAAGCAATGATTTAATGAACAAGCAGTCATTTAAATGATAATATGACTTCAAAATATATAATATATCTTATAAAGAATTCAATGATTAACAGATCTTTAAATCAAACAATGTTTGGAAAGTTATCTATTAATCACATCCGTTTACCATTTTACAAATCAGCAGCCATTTTGTTGATATTTGTTCACGTAGGATTCAGACAGCAGTTCAGACGATGATTCTACATCCTGTTGCTCAGCTTGGGAATATTTTGGAGATTCTAATCAGGTTTGGTCCAGTATCCTATGGAGTCATATTTTAAGGACATATTGGTTTATGTATTAACAATAATGGTGTTTGCATGGTTGCTGGGTCCTAACAAGGTTATATAAAGGATGACATGTTGTCATTAGTATGGTGCAGAAGCATGAGTTTGTAAAAGGTAGCTGTGATTAGCATGCAGTGTAACAGATGTATAATGTGTGTTTACTACTGATATCTCTAGGCATAGGATACAGGTTGGAATCATCAATGATTCATCAAAGTGGCTTGTTTCTCCACTAAAGAGAGCTTCATCCTTGGTACAGAAAATACATTTTTGCTTAGATACCTCAAAATTGTTTTTTCTATACAGAATTAATCATAGGCAAATCAGAAAATGAAATGTTATTTAAATATATTTATTTTACTTAATCATATTTAAGTCAATCTCTTTTCACAGTTGTGCTAGTAATCTTGAGTAGTCACCTATTTCTGCTGACCCAGTTGATCCTATCTTCTTGAGCCTGTGTTAAAAAATTCATTCTTGACAATTTTTTAGAAAGGACTAAAAAAGTCAGAAATCTTTCTCCATATAGTAGTAGGAGTTAGCAGAAACACTTGTATTCTTGGCCTTACATTTGTAACATAGCTGATGAATCTTATTACAGTAATACAAAAGCAATACTTTTTAGGTGAATTCTGTATTTTACAGCATGAAAAACCATGGTATCATACCGCAGAAGTCACAACTCCTTATAGTAGGAGTTAGGTCCTCAATATACCAAATTGTAGTATATAGACTACACAACAGTTTGCAGTGATTTGGTCTATGTAGACAGCTACATTTCCCTGTGGTAAATTAAATGGCCACATGTCACTAACTGATATAGACCTGAGTTTGCTGCCTTCACAAACAGTGAAAATAACTTTAAAAGCTATTAAATAATGACAAAACAAATTTACTATCAAACTTGTAACACATCAAATCCTTATCAGTGCCATAACATCTGTGGTTACCATGTTAGTAAATATTGTTTTTCTAAATTTGATGTCTTTTTGATTGTCCACATCTGGAATTTGTTGCAAACAAAATGTCCTTGTGACCTTCTTTATAGAATTTCCATAGTTATAAAGTTTTGAAAACAAAGTAAATCCACAACAGGGAATTGTAAACATTCCTGAAGAAATATGAGATCTTTGCAATCTGATTGAGAGCTGCATATCTTCTTACGAAGTTGACAATGTGCAATAAACAGCTTTTATTCCAGATGAATGAAAACAGTTACATACTGTTATTAACTTTGACTTTGCAACACTCTTCTATAGAAAAAAAAACCAAGTTAATTGGTTTAGATATTACATATAAACACTAATATCAACAATGAATTCCTACCAGATTTTAGTAAGCAATTTCTATGGTCCTGGTTTCTTTTAACTTTGACGATGAAATGTTTGTTTCTTGGGTCTGATCATGGAAACAAATGGTCATCATGCAGCCATCTTGGATTATGACAGATTGGGATTGTTTAGCTATCATTGTTTGTCTAAAACATTTAGAATGGATCATTCTCAGTAAGTAGGCATCCTTAGATGAACTATGCCTGCAAGTGAACTCAAACCCAACCATTCAGAAAAGAGGAAAAGATCCAAGATACATAGAACCAGTAAAAGTTCTATAATGAATCAAGATCTGTCTTAGATCTCTTGTTGAGGGCTGATTTTGATATTAAAAAAGAATAGTAACTTTGGACTAATCAGAAACCAATAACTTTGGCTTTCAGACTGTTTCATGCACATGACCTTGTATCTTGGTCATGTATTACATTCAGTAACTACTTTGTCAGCTTCGTTAGCATTTGACTCTAAGAAGGCTTATGTGCTGACACATTTGATACCTCAATCGTAAGGGGAGCAATAGTTGATTTTTTTTATTCCAGGTGGAAATATAACTATATATGTTTATGTCTGTTTGTTATTGTACAGTGCTAGTCTAGCTACTGAGAATGTATTAGACCTGACTATGTATATACAGACATATAATAGTTTCTAGAAAGTTATAATAAAATTTAATGAAAGGTAAGCTGTGAAAATTTGGTAGGATAATCATGATTTGGTGCCGACTAAAGAAGAGTAGGTGGTCAGCATGTGACTTAATCAGTACAGGTTTCTCAACCCTAGTTTTGGAAAAAAAAAACTATTATATCCCCAATGTTACAAAGTACTGGGCTTTAAATGTGCGTGCATGTTCTAAAGGGATGCGGAGGCTGCAGTTTCCATGGGTACCTCTGATTTAAGTGTTATATAAGTGATGCTTTGTTGCATTATTGATGTGGCAAAAGCTTTTCTGTCAGTCAATCAGCTGATCATATGATCCTGAAAATCTTACATTGATCCCTGAAATAGATACATTTAAAATGTAATATACGCCATCAAATGTAATCATGTAGGATATATATGTATATATATGATGAAAATTGTAAGCATACACATATCCCTGGTAGAGCACTGCAGGATACAGCCTGCTGGTGATAGATGCTGTGTATCAATATGTTATATACCACATATACTTCTTTAATGTTACTATATCTATGTACATACCTTTTAATACTGTCTTTAACTTACAATAAGCCTTATCTGGTACAAACAATACTAATATGTAGAGAATACATGGTCAGTGTCTTAAAATATAAGCTGTATTTTGGCGAGCTTCTTATGTCTTTCTGTCCCGAGCTGAAATACAGCTTATATTTTAAGACACTGACCATGTGTTCTATTTTTCCTGCAACATTGATTGATAATCAGACTATTGAAACAGTTTTTTTTTTCAATCTGTGTTTACCTGACATTGATGTAATGCTGGATTTTGCATGAATACAGATGCCATGATATAAACCGTGGTGTCATGAATTTTCATAAATTAACTTGTTCATTACAACATGTAAAATCGCTTATTTCAACAACTATTTACATTTCTAAATTAAGTTAAAATACAGCTGTTTGTTTTCCGTCACTGCTAAATACAGCAAAAATATATGTGGCAGGTGTATTCAGACAATGGCGGTGCCAATTGCAGGATAAATACAACATCATGTTACATCTTTGTGGTTTGTCAGCAATAGACCCGTTCCTGGAAATAAAACCAAAACTTTGAAGCCAACTTTCATTTATATCTGTTTCAGATGAAATATCAGCAAATGCTGTATCATTGTCATGTAATTAGCCCATCTTATTCATATCTGTTTCAGATGAAATATCAGCAAATGCTGTATCATTGTCATGTAATTAGCCCATCTTATTCATATCTGTCTCAGAAGAAATGCCAGGAAATGCTATATCATTGTTCTATAATAAGGCCAACTCCTACTTGAGAGTAATGATGTGATCCCCTAGGCTTATTGCAGGATGAAAAGGGCAACCTGCAATCGTAAAATACTGTCATATGTATTTATACAACTTTGTTCCCTGTAAATAAAGCACGCCTCTGATAAATCTGATGTTTTATTTAGAATTTTAATCCTAATTACTTTTTTAATTTAGCCATGACCTGGAATGATATTCAGCAGTTTCTGGATAAGTTGAAATTATTACTTTTGATTCAAGTCAACACTGATTTTAGTATGTATATTTAGGAGATCATTCTGTTGTGTTTTGATATTTGCAGGCCATCCCTTAGACGATGATCTAGAGATATTTATGTTGTAAAATTTACCTTTGTTCACAGAAGCTGGACTATCAATGGTACCAGACATCCATGTTTGAGACAAACTGCTTTATCAATTGTATCACATGGAACATGGAAGGTAAGTTGATAAGTTGATAATATGTTCATAAATATGAGTAGGCTAAGTATTTTATGAGATTAAACCTTATCATAACGATAGATTTATCATAACAATAGATTTACCATAGATGGAAATTAAATAGATTACAGAGTGTCTGAAATACAGAGTTGAATTTTTTAACTGATATCAAATTTCTGACACAAACTGTTACATGATATAGGTGTGTATATTTGGATGAGGTGTTGGTTATATTACAATCTACAGAACTTTGATAAATAACAATCTTGATAAAGCAGGTGAAACTAGTCAACTTGTAAAGTATCTTTTCAGTGATCTACTACCCTTCCTTCTCTTACTCGTATGTTTCTGATGGGATATCATGAAAGACCAGCTGAGAGTCAAACTGTGAAGTCTCTGCTATTTCACTATCTGACATTGGTTTTATGGTATCTCAACTTTTTCCTGATAGGCTCAAAGCTGCTGACAGCAGGGGACACCATGCAGATCTGGGTCCATAACCAGGACAGCGGAAATAGTCCTGGGGGACACCATGTCCAGTTTTCCATGGGGGAGGAAGATACCCACACTTCCACTGGCCAGACAAATCCATTAGACAGTGACCACTTAGCACCGGAGGTCCATGAAGAAAGCAGTTGGGATTGTATCTGGAGTCAGAAGTATGTGGTTGTATAGATTAGTAATTTCACTCCAAGATGAAGGTTTGTCAACCCCCCCCCCCCCCTCCCATTGTTGCTTGTTGCTGTGGATTTTTTCACAGATTCTGACAGAATCATGTCTTGTTTTGAGAGTGACAGTGTTAATGAGGACTCTTGGTATTTTGAGTTATTACAGATAGATTTATTATAATGAAAAGCAGTGGGAGTGAATCTTACAAGGATGACAAAGTCAGAAACACAAAGCATAAGGACATGTAATTCAGTCATCAAAAGAATAACTGGTGTTTGAGAAAAAAAAACCCTTTCATATGAGACTCCAACCTTTCATATTATAGATAACAGTGACAACAAATTAACCACGGGGATATTTCAGCCAGTCATGTTTCTGTTACCAGTGATAGGACAACAAATTAACCACGGGGATATTTCAGCCAGTCATGTTTCTGTTACCAGTGATAGGAAATTAACCACGGGGATATTTCAGCCAGTCATGTTTCTGTTACCAGTGATAGGACAACAAATTAACCACGGGGATATTTCAGCCAGTCATGTTTCTGTTACCAGTGATAGGACAACAAATTAACCACGGGGATATTTCAGCCAGTCATGTTTCTGTTACCAGTGATAGGAAATTAACCACGGGGATATTTCAGCCAGTCATGTTTCTGTTACCAGTGATAGGAAATTAACCACGGGGATATTTCAGCCAGTCATGTTTCTGTTACAAGTGATAGGACAACAAATTAACCACGGGGATATTTCAGCCAGTCATGTTTCTGTTACCAGTGATAGGACAACAAATTAACCACGGGGATATTTCAGCCAGTCATGTTTCTGTTACCAGTGATAGGAAATTAACCACGGGGATATCTCAGCCAGTCGTGTTTCTGTTACCAGTGATAGGACAACAAATTAACCACGGGGATATTTCAGCCAGTCGTGTTTCTGTTACCAGTGATAGGAAATTAACCACGGGGATATCTCAGCCAGTCATGTTTCTGTTACCAGTGATAGGACAACAAATTAACCACGGGGATATCTCAGCCAGTCATGTTTCTGTTACCAGTGATAGGAAATTGACCATGGGGATATTTCAGCCAGTCATGTTTCTGTTACCAGTGATAGGAAATTAACCACGGGGATATTTCAGCCAGTCATGTTTCTGTTACCAGTGATAGGACAACAAATTAACCACGGGGATATTTCAGCCAGTCATGTTTCTGTTACCAGTGATAGGACAACAAATTAACCACGGGGATATTTCAGCCAGTCATGTTTCTGTTACCAGTGATAGGAAATTAACCACGGGGATATTTCAGCCAGTCATGTTTCTGTTACCAGTGATAGGAAATTAACCACGGGGATATTTCAGCCAGTCATGTTTCTGTTACCAGTGGTGGTCTAAGCACAAATCAGTATGCAAAGAAATAATAGATATTGACTAATTAGGAGAGATTTACACAGGCACATCTTAAAAAAACTGAAAGTTCACATATCCTATAAAATTGCTGAAACTTGACAAGTGTAAATGAAAGCTTGTTGAAAAGAGACTTTTTCTATGTATTAAACAGACCAGCCACACCAATCTATCACATCAAGTTTTCTCCAGATGGATTGCTGTTTGCTTCTGCAGGAAAGGTAAAAAGTTATAACAATTATAATCTTAATCAATTGGGAATTAAACTCTTACACAATATCTGGTATAATTTCAGATTATTATTTCAGAATTTTGAATTTCTGTTCCTACACTGAATCATGAATTTGATATTGTTCAGCAGGTACACAGTCACTTGTTAATTGAAAGGTAACCTAGTAATCTCAAATTTAAACTACAGTAAATTATATTTCATCACATTCTTATTTTCAGTGTTTATCTCACTTGTAACAAAATGTACTTCTTTATTCTAGGCGGATCGACTTGTAAAGATTTGGCATGAAGATAGAAAATGTAAGGATATTTATATTACTGAATAATTATATTTAAATCTGTATTAAAAAATCCTTGTAGGAATAGATCAAATTTCTTCTAGAAAGGCTGATTTGTAGATTAACTGTTCTGTCAAGGGATTGATATTATGTAAGAAACATTAACTTCATATAAAGTGTGCAAAGTAAAGAAATAAACTGAAAAAATATGTATTTAGGAGTTTGAACTTTGACCAAGAACAGTGTTTTGACCTCTGACCTATCAATATTTTATAGTACAATTGCCTCTGATGCGAGCCGATAGTACAGTTAGTCCAAAGAAGGAAGTGCACCACTATTCCTTTGTGTACATTGCCCATCCCCGTGCTGTCACTGGCTTCTCCTGGAGGAAAACAAGCAAGTACATGCCAAGGTATAGTATCAGCTTTCATGTGGTGGCTGATCTGTGGAAGGGAAATAACTCTAATAATAACACCCTGAATTCTTTTGAAATATGATACAATTGTCACTCTTAAAGCTACTCAACATCTGTGAAATATTGATATATTTGTTACGAAATAACATCAATATTTTGCTTTTGAATACTACAAATATTTTCATATTGCAAATGCAAAAATGACACACTTAGCTTTGAAGGTGTTTGCACAAATTGATCATGAACAGATGCAGCAATTCATTGCAGTAGTAGTTGAGCAGAGGAACCAATGTTTCTTGTTTAATCTGTCTTTTCTTTATGATACAAGCTCAGTTTTGAAAGTCAGGTAACTTTTCCTACTTTGAAAATATCAACACACTGATGTGAACCTGTTTTGATATCTTATTTCCTAGGGGCTCAGTAGCCAACATGCTTGTGACCTCCTGTGCCGATAATGTGTGTCGACTGTGGTGTGAAACCATCCTACCTGATGATGGGCTTGTTGACTTGGAACAGTTTGATCCTGCCACGACTTCTGAAAGAAAATTTCACACTCACCGACATAAAAAACGTTTTATGCAACGTTTGAAAACCATCAGGTATGTAGAATTTAAGTTGAAAAATGCAACAATATTTAATGACAGTTTTCTTATTGTAAAAAAACACTGAAGCTAATGTTTTGATAGGAAACCCCAAAACGGTACACTTTGAATGATGTCAGCACTTTGTTGATTTTAAGCAAAATGAAAAATAACCTAGATTAATATATTAAATTTTCTTATGAATATCAAGAACTAGAATAAAGATTTACCCTCTTACATGTCACCTAAAATTAACTTGGCGGAAGAGTTTGTGTTCAATATCTTTTGATCAAATAATGGCTATTGCTGATATTCATTTTGAGCCTGCAAGATATTGGACCTTCCTGACGAGGTATCTTGTACTAAGAATAGAATTTAATGATTTACAGAATAGATCTGCCCTAGATATGTTCTGATTCCTGCTATCTGTAGTTTTGTTTCTTTTTAATTCTCTTACTAATGTAATGCAAATGTCACATGATTTTTGGTTTTAATGAAAGTGTCTTGTAAACGCTCCAACGTTACTACTTACTCTTACTTGGGATGCCCTAGGTTCTGCTGTATATAACATTGATAACTCTGCATAAATGTGGCCTGTAAAACATTCTCTGAATAATTCTTTATTTTTCTACTAACTCTAATCTTTGAAATAAAAAAAAAGCATGATATGAAAGTGATTGATATTAATTTCTAGAATTCCGCTTGCATTTGGATATTTATATATGAAGGTATAATTTATATTTTGTAATATATGTCAGTGATAACAGTATTATAGAACAAGAAGTCACCACCAACATTAGGCAAGTGTTATGGTTATGGGACTATTATTAATCATTACAGAGATATGTTTACAATATCTATAAGGAGTATGGTTATGGGACTATTATTAACCATTACAGAGATATGTTTACAATATCTATAAGGAGTATGGTTATGGGACTATTATTAATCATTACAGAGATATGTTTACAATATCTATAAGGTGTATGGTTATGGGACTATTATTAATCATTACAGAGATATGTTTACAATATCTATAAGGTGTATGGTTATGGGACTATTATTAATCATTACAGAGATATGTTTATAATATCTATAAGGTGTATGGTTATGGGACTCTATTATTAACCATTACAGAGATATGTTTACAATATCTATAAGGAGTATGGTTATGGGACTATTATTAACCATTACAGAGATATGTTTACAATATCTATAAGGTGTATGGTTATGGGACTCTATCATTAATCATTACAGAGATATGTTTACAATATCTATAAGGTGTATGGTTATGGGACTATTATTAATCATTACAGAGATATGTTTACAATATCTATAAGGAGTATGGTTATGGGACTCTATCATTAATCATTACAGAGATATGTTTACAATATCTATAAGGTGTATGGTTATGGGACTATTATTAACCATTACAGAGATATGTTTACAATATCTATAAGGAGTATGGTTATGGGACTATTATTAACCATTACAGAGATATGTTTACAATATCTATAAGGTGTATGGTATGGGACTATTATTAACCATTACAGAGATATGTTTACAATATCTATAAGGTGTATGGTATGGGACTATTATTAACCATTACAGAGATATGTTTACAATATCTATAAGGTGTATGGTATGGATTAAAAGCTTAATTCAATGATAATTTACTGTTGTTAAACAGGGAAATAAAAATTAAATCTTTCACTATTTATCATTCAGTTTATTTTTGAATAGTGTTTTGTTTTATGGGATTCAATGGCGTAATGAACGAGTGAAAAATGGACAGTTCTAAGGTGTTAAAAAGCTAGAAATATTTGTTTACTCTTTAAAAAAAATGATGAGGTATGTGAGAGTAGACATTTAATGTGTTGATTTTGATATTTTGTTCTCTTTTTCTCTACAAGACTTCACACACACTTCATTGAAAGGTATGCCCTCTCTCTGTATTGATGTCTATTCACTATAACAAGTTGTTTGTCATCTTTTAGTATTCTATGTTGACAATTCAGCATTTTATCTATTAAACGAGTTATTTCTTTGTGTGTAGTAAGTGTGATATCAGTACATAAAGTCATATACCAGCTGTAGGTGTGATATCAGTACATAAAGACATATACCAGCTGTGGGTGTGATATCAGTACATAAAGTCAGATACCAGCTGTAGGTGTGATATCAGTACAGAAAGTCAGATACCAGCTGTAAGTGTGATATCAGTACATAAAGTCAGATACCAGCTGTAAGTATGATATCAGTACAAAAAGTCATATACCAGCTGTAAGTGTGATATCAGTACATAAAGTCATGTACCAGCTGTAGGTGTAATATCAGTACAGAAAGTCAGATACCAGCTGTAAGTGTGATATCAGTACAGAAAGTCAGATACCAGCTGTAGGTGTGATATCAATACAGAAAGTCAGATACCAGCTGTAGGTGTGATATCAATACAGAAAGTCAGATACCAGCTGTAGGTGTGATATCAGTACAGAAAGTCATATACCAGCTGTAGGTGTGATATCAGTACAGAAAGTCAGATACCAGCTGTAAGTGTAATATCAGTACAGAAAGTCAGATACCAGCTGTAGGTGTAATATCAGTACAGAAAGTCATATACCAGCTGTAGGTGTGATATCAGTACAGAAAGTCAGATACCAGCTGTAAGTGTGATATCAGTACAGAAAGTCATATACCAGCTGTAGGTGTGATATCAGTACAGAAAGTCAGATACCAGCTGTAAGTGTGATATCAGTACAGAAAGTCATATACCATCTCTAGGTGTGATATCAGTACAGAAAGTCAGATACCAGCTGTAAGTGTGATATCAGTACAGAAAGTCAGATACCAGCTGTAGGTGTGATATCAGTACATTTTTCCTTTGTTGCGTTCTTTGAGTAAAATCAATTGAGAGAGTTTTCTTCTCTCTGTTACGATCTCACAGCACCTGAATCAGAATATCTTAAGTAACGGAATTAGGATTGATAAATATATTTCTGCTTTGAAGTCCATAAATAATTAGACATTTTGGCTTTGTTTCAGTCTGTTAATAGGGAGACATTTCTGACCTAATATGTATGCTGGTAATTGAGTCTCTGAATGAGACACTTGGGCCCTCTTTTGAGGCTGTTAATAAAGGGATATTTCTGCCCTCTTTTGAGAGTTTGAATAAGGCCAGATTTCTGCACTCTTTTGAGAGTTTGAATAAAGTCAAATTTCTGCACTCTTTTGAGAGTTGGAATAAGGCCAGATTTCTGCACTCTTTTGAGAGTTTGAATAAGGACAGATTTCTGCACTCTTTTGAGAGTTTGAATAAGGCCAGATTTCTGCACTCTTTTGAGAGTTTGAATAAAGTCAAATTTCTGCACTCTTTTGAGAGTTGGAATAAGGCCAGATTTCTGCACTCTTTTGAGAGTTTGAATAAGGACAGATTTCTGCACTCTTTTGAGAGTTTGAATAAGGCCAGATTTCTGCACTCTTTTGAGAGTTTAAATAAGGACCATACCTATGCCCTGTTTTGAAGTTGCTACCCATACATATACGACAGTCAGGATGTCTCTGAAGAGCTTAAGTAATGTTGACTTTTCTCTAAACTGTTTATTTGAAAACTTGATCCACGATAATTTGTTTCTAAAGCAGTGATGCACATGTATTTTATTTTCCTTTAAGAAGATTGTCTTTGAAGTTACCTCCCTTCTTTGATATGATTGTATAAAATTTGACCAAAATATTGCCGCTTAAACCCTCAGTCAATTCCTATAAACCTTGGTGCACTTTATCAGTACTTATGGAAGTCCTCTATTCGCTAACAAGATTTTATTGCAATGATTTTTGTGCCCTGTAATCTTCATTAATTTTTCAATGTTAAGGAGCAAGGGTATTTCAGTTAGTACATGGCTTATATTTCTAGTGTAGTCAGTATCACAAGGTAACACTATTTTGAAGTTGATATCTTGACTTCAAGATTATCTTTGATATTAATAGGGTAAAGAAAAATGTTCTTGGGAAGACAAACTAGACAAAAATTAAGAAAGAAATATTTCTGTATTATCAGTGTATACATTGCATGAAACCTCATTTTACTGACACCTGCAGTTTAAGGCATCTTTGACATGATTCACCTTTTACTTGATGACCTCTGATTTTCTCAGCAATGATGTCAGTACAGACAGGTTTCAGTGTAGGAGTTGTATAGCGCCTAGATATTGAAACTTGTAAATTAATGCGATTACAACTAAAATGTTTTTTCTCTGTTTAGCCTGTTTTGTTTGTAAGTCAGCAGTGTGTTGTTGATGCCAGGCAAATCAATATGTCATTGATACCCTATAAATACTGCTTGACATTTGAGACAATACATATATGAATTTACAAATAAAATATATCTAATTATTGTCTTATATAAGTCAAAGCATTTGTATTGTACAGAACTTGATATGTAGAAATTGTAGTAGGTGATGCTGGTATCATCTACCCAGAATAACTGTTAGCATCAAGATATTGCAACCCTAAAATTGATATTGAGAACAAACAAAATCTTCATGGTGCTATAATCAAAACAATTAAATTTTCTGTCTTGTAAATGTAGAAACAGGCAATAAAAATGCTTTTAGTCAAATCTCTGTGGAAACCATTTTCATATTGCTGCACTGCTACTTGTTTTAATGGCAAAGCATTTCTGTTAGTGGCTAATACTCTCTAGTGTTGGTATGTTTGTTATGTTAAAAAAGTTCTTTATAGTCCACCTATTGATTAGCCAAGGTGCTCAGAGATAAAGCTGGTAGTCTTGATCTGTTGATTGGTTGAGACTTTTTACATTTGATCTGTTGATTGGCTGAGACTATTTATGTTTGATCTGTTGATTGGCTGAGACTATTTATGTTTGATCTGTTGATTGGCTGAGACTATTTATGTTTGATCTGTTGATTGGCTGTGACTACTTACGTTTGATCTGTTGATTGGCTGAGACTATTTATGTTTGATCTGTTGATTGGCTGAGACTATTTATGTTTGATCTGTTG